CGGGGGGGGGGCTTTTAAGGCCCACCTTTACATTTATTTGAAATTATTTTTTTTTTTTCTTTTTTTTTTTTTTTTTTTTAATCATGTGACACGTCCAACCAAACAGACCTCTGTTTACAGTGACGACCACACTTTTACTATAAGCTTTTGGATTTTATCTGCTCTTCTCCACAGGGCAAATAAAAGTCATGACTCTTGACTCACTTCTCTCCTCTTCTTTATAATTCTCCATGTCCCTACAGCAGTGGGGAACGGTAACCATATGTTGTATGTGTTTGCAGGTGTGTGTCGAGAAACTTTTGCCTTTAAGTTCCTTCAGCAATGCCTTTCACCAGCCCACCTACAACAAGCAGCCCATGTATAAAAAAGCCATCTACGAAGTTCTACAGGTGAGTGGGGTTCACAGTTATCTGTGAGTTACGACTTACTACGAAAATTGAGTTACGTCGCAGTGTAGGAAATTAAATTCTGACATAAGTCGGGGATTCCCAAACACAGGTTTTATACATGTTGAGGTACTTTTTTAACTAATAACTTATGAGCTAACAGTTCCCTTAGTGTTACTGTTCTTGTCGGGTTTTATTTTCAGATAATTATAACCTTTTCAAAAACAATTTCTTTTTAGGTTTTGACATGGTAATGAAAAAAAATCAACTAGATAGCTTTTGGATAGCTTCAGGTTTATTGAAATATTTTTTTATTTATTTTTATTGATATTTTATTTTTGGCAAAATACACAGTGTTAGTTATCTAGTGATCTAGAAGGACCTGGCTGGACATGGGTTTGGTTTCTTCCAAAAAATCATTGTTTTCATGGAGGCTTTAAAAGGTTTTATTGTTAGACCTTCAAAGGTGAGTTAAGAATTCAAAGGACTTTTTACTTTTTTCCCACAGGCGGCCAGCAGCCGGGCCGGAAAAGTCTTCATGGCCTGTCCTGACAGTGACGAGACAGAAACCTCCAAATCAGTAGAAATGCTCAACAAGCAGATGATTGACTGGGCCATGACGGGATTTCAACCCACTGGACCAAAGGCCTTGGAGCCACCAGAGGGTAAGAAGAAGAAGGAGAAGTAGAACGGCCTTGGAGCCACCAGAGGGTAAGAAGGAGAAGTAGAACCAGTGTGGTCTGATTTTTTTTTTTTTACAATTGAATCTGATGTTGTTAACTGACTGACCTGCCCTGAACCCCAGAGGAACGTAACCCATACAAAGAGGTCTACCCCGAGATGTGGGTGGAGCCAGAAGCAGCAGCGTACACGCCCCCGCCGGCCAAAAAGCCCCGCAAAAGCACAGTTGAGAAACCCAAGGTGAAGGACATCATTGACGAGAGGACGCGAGGTGAGGTTCCTGGGTTAGTCAGTTAAACAGAGGTCGCGACCTCCGTATTGTCCTCCTCTGGGAAGCGGGGATGGACGTCAGGGTAATGTGGTCTGAGAAGAAATGGACGGACAAAGGGTCCATTAAAGTGACAACTTTAAGACGGTGGAGAATGATGTGAGCAGACAAAAAGCTTCAAACTGAACAATGGACCTGATGTTCTTCAAACACGAGACGTTTTGGTGACCAGTCATTTATCAGGGCCCCATTTATTTATTTATTCGTGGTTAACAACCATTTTTGAAATAACCTGTAAATAAGGACTCATTTTAGCTTCTGATTTGATCATTTTAGGTGAACTTTTAGCTGTTTAGTACATATTTTGCTAATTGTATGCATTGTTTTGTATCATTTTAGCAGATATTTTTAGCTTAATTTTTATTTCCTAACATTTTTGCTATTGTTATATCTATTTTAGCAAATATGGCCCAAATGCTGTTTTGCCTTATTATAGATAGTAATTGGCTAGAATGAACATTAGTTGAAGAACTTCAGTTTTTCTGCTAGCCATCATTAGCCACGTGTTCCTGACTCTGTTCTATCACACATGGCCTTAAAGGTTGTAGTGAAGGTGAAGTTAAGGGTTTATCTCAAGGTGTGCCGTCTACACAGACATCAGTTTTCATTCAGTAAGTTAGGTGCAATCTCCTTAATAATAAATGCATATAAATGGACACAAATCAAGCAGATTTGTTTCACTGACTTTGATTTATTCTACAAGATTTCAAAACCACCCAAAGTTTCTGGCAAAACTTCACTTTAACAATGTTAAGCAGCAGTTCAGAGTGATAAGTGTGGGAACAAAGCATGGAAACCAAAAATGGCCAACTAAATGACATAATAAACAGATTCCTGTTGGATTTAGGGGAGCACTCCAGGACAAATATTTCTTCCTTTTGACCAAATTTGGTTTGGTGTATAAAAAAGTGTGGCTGCAAAAAAAACATATAAATTCTCTATGAATTATTGCTCATTTCTCTCTTTTTTCAGACATTAACATTTAAATAACTCATTAAAAAATCAACATTAATATTATGTTGTATTATTTATCTAGTTTGTTTCGCAAACCTTCAAGAAAATACTTGAACTTTTGCCCTGACACAGAGTATAATTTGTAGTATTACTGCCTTTCTAACTCCTCCTCCTCTTTTGTTTTTGTGTTTTTGTTTACAGAGCGACTGGTTCATGAAGTCAGACAAAAGTGCCGCAGTATAGAAGGTAAGTGCAGTGACCTCCACGTGACCCTGCTGACAGCAGAGCTGCAGGGCTTCAGTGGAGACACTTTCATGCTTGGCCTCGTCATTGACGAGCAGCAGGAGACAAATGTGCTTCAGATAAGAACAAAGTACAAGAAGAAACCTTAACATTTCCATGTTTTTCACACGTTTCACACATGAACTTTTTCTGCCTCCAGTTTTAGCTGTTTAATAATTTATTCGAATACATTTATTTTTTAATAATTTTTGACACATTTTTGGCAAGTGGGTTGTGTTTAGCCTGTTGTTTTTAAGCCTAGTTTTTGTTATTCTTTAACATTTCTCTTTTATCCTTTATTCTTTTGTTAGCTGATATTTATCTATCTATCTGTTATTTATCTATCTGTGGGCATTTTCACCTTTCTTACTGACTTCTACAGTATTTATAAAGCATTCCACAGTTATTACGCCTATAGACGTATTTCCAGGCCTGCAACAAGGCTTTAATCTAATTTGTAGGCTTTGTCTCAGGGTTTACTGCCCCCCCGCCCCCCAGTTCTCTCATGTTTCACTACGATCATTGAGAAATTTGTAGTTAAATTCCCCGTGTTTCCTTTCTTTGAACACCACAGCTCAGCAGCTGTGAACCAGTGTCGCAGCTGTTGTAATCCTGTCACTGCAGTGTGCAGCAGCAGCAGAGTTTTGTTTCTGACGTGCAGCACTTGTCCTTCCTCAGACATCTGTATCTCCTGTGGAAGTCTCAACGTTAGCCTGGAGCACCCGCTGTTCGCTGGAGGAATGTGCCAGAGCTGCAAGGTAAAAAGGTCATTAATTACAAGTCAACACGTTGTAAAAGAGACGGGTTCATCCTCGGGTTTATTATAAAGTCGTCACATTTCAGGCATCGGCAGATGTGACCTCGGACATTTAGGCATTTGAAAAATGTCAAACTTTTTCTTTACAATCTGCACAATACAGAACTGCTTCCTTGAATGTGCGTACCAGTACGACGACGACGGCTACCAGTCGTACTGCACGATCTGCTGCGGAGGACGGGAGGTGCTCATGTGTGGAAACAATAACTGCTGTCGGTGAGGCGCCGCCTGTCTCTCCTCTGGCTCTTCTAAAGCAACGCATCAATTAGTCACGTAAAAATGGGTGTCAGAGGGTCAGAAACTGCTCCCTGATCCAGGCAAAAAAAAGGAAATTGCCCATAAATTTTATGGGGGGGTTCTCTAATACACTTATAATGTGTTATTTTGTTAATGCGTGTAGAAAATATCCATTTTGGCTTCTGTATCTAGAAAACTGCAGGGCCATTCAAGGACATTCAGACTCATAATTCAGTTGCATACTTTATCATTTTGCACCAATTTGTCTTTTTACATATTTAATGATAAAACCAATAAGTTTATGGAGCTTATTGGCAAATTCTAGCATTTTTGCTGACCCTAACCCTCTGATCCATAAATTATTGTATATATATATTTGTATGTAAACATTTACATTTCTGTATGTAATCATATCTATGTATCTCCTGTGTGCAGGTGTTTCTGTGTGGAGTGCGTGGACCTCCTGGTTGGTCAGGGGGCGGCTCACGCTGCCATCAAAGAGGACCCGTGGAACTGCTACATGTGCGGTCAGAAAGGAGTGTTTGGTCTGTTGGAGCGTCGTACCGACTGGCCCAGTCGTCTCCAGCTCTTCTTTGCAAATAACCACGACCAGGATTTTGTAAGTGATTCGCCACAAAAGTCTGGGTCTTTTTTTTTAATTCAACTCTTCTTCTGATTTAATCTGATTCGATTCCTGTCTGGTTCTACAGCAACCCCCAAAGATTTACCCCCCAGTCATGGTGGAGATGAGGAAACCCATCCGTGTGCTGTCACTATTTGATGGCATAGCAACAGGTGAGATGAGAAAAATTAGCAGTAGCAACCTAGCCACGTCACCTAAAGGGTGGAATCCAAATGTGTATTCCTAGTCCAAAACACTGGATGTTAACAAAACTACTATTAAGACCAGTTTTATTGTAACATGTGTTTAAAATGTTGCAAAAACATTGTATTTTTCTAGTTCTATCTATTGTTTTTTTCATTATTCTGTTGAGGTCTTTTTAGCTTCTTATTTCCAACTACGTTTTGTAACTAACTCTTGTTCAGGGCTACTGGTGCTTAAAGATCTTGGCATTCAGGTGGACCGCTACGTGGCTTCTGAAGTGTGTGAAGACTCCATTACTGTGGGCATCGTTCGGCATCAGGGTCGTATCATGTATGTTGGCGACGTGAGGAACGTCACACGCAAACATGTAAGGAAACGTGTATAGAGTTTTACATGTGTTTGTGTGTTTGTATTTTTGCCTACTTTTCAGCTAACTTAATTACTGATTGGCTAATTTCACTTTTTTCAACTTTTATAAAATATTTATTTAGCTGAGTAGGCTAACTATTTGCAGTTTTTTTATCATTGCTGTAGAGCTATTTTTCAGTTTAGTTTTCTTTATCTGTTAGCTCACTTAGCTCAGTTGGTTAACATGGAAAATATAGTTGATATCATTATGTAATCTGCTTGACCTGCCATTTGAAACCTCATTGATAAAATTGTTGATTTGACACAGGAGTTTCTAAACAGTCTCTGCCACTGTCCTTGGGTTTAAATCAGTCTTTTCATGACATTAATGTCTTCATTCTGTATTTTAATAATGTTAACGTCACAAACTAATCAGATGTGGCAGCTGTTCACCTGCAACTTGGGCCTGAAACATACATTTTCACAGTGGACTTTGGTGCAGGAGAAAAAAGCTGTACAAACATTTCTGTTTCTTTTATGGCGTTGTTGTTAACATTCCAATTTTCCGCCCATTTGAACCCGATATTGTTATCTTTAGTGCCTCTGTGTGTGTGTGTGTGTGTGTGTGACTGTTTCTTATCTGTGCACAGATACATGAGTGGGGTCCTTTTGACCTAGTTATTGGAGGAAGTCCATGCAATGATCTGTCTATAGTCAACCCTGCCAGGAAAGGTCTTTATGGTACATCTGCTCCTTTTATTCTCTGATTTATTTTGGAATCCATTTAGAAAATCATCCCAGTATCCTCCTTTGGCTTCACTGAATCAGTTTGTGATCTCTTCCTGTGTCCCACAGAGGGCACCGGTCGCCTGTTCTTTGAGTTTTACAGGCTGCTTCACGAGGCCCGGCCGAAGGAAGGAGAACACCGGCCTTTCTTCTGGCTCTTTGAGAATGTGGTTGCCATGGGCGTCAGCGATAAGAGGGACATCTCTCGCTTTTTAGAGGTCAGCAGCTTCACTGAGAGTGACACCAGGTGGACTGTGAATGCCCCCTGGTGGCCCATATTAATAATCGTTAGGCATAGACCATTAATAAGGAGATTTTGCTCCATTTACCTTAATGATGCACCTAAATATGCTATAAAAAAGACCTGTAGATTAGTCTGTTTTCTTGTAAGACTTTTTAAAAAATATTATTACCATGGCAATTATCCATAAGTCAGTACTAATCAGTTTAGTCCCATACAAAGATATAATCTGGATACACTGTTCTGTGTTTTATGTAGTCACCACATGTCATGGGTGTAGCTATTTTATTTTCAACTCTGACAATTATTTCCAAACTGTGGCCTGGGAACCAGTGGTGGTCCACAGTTTTTGCCTGGCCGGCGACATGCAATTATTTATTTATTTGTATATTTGTTTGTAAATGTATTTACAGATGTTAGCAGAGCAGAACCAGTCACAGTTGTCCTTCTCTTGTCTTCCTTTTAGTGTAACCCGGTGATGATCGATGCCAAGGAAGTGTCTGCTGCCCACCGTGCCCGTTACTTCTGGGGTAACCTTCCTGGCATGAACAGGTTGGTGTGTGAATGGTGAGGGAAGCAGCTGCAGCTTTGACATATGTAACATCAAGACCAAGAAACAAACCTCTGTGGTCAACTTTGGCTCCTTTCCCAGTAACCAATCTTTTATTAATTTTTAGAAAACGTATTCCAAAACGTATTAACGTTTTACTTCCTCCTCAGGCCTTTGACGGCGATGTGTTCTGACAAACTGGACCTTCAGGACTGTTTAGAACACGGCAGGACGGCCAAGGTACATGATGTCACTGGACTAAAGACTAAAGTTTTATTGTGACAGGACTTTAGTCATCACCTCATGAAAGACCAGACTCTGTGTCAGTTTTGACTGGTGGCTCGCTGGTGCAGTGGTTGGACCTAAGGCCTCACAATTACATCCACTGATGTGCATGTAGCACGTTGATTAATTTATCTGTTAAATAATACAACCATATAAAATGTATATAAATAATGTTTTATACATAAAATAAAAGCAAATGTAAAAAATATTTTTTAAAAGATAAGTCAATCCAAAAAGAGTTTGGATTTAAAATAATTTTACATTCATAGTGACAACAAGTCACTAGTTGACCATCATATCTTTCACAAAGAAACTAATTTGCACACTAGTGACTCCCAGTGGTAGCGGACTGTAACAGATTTTGCTTCTTAGGATTCAAGAGTCAGGAAAAGAAAAGCTGATACTTAATTGTAAATGACTCAAAGCTGTTACATTTTCAAGGATAAATAAAGTAAATTGTCTAAACAATAAAGACATGATGTAGAAATGTAATAGGTTGCACTGCAGGGGGCGCCAGTACATTAATGATTTGTCCAAAGAAATGCAAACTGTTAACTGTTTAAATAGAGACTTGAAGTGACAGATAAATCCTAATGACCTTTGTCTTCTGTAGTTCGGTAAGGTCAGGACCATCACCACCAGGTCTAACTCCATCAAACAGGGCAAGGACCAGCACTTCCCAGTCTACATGAACGAGAAGGAGGACATTCTGTGGTGCACGGAGATGGAGAGGTACGTGAGCTCGATGACGGAGCTTCTAAAGGTGTGTTCACACTTGAAGTTTGGTTCCTTTGGTGTGGTTTGGACCAAAGAATAAAAACCAACCATTTAGTCATTTTCCTGGTATAAATCCTTGTCAGGTCTTAAGACAGAAACAAGCAACAAGGTCTACAAAAACAAACGCAGACCAGAAAAAAATTAGAAAGCTGAAAGAAATACCAAAATCGGCTGAAGTAATCGACTTGGCGACAATACTGTGGCACTTTACTGTAATCATCAAGACAGGTGTGTACAGCTGTGACATCACAGCTGAAAGACCTGATAGAAGGCTGTGACTTTAAGTTCTTTATTTACCTGTGAAACCCTGTGTCCCATTAGGCCGTTGTCAAAGAATTAATGAGGATTATGCAAATTACCTAATTAACTTCAAATTAACTTTACCTTGATGAGCCACCGAAAATACACCTAGGTTTCTGGAATCCCATACAGAACCCTGAAAGAGTCCGTTTGAAGCCGTCCAAACCTGGCGAGTGTGAACGCACCATAAATAACTCTTTGTGTTGTTCTAGTGGTAGAACCTCTGTGTTAAACTTCCGTATCTCCTCCTGTTCTGCTCCTCACTCCTGGTCGCTGTCACCAGGATCTTCGGTTTTCCGGTCCACTATACGGACGTGTCCAACATGAGCCGGCTGGCGAGACAGAGGCTCCTGGGCAGGTCGTGGAGCGTCCCTGTTATCCGTCACCTCTTTGCACCACTCAAAGAATACTTTGCCTGTGTTTGAGGAAACACAAGCGTGAAAATAGAGAAACTCGCTCGGAACCATTCAGTTCTACAACTGTACGTTGTGACTAGAAATAAGAGCCTTGATCCTCAGATTATACCCTGGTATAATTTGCAAGTGAAAAGAAAAACACACATTGACGTAGATTTCACATTATTACTTGTATTTGAATTTTTAATTCTTATTCTATTTAATTTTTTTTTTTTTTGATATGTCATTTTACCTTTTTAGCAGTGTTATCAAGTGTTGTTGATTTGTTTGTGCAAGCTATACTTGAGACTATGCTTTCTTCAATAGACACTGAGACAGAAGGGGGGGGGTGTTGTAGGAGAGGGTGAGTGGACACAGGTAGACAGCAGGGATGTCTCGATCCTGATCTTATGAACCGACTCTTCCTCCACTTCATGTACTACTTACATTAACTCCAGTCATTCAGGAGGTGCTAGTTTTCTACACTTAACCTCAATCTTAGCCCCTGCCCTGAAATACTTAAATTGCTCCAAATCAGACAGACATTTATCCCCAACCTGGAGTTGTCATTTTGACCTGTTCCAGATGAAAACAAGTCAAACAAAAAGGTCGAGTTTTGCTGTTCCTGCCAGACCATAATAATAACACCAAGTGTTGAAGTGGCACATTTGGAGGGTGAGGTCAGGAATTATTGTGTGGTGATTTTCTTACATGATGGTCAGGAAGTCAGTTGCCATTGAAGAGCAGCTTCTTTTTTGACTATTAACGCCTCTGTGCCTGCACATAGAGACTCAATCCAGTGACTGGCACAGCAAACAGAATTGTGTGACCAACAAAGTAATAAAAGTCGATTAGCAAAATAGCTGGTCACAGTAATTGGTTCAAAGAAGTAAGAAGATGTCTGATGTCGGCAGATATAGGTATTTCGTCTTGATCTAGAAGTACAGGGTTCGGATCAGGATCAGCAGCCAGTGAACCTGATCGGGACATCCCTGGTAGAAAACATTTGGTGCGAGACACCTTTTGAGGAACATCAGGAGCTGCTCACTTCCCAACGTCAGTGCAGCTCAGGGGAGACCAAAGGGGTCTTCAGTGTCAGGAGAGCCGTGTCTCTTAGAATCCAAAACACCAGATCACAAATACCTCTTTGTTTACAGTTTCTATACACAACCGAAGGTAATATAAGGTACTACTGTAATATGGTTACAATACCATGGTGCTCCGAAATGATGAGAAACATCACGACCCATGTGGCACTACGACTTTAGACAACACGGAGCGTTTTTGAAACTGTTGCTGAAACACAAATACTTGATCTTTTTACTCCTAGTGGTGAAAGAAAAAAAAAAACAAAGTTCAACTGCTCTGTGCCCTCTTTGTTCACTTCAGAGGAAGAAGTGACCCACGGTCGACTGCAAAAACTTGACATATCCTTGTTTTTCCTGCAGTTGCTGCAGCTTTTATACCCTTTGTACTGGTGCTCGTTCTAATCTCTCAGCCTTGCTACGCCCAGGCCGCGCCGCCTGGATCTGCACAAACAGAGAGTGAAGCTACAGCCACATGGGGAATGATGTTTTTTCTGTCATTCAAATAGAAAAAAAAAAAAACGTAGACTCAACATCTGTGGTGAGCTACTTTTTTTCTAGTTTCATCCTGACCAAGGACATTACTGTACAACTGTTAGTGAGGGTGGAGAAGTTGGAGGAGATAATGTGACCAGGTCTCCTCCTCCTCCTCCTCTTCCTCCATCGTTTTAAACTGTAAAAAAAACTGTCAGGTGCAAATCCTCAATAATATGGTGCGGCTTCACAAAGTTCTACCTTTTTTATAGCAATTTTGTGCTGTTTTATCAACATTTTTAAGCACTTTTTTATATGTACACTTTTTCCTTTTTTTTCTTGACCTTTTTTTAAAAAGTATTGGTTCTTGTGAATTTTTTGGTTGTTGATGATGTGAACTGATCTACCCTGGTGTAATACATTTTGTATTCAGTAGGGCTGTGCCAATAGAAGTAAAAAGGATCGATTTTTGATATGTGAAACCCACATTCTAACCCCGCACTCCCACGCACCGTAGTTTGTATTTACTGAGCAACGCATTTTGTTACCATCTTAGACTCTACATAAGAAATGGATGTTGGCATTTGGTTGCACATGTGAAGTAGAAAGTGAGTGAAAGAAGCAGGCAGCCACTAGAGGGCATCTTAGCTGGTGTCAAAAGTGAATTTGTTTTATTATTTTCATATCACTAATGAAGGACTTTACTTCACAAGTCTTTCTTTAAATCCACCACCAGGTGTCGTAGCAGCTAATGCTGTTCATCACAACATTATGGTCGCCTATTCAAGACCAATAGGGGGAGATAGAGCACAATATGTTGGGTGAAGTGAACCAACACCAAAAAGAAGGAAAAATAGCATACATTTAGCCATAATGTGCAGCTGTTTGATATTTATTTTTTCTTCAGTGCTGTGACCAAAACCAGATCACGCCACCTACTGGTCTGAGGCACTTACTGTTAGAACATATGATTGACTACTGCACTATCAAATCCAGTTAGCGAAAACACGTCTGGCAGATGTCAGTGTATTCAGACAGCTAACGGCTACATCCATTTCTAATACAATGGTTTCAACTTTAACTCAGTTCTATTAACGTTGTCAAACATTAACAGCATCACCTGCTTTGTGATAAAAATCTCTCCTAAAAACAGTTACATTTCCCTTTAGTAAAAATCCCAGATGCCGTGTTGTCAAATTTCCACCACCTGATCCAGATCTGGATTACAGTACGCTCAGAAAATGACAGATTATTGATTGTAAACCTCCGATGCTAAGTGTGGAGGGTTTACAGTTTGTCAAAACGAAAAACTGACGCAGTGTTTGACAAAGTCGTCAGCACTCAAAGAGTTAAGAGGATAATTAAAAATAAAAATAAAAAACAGATGCTATGGCTTATCTATTATATTTAAGACGAAAAATACATTTAATTTGTTAATGTAATTAGTTTCTTAAGTGACCTTACTTAATGCTATGATTTTTCTTGTCCATGCACATAATTGTGATTCTGACATCCTGTCCTCAATCCTAACACTCCTCGTTGTTTGTACACTTTGTACATAGAGTTCTCCGCTTGCTGTTTTTTTCTAAACGTTTGAGATGTACAAATATAATTCTTTGCTAATATATGCTATCGCCAACCAAGATAACATAAATATAAAGTAAAAAGGAAGAAAATCAATTTGATTCTAAACTGATTTCGACAATTAAAAATGAAGAGACTCCAAGTCAACATTATTGGATAAAAACAGCACATTAGTGACCCCTAGCGAAATCCCACACATTTACAATGTGAATGCCTACAGAAATGTATAACAATTGTTTTTGTCCAACCCCCAGAAATGTAAGAAAACATTAGATAATGTTGAATTTTTTAATAGATATAAAGTTGTCACAACACCTAGTGGTAACAACGAGCAGTACATGATGTCCTGTATCAAGATTCCTGAGTTATATTTTTGTGTTCTTGCAAAACAACTGCATTGAAAGTGTTTTGTTAGCATTTGGCACAAAAATGACTAATCAGCGACCCCTATGTCAACAATTTGTCCTTAACATGCCACACTGAGTAGAATTTTAAATCAGATCACATAAACCCACTGCTCCATGATTCAGTACTTCATCTCCAAATTGTATTCAAATTGTCACCAGTGTGGTCTGTAGACCATAATTAAAAAAAAAAAATTAAAAGTTTTATAATTTAATTATTTATCAGTGAAAAGTCCATATCTTAATGTCACATGATTTGAAGCTTTAAGATGAACGGTCTCTACTTCACTGCACAGCCCTACGTGGTGTTTCATTTCTGTTTGATGCTGTTTTTTATTTGTCAAATTTCTCAGAACATGAGGGACTGTAGGTGTTTTTCTGATGGTGCTAGACGTTTTATCTAATCAAGAAAAAAATATATTTGATTGGACAACAAATAAAACCTGTCTTGACAACAACTGTTTTTATGTTCCTTGTCGTAATGGGGGAAAGTACGTATCATTTCACTCAATATAAATATATTAACAAAGGCATTTTAACTTTGTACTTGAAAAAAGGAAAGAAATAATGGAAGGTTTCCTATATTGTTTTAGACTAGCAATTGCTGTAGTTGGTGCTTATCTGTGGGAAAATCGTGTGAGAAAAAAAATTGGTAACTCACTGTAGCATAATTTATGCGTATGACTCGCTTCCTTAATCTTACATTCCATGTCGTAATATTCTCCATGTCTGCTTTTCTGTTTTAAAATGAAGCTTTGTTTTGTTTGTTAATATTTTTTTTGTGAATCAGAACTAGCATTTTCACTTCTTACTGTTCAAACAGGTCAATAATTTGATGTCAGCTGGTGCCCTTGATGCTCGAGGTGACTTCTTTTATTTCTTTCATTTTTGTCATGACTGTTTTATGGCTTCTACACTTTTTCCCCTCAACACCAGTTCGTACAGCAAATGTAGCAGTCATTACAAAAATTTGAACTCCACATACTTTTGTTTAGTGTCCAGAGAGAAGATTAAAGGCTCCGTATGTACTTGTGCTGGAGAACACTTGAATAAATGTATTGTTTTTGTGCAAAAAAAACCCCACACAAATCTGTCCTTGCTTTGTTTTTTGTTTTCTTTCTTTCTTTTACATTTAAATACTTCTTTTATAGAGACAAGGAGTACAAGGGGAGATGGTCCGGATGACAAGCCTGTGGAGATTATGGCGGATGGAGATGTGCAACCAGGGTGACAGATGGGTTCACGATTATATGAGAATTTACAGCCCAAAAACATGCTTAGTAGGAGAGTAGGTTAATGGGACACTGAAACAACTGTAGGTGTGAATGTGAGTGTGAATGGTTGTTTATCCCTATATGTTGCCCTGGGATGGACTAGCAAACTGTCCAGGGTGAACCCTGCCTTTGCCCATATGAAGCTAGGATTGGCTCCAGCGCCATTCGCTAATGGATGGATGGACGTTATGGTGTAAAAAAAGTTGGTTTAAGTTTTAATTAATTTGTTTCGAAACACTGAAAAATAGCTAGTCGAATTTAATTGAAAAAAAATTAAGAGTGCAATAATGTTCAATATATATATAAAGCAATAACGATTTATTTTATGTACATACAGTACCGTGGACGTCACTCCATTAAAAACAATATATATATATATACGTACATGCATACAAAATATTTGTACATATAGTATATAAAGGTATAATGTGTATTTGTCACTTTCTTTGTTTTTAAGTTAATAGGAAAGTGAGCATGTACGTTCAGTTAAAAGTCACAGGAATATTCCCGCCGTACAGCGGCCATAAAGGATAATACTTGATTAACGTTTATTGTGCTCGGCTATTTTCTCGCCCTTCTTCTTCCCCTCTTCGTCCTCTTCACTGTGGCCACGCCTAAAACTCACAGGGATTGGAAGTTGATGGGACCAAGCCTTCACTCGCTGACGCTGATTGGTGCTTCGCTCTGTCACATGGCTATGAGTCTTCCAATTAAGTCAAGTTACCTGAAGTTATTGCGGCCAGTGCCGGAAACCGTAGGTTTAACGTAAAAAAATAAAAGCGGAAGAAGCGCCAAACAAGAACGTGGAAAATAACATTTTCATGTAAATGTATCGGTACTTTTGTGTTATATGCAAGTAGTTTTAACACCTTACGATACTTTTGTGTTATATGCAAGTAGTTTTACCCCTTACGGGTTTACTTTTAGCGGTCTATTCTCTTGGCAGATGGCGGGCGTTATGTTTTGTTAGTTTTAGCTAATTCGTTTGTATTTCTGGTTAGCGCTTGGTTAGTGAAATGTCAATATACATTTTTAATTTTGGTTAGCGCTTGGTTAGTGAAATGTCATTATACATTTTTAATTTGAAATCCAATATCTTATCTGTTTTTTTGTTTGTTTGTTTGTTTGTTTTATCAGGTAATATTCAGTGTTACAGAATATATGGTAGTTAGTAACGACAATCGTCAGCCTTTTGTTTTGAAAAGCTACAGTCGGAAAACTAACTCGTGTGTTTTTGCTGACTTGTCATTGATGAGGTCGCGCTCTGCTGGTCTCAGATCAGCCGGGAAGGCTTCCATCTGCCGTGTGTGTGTTTCGGTGTGTCTGATTGGGAAGTGCCTGTCTGGGATTGAGTTCCTGTCAGAAAGTGAGCAGAGGAGCCGGGAGGAGCAGAAGCCTCATCAGCAGGAGCAGGAGCAGGAGCAGGAGGAGGAGGTCCAGAGAGGAGGTGAGTGATGCACATCATCAGGTTTGTTCCTGGTCGTTTCTGCAGCAGGGCTCCCCCAAAATCCTCCTGAGGGAGACTTTGTTTCCAGGCCTGGGTGTCTGGGTGTGAGCGCCTCCTGTCAGCATCATACAGACCTGAAGCTCCGGCTACACCTTCACACATATAAGGTCGGAGTGATGGTGTCGGAGGAGGGACCAGGTCCTGGTGATAGCTGGGTGGAGGTTTTTAGGCCGGTGATGGTAAAGCTCCTGCAGGATCAGGATCAGGATCAGGATCAGGACTCACAACGGTTTCTTTGTGTCAAGTTGCACAAGTGTCATCATCCCAGTGCATTCACTACCGGTCTGAAAAATGCAAAAATATTACCACTATAGTCGATTTAAATAGAAAAAATACATGCGGTTTTTTAACATTATTAGAATAAATGTAATTAAATGTTGACGCATGTGCAATAGCGGAGAAAAATCAATCGATTAATCACACGTTAGTTCGTCGTTGGTTCTTAGCGGTCCTTTTTAGATTTTGACTGTGAAAGGTTTTATAAAAGTGAAAAATGTTTACCTGTTATAAACGGTATCCAGTGCAGGATATTAATTATTATTATTATCATTATTATTGTTATTATCATATTATTATTACATTTTATGCCAAATCTGGCCAATAATTATGGGAAATACATATATTTGCTTTTATATAACAACAACAATAATAATAGTATTATTGTTGTTGTAATAAATGATTAGTCATGGTAGCATTAGTATCAACTGCTCCATCAGCAGATCTAAATATGTTAAGGAGCCCATGCAGTGAAGTTGCCCCACCCTCTCATGGACGCATTGTTATTACACACGCACACACACACACACACACTCACACGTATCATCCATCACCACAACTTTAATGTTCAACACACACCCTCTTCCTAACATCCACCAGAACATGACGAATGAGGTGGAGCCGACCGAGGTCCAGGTCCTGGGCCTCCTCCAGGGCTTTAAAAAAGGAAAAAACAACCAGTGACTGAATACAGGTTTCACCATTTACAACAATAACCACACATGCGTGCATTTGTAAATCGCTGAAACCGTCGTGTGATAAGGATCTTGAGGAGTCTGTCTTTGTTGTTCATGAAAATTTAATCAGTGCCAGTAAGAGTATTCAGAGTTCACAGTAGACTGAAGTACGCTCTGTCGTTATCTTGGGGATTTGTCTTGTAATAAGGAGCAGATTTCATAATCCAGAATAAATCTCTTCTCCAGTGACTGACAGATTGTAGATTCCACTTCATCCACTTTTGCTGATTCAGTCAATTAACAAATATCTGTCTATTTATTTCTTTAACACTGTGTAAAGTGTACTGCATAAAAATACCACGACCCAAGCACACAATTTCTACTGTAGTATTTTAACAGATGAAGTGTTTTTCGTCCTGGCAGAGAAGGAACTACCAAGTTTTTGCTAGAAAAGGAGCAGGCATGTTCCAAAGTCTGGCTCGGGGGCTGATCATGGTACCTGGGTATGGCTTACGTGTCCATACACTGATTTCATTGAAGTTGAACATTATTATTATACCATGGTGTATAATAGGGTGTACTTCATGTACTTAGTGTACACCTTGGTATAATTAGTGTAAATGATTCCTGAACTTTTCTTTTTTTTGTATTGTTACCTCAGAGGGATTTCTAGTCCAACTTTCTGTTATTGTTCCGATACTTTTTCCTGATTATTGAGTTCAGAATATCAGTACCCCACTGCTACATTAATTTTTAAATATTTATGGTTTGTGTGTCTTATTTTTTCATGTGTTTTGTAACTTAACATGCCAAACAAAAATTGATTTAAAAAAAAAAATCTGTCAAAGTAGATGGAGTTTATTATATTCCTGATTATAAGTATTCACACGTACTTTGTCACGTACTTTGAGACTGTATACCATTATTCATTATTCTGGCTGCATATTGATGATTGAGCATCTTTGTGCTCCCCCAGTGTCACTAAATAATAGCCCTTTAGACTCTGGTGTGCCTCTTATTGTGATCTACAACTGGCCCCACTCCTCTCTGTGTACGACCACATCAGCGTCCAGCGGGACGTCAGGTCACAGGCGGGGACTGACACCACTGACTCAGGCTCCGTGGCTGGTGTCAGTCACATTCTGACAGTCTGGTCTCAGAGCAGCAGCTAACGGCTAACACTTCTCTATCTCCTTAGGTCTCACTGCACCGTGTCACAATGAGGTGAAAGGAACTCTGTGCAGTTTTCACTTTGTTCTGTTGGATTTCTTTGGACTTAAACTTTCTCTCTCCCTCTCCCACAGAGCCGTAGCCATGTCTTCCAACTCAGCGATGGTGCGGATCCTGATAAAAGGTGGGAAGGTGGTGAACGACGACTGCACCCAGGAAGCAGACGTCTACATCGAGAACGGCATCATCCAGCAGGTGGGGAAGGAGCTGATGATCCCTGGTGGAGCCAAAGTGATCGACGCTTCAGGGAAACTCGTCCTTCCTGGAGGGATCGACACCAGTGTCCACCTGGAGGAGACCTTCATGAACGCCACCACCGCTGATGACTACTACAGTGGAACCAAGGTAGAGTTCTGCTGAGAACCAAAGACATACTGTATGATGGGAAGATTTGGGTTTGAAAAGAAACAGTTCTAGGAATTAAAATGGTTTTTCCTTGTAGTAATTGATTTCGTTTGAGTATAAAAAGTATGAAGTATAAATGTGATAGTATTTCGTTTGAGTATAAAAAGTATGAAGCATAAATGTGATAGTCTAAACAAAGTAATAAATGCGTAAATAAATGTAACTAAAAATAATTTATGAGGTCATGAGTTTCCAATCGTGCAAAAGTAATTTCCTGTTGCTTGTCGCAAACTCATACTTTTAAATTTAGACAGAATTAAAATTTTTAAAAATGTATGTTAATTAATTAATGTTACACAAAAAAGTGAAAAAAATGATTTAAAAAAAACAAATTTACTAAAAAATTCACTAAAAAAATCTAAATCACAAACAAGCTAAAAATAAATCCAAGGAATTAGAAACGAACTACAGTATTTACAAACCCCAGAAATATCGTTGTTCCTTCACAGTAACAGCTGACATTTGGGTTCAAATTGAGTGCAAATCAATAAAAATGGCTTCAGAGAATATAAAAGACTTGTTAACTCTTGTTAACTCTTGTTAAAGTCATCACAGTATGAAGGAAAACCTACAAAAACAAACAAGGACTTCAGGGACCAAACCCACCAAGACACCACGTCTGTAGTGACAATATATTTAGCCTAAAAACGCTAAAAATATCTCAAAGTTTGACAGCTGCTAAAATCCACTCTGGTCAACAGCGTGTCCTCACTGCTCGTGTTGAAAGTCTTCAGATGAACACATCAAAGATGATTCAGCAGTTTTGTGACGCTGTAGCTCAGCAGCAGAGACCGATGTCGGTCTGATTGTGCTGGTCATCGTGGTTGCGGAGAACACCAGCGTCTGCTGCTGATCGCTGTAGTGACTCATCACCCTGTGGCGCTGTGAGAGAATGTGAGACGAACCACACTGAGATATAGACGGGGTAGTGACTCGTTCTCCCCTCTCCTCACCCCCTACACCTCCCCTCCGTCTCCTCCATCACCGTCGTTCCTCCAGTCCAACCCAGTTCATCTGCATCTCTGAGCGCAGATGACTATCTGTTCCCATGGTTACCAGGGAGCTGCTGCAAAAGCCTTTTCACTCTCACCATTGTGCTTTGAGACAATGGCTGTCAGATATGTCCCCCCCGCTGTCCCCCACCCATCCAGTTTCCACCTCCCTCGTCGTGTTGCCTCTCGCTACACACTGCTCTGAGTCTCTGGGGTCAGCTGACAGATGCTCACTGAGGCGTGCACTCACACACAAAACACACTGTGTTTTATTTGTTTGGTGAGTGTAGTTGGAACCTCTCCATTCAGCTGGGTTAGAGTCAAAGCACCAAGTAGTGACACTTCAGAACTGTGGCAGTAATGGCTTCTCCCACAGGTTTGGTCCGGTCGACTACACATAACAATAAAGATGAGCATCACTGTTAGGATGGCTTTTACTTATAGCTTTATAGCAGCAGCTGTGTCCATCGTTTGTTATGGTCTCTTTAGAGTTTATAGACTTATTACAAATCCATATTATTTCAGCAGCACTTCATGATCCTGAATTGACCTGAGAAACATGAGTGTTTTGGTTTCAGCGTTGAACTACGTCAGAATTTATGACGCTAATTATGATAGTGCCGAGTTTCAGCGTTGAACTACGTCAGAATTTGTGACGCTAATTTTGATAGTCAACCAGTGAATTATTGCAGCTTGAACTTTTCACAAAAAAAATCTAATTTTTTTTTTTAAGAAACTGAGCCAATGCTATAAAAACAAGATTTGACACAAACCTCCAGAGTTGGCCACAGAAAATTTCTTGTAGTCAAATTTGTAAAGTGAGCCAACGTTGTTGCCATGGAGACACAGGCTGTAAATGTGTTTCGCAAGAAATTACATTCTGTTTATTATATGCAGTTTTCACATGTTAAGATAATCGTCCTGCAGCTGGGTGTCAACCATAACAGGGTTTGAGGATGTTTTTAATTACACTGTAGATCAGTGGTTTCCAACATGGGGGGCAGGTGTCCCTTGGGGGCACAGAGAAATTGCAAAGGGGGGTGCAGCAAGGCAGCAATTTTTTTTCTTTGTGCCAAAGTTGGAAAAATGCCCTTATGTGTATCTTATTTAAAAAAATAATAATTTGGGGTTTTGTTTATTTGGGGTCTCAACAACAGTTTTTTCAACAAAAGGGGGCGCTGCAGAAAAGGTTCTTCCCAGTCTTTCTGATGATATAATAAAAACCTGTATATCAACAGTGCAGCTCAACTCAATATCATAGCATTACATTTATCCAACTGGCATCTTGCTTTTCCAGGCGGCTCTCGCTGGCGGAACAACAATGGTGATTGGACACGTTCTGCCAGAGAAGAACGAGTCTCTGCTTGAAGCCTACGAGAAGTGCCGTAGCTCAGCAGACGCCAAAACCTGCTGCGACTACGCCCTGCATGTGGGAGTGACTTGGTGGGGACCCAGGGTATGGCACCCCTCAACAGTCCCTCTCATGATCAGATCGGATTTTTTAATTCATATAATAGTCCATAGATCAGATCGGATTTTTTAATTCATATATTAAAGTCCACACATTCCTGGGATGTGTTTTTTTTTATTCTAGTGAGAAACGTGAAACTGTGCACATGTCATTGTGAAATGTTCATACTTCCTGCAGGTGCAGGCAGAGATGGAGAAGCTGGTGAGAGAGGAAGGAGTCAACTCCTTCCAGATGTTCATGGCCTATAAAGACACGTTCATGCTGAGGGACAGTGAGCTGTTCCAGGTCCTGCACCACTGCAAGGACATCGGAGCTATCGCCAGAGTCCATGCTGAGAATGGAGAGCTGGTGGCAGAGGTGACAGAGACCCTAACATTTGTTGGTTGTGATTGTGTGTAGATTTTAATGATGTCATTTATGAAGGGTTTTTTTATTTTGTGGTTCCAGGCTGCAAAAGAAGCTCTGGAGCTGGGGATCAGTGGTCCAGAGGGGATTGATATCAGCAGGCCTGAAGAGGTACGGTGGTCAGGGTTAGTTAGCTGTCCACTACATGTATATAAAATTCAATATTATCAATATAGAAAAATGTAAGTGCTGATTCAGCAATGAATTAAAGCCCAGTCTCACCTCTGAATTATGATGACTCCTCACTTGATGTTTTCTTTTCCAGCTGGAGGCAGAGGCGACTCACAGGGCAATTACCATCGCCAACAGGGTGAGGCAGACTTTATCTAATGGACATGAAATGAAACGGTTATCTGATGCCTTAAAAACCTGTATTTGCCACAGGTTAAAGTCTAAAAAGAGAGACTGAAAGTATTTGTTCTTGAATCGAACCTTGAAACAGGTGTTAATCATTTGTACTTAGTCAGTGTTGTGATCAGTGGTCATCCAAGTTTGTTTCCTTAATCACGTTGCTTCACATTTGAGTGATGCGTCGTAAACATTAAATTTGGACATTAGCGCTCATGTCTTATTACACCGAGATTCCCTGAACAGCTCTTTGAAAATCCCTTAATCCCTTAAAAATTACATTTATGGTGGATTTATGACACACACCTGAAGAACATGATGAGTTTTCCATCAGCATTTACTTCTGTAGTGCTTATTTGTGCACATTAGCGCATAGCACAAGGCTAGCATGCACTAATGAACCTTTAATGATGTGGCTGCATTAGCATTTTAAAAATGTTAGCATAGCTTTAGACTGATTTTTGAGCGAGTCAACACACTTCAAATCTAATCATAATCACAGTTTTTTAGTTTTTTTTTGTTGTTGTGTGATGCAGGTTGTGTTTTGGAGCTTAGCTGCTAGCATGGCTGTTAGCATGGCATGCAGGTTGTGTTTTGGAGCTTAGCTGTTAGCATGGCTCTTAGTTGTAACAGGAATATTTTTGTTTGTGTTTTTTTTCCTAGGCTCACTGTCCCATCTATCTTGTGAATGTTTCCAGCATGACAGCAGGAGATGTAGTGGCTACAGCCAAAATGCAAGGTGACGTTCACGTCTACTGGTGTAAAGCTACAAAAGTACATTAGAAATAGGTCATTCCCAGTGAACTGCTCTACTTGTAATTTGAACTCTATTGATCTCATATTTGGGAATTTGTTAACAGCTGATATGCTGTTAACAGGCTGGCGCCAAGCAGGCGCCTAGCAGAGGGTTTCTCTGGGAATCAAACCTAGGACTCTCTGCTTCTGAGTCAGCCGTGCTAACCGCTACACTATAGAACCGACTCTGTTGTTCTGATAGACTTTTGTCTGGACCGCCTGTTACTATGGAACCGACTCTGTTGTTCTTTGTCTTCACCTGTCACTGTCTGATGGATGAAGATAAAATATTTGCAGTAAATAAATAATAGTTTTTCAGACCATCTCTATCGGCACGGTATTTGGAAATCACTGCATTGACATTGACATTGATGTTGACAAAACCATATGTTGTGAGACAAGAGTACACGGCTGCTACAAATTCAGGTAGCCTCATTCTCCATTGACCCATACTGTATGAATATCAAGTACAACTTACTGTATTAGTGGTGCCCTCTAGGGTTTCCCTGCTAAAACACACTGCAACAGACATATCTGTGCCCATTTTCTATCTACAGTTTATGATTCAGGATCAACATTTAGAGTAAGTCACAGGACTAGTTGTCTGACTCTGGTCTCACCGCAGGTAAAGTGGTCCACGGAGAGACCACCACAGCCCACACAGTGCTGAATGGTACACAGTACTATCACCAGGACTGGGCCTTCGCCGCCGCTCATGTCACCGTGCCTCCTCTTCGTGTGGACCCAGCCACGCCCAATTTCCTGATGAGCCTTCTGGGAAAGTATGTATAAAGAATTAGTCTTGTCAAATATACATTTGTTTCTTTCTATTCTGCCTTCACGGTGTAACTGTGACTGTCCGTTTGACTCTGTGTGGCCTTCAGTGACACTCTCAACGTTGTGAGCTCCGATCACCGTCCCTTCACCGTCAAACAGAAAGCCATGGGTAAGGATGATTTCACAAAGATCCCTCACGGTCTGCCTGGCATTCAGGACCGCATGAGCGTCATCTGGGAGAAAGGAGTGGTACGTGTGGCTCTTTGTTCTTGTCTGGCTGCTGACAACAGTGAGAAACTAGGACATCTGTTTGGGTTTTGAGGTTATTGATTGGTCCTTCAAAGACAGTCTTTCTCGCCCGCTGCCACTTTTAGCTGAAACTGATTATTTTCTTCTTATCTGTGAACTAATTTAATTTATTCCTTCATTTTGTTTTTTGTTTTTTTAGATTGGAGGAAAGATGGACGAGAATTGCTTTGTTGCAGTCACAAGTTCAAACGCAGCCAAGATCTACAACCTCTACCCCAGGAAAGGCAGAATCATCCCTGGGGCAGATGCTGATGTGGTGGTCTGGGACCCCGAGGGATCCAAGTATGAAACAGGATCCATCCACTCATCGACCAGCCTTTCTCACTAAAGCTCTTAGCCCATTTCTCAAAGGCTGATCAGGTTTTTGGTCCAGCTAACCTGAGTGGTTTCTGTCTCTCTCTGCTTCTCCTCTGCCTTCAGGACCATCTCTGTGGACAATCAGGTCCAGGGAGGAGATATCAACCTGTACGAAGGCCTCCGCGTCCACGGCGTACCTCTGGTCACCATCAGCCGTGGGCGGCTGGTCTATGAAAATGGCATATTTACGTGTGCAGAAGGTTCTGGAAAGTTCTGTCCTCTGAGGACCTTCCCAGATTATCTTTACAAGAAGATGGTTCAGAGGGAAAAGGTATGAGTCCATGATGTCATCGCTTCTAGAAAATCACACAGTTTGTTGAGTTTGATGTGAGCCTGTGACCAATATTGGATTTTTGGTGGGCGAGGTAAAACATTTTTTACTATTCCAACCAACAATACAGTAGGTTTAACATGTTGGATATGGATATTTATCCCATCACATCTGCCTCACACGGAGAAGGTCCAAAAGATTGAGCCCCAGAGGAACCACGTACTCAACGGCGCCTCCTGTGGCAACCTGTGTGGGTTGCAAAGACTCACACTGAATTTTCCCATTAAGGGACTGATATATTTTACCTGAGGTGCTATAGTGTAGTGGTTATCACATCTGCCTTACACACAGGGGGTGCTGGGTTCAAGGCCCACAGGAACCCGGTATGGCACCTCCCATGTGGCAGACTCACACTGTGAATGGACTTGGTTCTAAAACTTTAGCTCACTTCCTGGGACATTCGTTTTAATGATCTTTTTGATCTTTGTCCACCAGAGCCAGGCGGTGAAGGCTGTGGAGCGGGAGCCGTATAACGGTGACGTTGTTCCAGTGGCCAATTCAGGAAAGAGGGATTTTGGGGCTTTAGATGTGGACACCCCAACACGTCCCTGCACCAGACATGGGGGGGTGAGGGACCTCCACGAGTCCAGCTTCAGCCTGTCTGGTAGGAAAGAATTATTATTATTATTTCAAATATGATTTTGAAAAAAGTTTAAGTTTGGGTGAGAAGTAGAAATGATCTGCTTGGAGTTTTTGGAGTTTTTTTTTGTTTATTTATTACTTTTTTTTTAGTTTGATTTATTTTTTTTAATTTAGCTTAACGTTTTGACATGTTGTGTTATTTTTCTCTATTTTTTAGCTCTTATTTTTTAGTTAATTGAAAACTAATTTTCTGTGTTTTTTATTTGGTCTTTATTTATGTTGCATTGTGACAAGACTTTTAGTTCAAACTTTTGACAAGTTTTCTGATATGTTTTAGTTAAATTTGTTAACTAAATATAGTGACTGTTTTTTTTTTCATTTTGTTAATTTAGAAAGTGAACTGATTCTAAATATAATTTTATGATTTTTTTTTTTATTAATCTTTATACCTAAATTCTAAATATAATTTTATGATTTTTTTTATTAATCTTTATACCTAATTGTTTTATCGTATTCAGTATTATAGATTGCCTCGTGGTGGTGCTACTGTGAAAGAATCCAGACAAATTTTCATCTCATCGTAAACTGTATTTTGTGTGGAATAAAATGCCTAAAATCCCCTGTAAGCTTTTAAAACTTTCATTAGACTTTACTGCAGTCAGGTTGAAAACATTTGCAACCTGACTTTCAAATGTATTTTTTATAAAAATTTAATATAATGTAGATTTAAAGTAAATATTCTAATGAGGGAACAAACCTCAAATGTTTCAGAGATTGATATTAAACACAATATGTCTAAAACTTCAGTAGTACTGCAGATTTTACAGTACTTGGAATACATGTACCTTGGGTATTAATATTAAGCAGCTCTGTCAGCTTTCATCAACAACAGAACCTTGTTTCACCCTCATCAGTCATGATTCATAATCAAACAGTTCAGTCCTTTAAAGTACTGCTCTGATCCTATAAAGTATGTGATAATCCTTAGCTCCGACCGGAACTGTTTTATTCCTGACTCTGTCGATTGTTGAGACAAAAGCAACTCCTTGTGTGTCAACGTTTCACTCACGTCATCTTTACCCCACGCTGTTTCAGGTGCCCAGTTCGATGACAACATTCCAAAGAGATCGTCAGCCAGGATCCTCGCTCCTCCTGGAGGGAGGTCCAGTGGGATCTGGTAACAAAGTGGGAAATGGTCACATGAGAAAACAAAAAAAATGAAACCTGAGGGGAGTTTACAACCAAGCAACAACTTTTTATTTATTGAGGGGGGAAAAATCGTGAAGTGACAGAGTCATGTTTCATTTTAAGGCCTTCAAACATTAATTCTGTAACAGTGAGAAAATGTGAAGTAAAGCAAGGTCGCCTCAGTGGGTGAATCTGCCAACATTCACTGCAGTCTCAATCAAAACAGGCTGAAAATTCCAAACCATAACCTGCTGGGGAATCACTCTGGTCGTTGAGATCATTAACTGACTAATAGTTGTAGGATTTTGAAGGTGAGTCATGGTTTTTCTGACGTGACTCGTGTGACCTCACTGTAAAACACAACTTTGCACTTGTATCATGTTCTTCTTGGATGCCTTTTCTACATGAGTTGATGTCACAAATGTTTTTTTTGTTTTTTTTATAACTGCGAATTGTAATCACTTGTTGCGGTGGCGTCTGCGTGACATTAAACTGTCGTTATTAAAGCATAGAACTGACTGATGGAGAGCTAGTGACTCGAGCTAACGGCTGAATGGGTTTATTTATGTTTTTATGCCACATTAGTTCATTAGCTCTCTCTGCTACTGCTGCAGGTGAATGTGTTTTGTTTTTTTTTAAAAAACACTCACATTTTTAAGGTTAAACTTTTGGCTTTGTTGCCCCTCAGACTTCTGTTCTGCCCCTACTGAATGTGAATTACCCCTGCGGTGCAGTTACTTTGTTAGACACCTGCAGTTGGCACTAGTGTTGCACATTCATTTGTTTTAGCATGCATGCAAAAAAAAAATGTTACTACTGAAAACACCTTTATGTTATAAGCTTTTTTTAGTTTCTCATTCATATGTAGAGATGCAAACAAACAAACAAACAAACAAACAGATCATGGAAGCTCTGACACAAAACACAAAAAAACCTCATAAAAAGCACTGAAATTTAGCTACATTTTGAAAAAACCTCATAAAAAGCACTGAAATTTTGAAACTGAAACTGCTACATTTTTCCTCTAATGAAATGTCATGTTTTTTGCATACTTTTTTAATATGTAAACCTCTTTGTTTTTGTGTGTGTGTCAGTGGTGTCACACACAATGTTTTTGGTTCAGACCAGGAGTCACGCTGCTGCAAAAGTCTTCTGTCCACTGTTGTGTCCTCTCATTTGTCCCAAATGTACACTGGTGCTAAACAACAATTTTCTTTTTTTTATGTCACTCCCTTTTTTTATTCCTGCAGCTTTTTATCACATGATTTGAGTGCAAATAAATCAGAGGAAAATGATCAGCTGGGTGTGGAGTGAGATGTGTCTTTAATCCTGCCTGAACACATTTGATTGTTATTTCCACTCCGGGCGGTTGTAAATCTTTGATTTACGATGCCTTTGTACATTTACTCAGCTCAGATAGATACAGAAGGTGAGAAGTTTGTATAGGGAGTGAGGAAACACGTCGTGGAATGAAGAAAATGAAAATGAAAAGTTAATAAATGTTGGGTGGGTAGGAGAGGTACAAAGGTGTTCAGGGAGGTGGGTAGTGGACGGGTAGACAGGAAAGAGATCATCACAAAAAATAAAAGATTAATTAAAATAATCCTCCAAAAAACAAATGAAATCACACACTGATCTAGCAAAAGAGATCATCACGGGAGAGAAAGACCCTTTCATTCCATGGAACTGGAGGAAAACTCCAGCAGATCCTGGATCAGTTTTGCTGTCTGACTCGGCAAAAACCAGAGGGGCAGAAGGGGGAGAGCAGGAGCGGACTTACAACACTGATACAGTCAGACACTGATACAGTCAGACACACTGTTAGAGTACAAACAAGACAGTTGTATGAAGAACTTGATCATTAGAGTTGGATGTTATAGTAGTTCTGCTGAGCTAGAGTTTATTAGTCCTGAATAAATATCAGTTATTAGAGGTAGACGGAGAGATAGATAGATAGATAGTTTTATTTATAGTTATGCAAATATCTGATTAAAATCAGATTCACAGCAGCCGTTTATATTTTTGCTGACGTCACCAACAACAGCGGCAGCAACAGGCTCCAAATCCAAATCCGACCACATCATGTGTCTCCTGGCTAGAACAGGCCAAAGTCCTATTTATAATGAAACCTCCAGCAGCATGGAGTCGGGCGCATGCGCAGTGTCCGCCGGATTGTTGCAGCCGCCCCAGACAGGGCGGCCCGTTACCAAGCGAGCAGAGACTGCACCGCGCAGGTTCTGACAACGACGCCAGCAGCAGCGGGCTCTGACAGGAGCAAGAACACGGCCTCCGAGAACACGGAACCTCCGGGAAAACTGTGAGTAGCACACGGGAGAATTCCTCTCTCTTTTCCAGTTCACGCACGGCTCCGTTCGTCAGCCTTTATTCTCATGCACTGAGCCGCAGATTGGCGGAGCGCTCTGTGTCCGGCTGAGGTTTTGGAGCAGGCCTGTAGAGGGGGCCGCTGCTGGGAGCAGAGGAAGAGGCAGCGCTGCGGCTTTCTAAAGCAGGAGGCTCCCACTGACTGGAGACACCAGTTATTGTTCTCCGCTCAGGCTGCAAATGTCAGACCCCCGCCCATTTCTCACCAGCACGCTCTCCATCCTGGGATTTTTTAATTTTCCATTATTTTTTTAGTTTTTTGTTGCAGTCATTAGCAGATTAGTCCAGGCCCTGGTGATTCGTTCTGTCTTTTAGGGATAATAATTGACTTCCGTTACCTCCGAATGAATAAATGAAACCTCACATACAGCAGAAGCTGCACCAGTGCAGACCGAGGGTCCTGCTGACGGAGACGGTGCTAGCACCTCATTTTGTAGTCGTAGGTCCGACCGAGCCCTAACGTGAGAATGCATGGTGTAAATGCTGCATGTGCATTCACACAGTGAGTGGAATCACTGTGGTGCACTTTGGCAGGTGAGCTGCCGCAGACACAGTGGTTTGGAGCTGGAAACCTTGAATTTATTTTTATTTTTTTTACCTTTTCATGGTTTTCACTGCAGGGATTATGTCAGAACAGTAGCACTCTGTTGCAGAGGTCTCAACATTTTTAACGTACTGATGGAGCAGAGACCCCTTCTTTAATATAAATGATATAAAGTTCTAAACAGATCTATTTATAGGAATTAATCGACAATTTATCAACAAATCCTCCATTCAGGTCTAAACAGTTTCCTCTTTGTCTTTGGAGAATTCTGAAGGATTCCCCCGTCCCCAGGTCCCTGTCCCCAAGTCCCTGTCCCCAAGTCCCTGTCCCCAGATCCCCGTCCCCAGGTCTCTGTCCCCAGAAATACAGTTCCTTTTCGAATGACCTTTTAGTATTTTTGCGTAAAACCTGAAGAGAAAAAAAATGAAGCCAGATCAAAACATGTTGCGAAGCTTCAACATCTGTGGCTCTTGTTCTTTCAAGTTTGGGTAAATGTTTGATAGTTTTAATGATTTTTAAGTTGCATAAAACGGAGCGATCAGCGATTAAAGTCAGACACCTTAGAAATGATCTGTCCCAGGACTTTTGGACTCACCTTCGTATCTGTTATTATTCACTGAGCTGCTTCAATAACATACTGCTCCAAATGTTTCATCTTTTTTAATTTTTTTCCTGTAACCTCAGTTGAAGATCCCCGGGTTGATCAGCGGAGTAGGATTCCAGGTTTCCAGTGATACGTCTGTGTAGTATGAGAACCGTCTTTACTCTTTAATACACAGTATATTTAATCCAAGAATACCTTCAACTTCAGGATGCTAAAACAAAGGGTTCACACTCACAGAAGTACTTCAGATATACTTCAGGGAGTAGATCACAACTCTTCCTAAGAGCTTACAGTACAGTGTACGCCGAGATTAAGGATGTACTACTCATTTGTGTATTGCATGAAGCAGTATTTTGACAACAGAATACTATGGTCGTGTAGTACCAGGAACATTTATTTTATATTCTTTATTTTTTACAACAGCTTCCTCTATTGGCACCACTGTAAAAGTAGACATGTAGTAGATGGAGCAGATGTACTGCAGTAGTATATAATAACTGCACAGTTACAGTGATGCTGAAAGTCAATTATAGGAGTACTTAATAAATCAATCACATTTTTAAAAAAATATTTCTCCAACTTCCAAATAAACAACTGGACTGAGTGAAGGTTTAAGTCTGAGTTGATCATGTGATTTCATGAATCCTCATGGAAACAGTTTGTGAAGTTTCTCTGTGTGTTTCAGTTTTCTGTTTCCTTGTTTCCCAGGTAGGAGATGGCGGTGAATGTGTACGCAACGTCTGTGTCTATTGACAACCTCAGCCGACATGACATGCTGGCCTGGGTCAACGATTCTTTACAGCTCACCTACACTAAAATTGAACAGCTGTGTTCAGGTAACAATGAGAGCTTCTTAGTACTTCAAGTAAACTGCTGTCACGTGACCACAAAACAAGAGATGGCAAAGTAAAAATGTCCGCACCCTTGTGTCTTCCAGGAGCGGCGTACTGCCAGTTTATGGACATGTTGTTTCCTGGTTGCATTCTTCTGAAAAAGGTCAAATTTCAAGCCAAGCTGGAGCACGAATTTATACACAACTTCAAAGTCCTGCAGGCGGCGTTCAAAAGGATGAGTGTGGACAAAGTCAGAATCTTTTAATGACCACTTCCTGATGCATCAGCTGTCGTCTTGCTCTGAGAGGTTCAAACTTTTCCTGTTTCTGATTTTCAGATCATTCCCGTAGAGAGGCTGGTAAAAGGGAAGTTCCAGGATAACTTTGAGTTCGTGCAGTGGTTCAAGAAGTTCTTCGACGCCAACTATGACGGCAAGGAGTATGACCCGTTACTATCCAGACAGGGGCAGGACGTGGCCCCTGCCCCCAACCCAGGTGATCACTTTAGCCACAAACCAAAGAGAACCCCAGGTAAATGAAACAGTTCTGCCTTTGCTGCACGGGCTTGCTGAGCTTTGGATGGCTCAATGGCGCTAACTGCAGGCAAGTGGTGTGAGCAGCACGATCTGACCGCTGTCTTCTTTGGTCCGTCTCACTGGTCTACAATCTCAAAAAAATCCTGAAGGTGTGAAAGCCTGTTCAGACCTGGTTTAAATGTCAGAAATACAACCAGAATACTGCAGATCAAAGTGTGAGTTTTAGCTAGATTTACTGTAATTTGTGTTAATTAGTTAAACTGGATTTAAGTGTCAACCACTGTTAGCTAAAAGAGCTAAGAAAACAGCTAAGGTTTTCCAATAAGATACTTAGAAGTACGTAAAGATAACCATCTAATGGTTAAAGTCAGCCTTCACCATAACTGTTAAGTAGTCAAGAAATACGGTTAGCCAACAAAAGATCAAAAATGCTCAAAGTAAGCAAATCCTATAATACAGGATATAATTTAGCTGTTAAGGTAGCTATACTGAGCCAAGAGTTACATTTGAAAAGTTCTTTAGAAAATAGCTAAGAAAATAGCCAAGGGTTAGCCACCTTGAAGATACCTAGAAGTGATTCATTTTCCCAATACATAAAAAAGGTAAACAACTGGACTTTAAGATGGCTATAAATAGCCAAAAAATAGCTTTGATAAATTGCTAAGAAAAATAGCTTAGAGACTATCTGAAGGTTAGATGGTAACATGGCTAAAATTGCTTATAGTTCACCATTAAGATAGTTGTAAGTAGCTGAGATATACATTTAAAAAATTCAGTTCAAAAAATAGCAGTAGCTATGAAAATATCTACAAAAATTTAAGGGAAAACATTTTCAGCTAAGAAAATTGCTAAAGGTTAGCCTATAACATACCTAGAAGTGAAGTGATGTGTTTTCCCAACAAACATTTTTACAGCCAGACTCAACAAAAACAGTTGTCTGAAACTATGGTCATGTGTGTCATTGTGTCACAACAATCTTAGGTTGTGACAGAAGACACGTACTATACAAATACTTCCTAAACTCCCAGGTCTAAACAGCACCCTCTCTGCCCAAACGTCACCTGAGTGACCAATTCTGATCAGAAAACCTTTATTTATTTGATCATGTCATTTGAATTTGGATTCGGTCACAGTCAATTGTATCAAAGGACCCAAAGAAATGCCAACTTTTTTTAGTGTGCTGCATCATGCAGGTGATGCAGCACTGCTGCAGCTTCATTGTATTGATCAGAAGGAGGAGGTGTTTTCAGTTTTACTAACAAGAGTATGACCAGCCTGGCTCTGTCTCTTACAGCTTTAAAAGTCATCACAAACAAACCCGACTTGATTGGAACTGTGTGGTGGACCTGCTGGTAATCTACTGCAGTCACTTTTCAAGTTGTAAAATAGCATGTGTTGTCATTGGTTTATTTGGCACTTACAGAGGTTTAACATTTTAATTTCTCTTCAACCCGTTGTTACATTACCTGATGCTCCAGGCTGATGTCATCAGCTCTCTGTAGTGTGCTACGTGCACTGCCAAAGATGCTACTAAGCCAAATCTACTGTAAAAGCGATTGATTTGGTTTTTCAACACCTCTCGCTAACTTTGACCCCTGCAGGACCACAGAGGACGTCTCCCACAGTTCCCAAAAACATGCCAACGCTACAGAGAGTCCAACACAACACTCCAGTCATGAGGAAGAATCCGCCCTTGTCCAGAAACGGAGGCAGCGATGCTGAGATAATGGAGCTAAATCAACAGGTAAGAGTTTCATCAGTTAAGATCGATTCGTTATTGTTGAACCTGGAGCTCTGGCTGTGTGAGGGTTTGGGGCAAATGCACTGTGAATATTTCAGTTTGATGTTAGAATGAACAGAAGTTAAAGTAAGAGCATATAGTTAGCCATTAGCTTGCTAAATAATGTTCCAAACCTAAGCTAAACATTAGCACAGGATGAGCTTAAAATTAACAATGATTTCATGGCCACAATATGACATAGATATCAGCTAAATGTAAAAACAAATAAAAAATTAATTGGTCAAAATGTAAAAACTCCAACACTGTTTGCACAGTGTGGATTCCTGGCGTATAACATAACATGGAGTAAAACAGATACAGGATTCCTCTCCAGGCTGGTTGTCAGTGACACCTGATCCAACTGTTCCACATCAGACTTATGGAGGGAATTGTTTTTCTTCTTCTCTCTGTTTATCTACACAGTTTCTCATTTGTTTTCTGTGTTTTCCTTCTTTGTTTTCTAAGTTGATGGAGTTGAAGTTGACCGTAGACGGACTAGAGAAGGAGAGAGACTTCTACTTCAGCAAACTACGGGACATCGAGCTGATCTGCCAGGAGCACGAGAGCGAAAACAACCCCGTCCTCAGCAGGATAATTGACATTCTCTACGCAACAGAGGTACAGAGTGGGAGGGGGGGAGTTTGGGAGACAACGTTTTGAAACTTCCAATTTAGCTTCTATGTGATTTGCAACATTTTATCATCATTATCTCGAGGAAAAGAGTTGCACTTCCAGAACAGGAAGTGCCTGTCTTCAAGAAACTCTTGAAGACGCGGCTCTTCAGAGAGCACCTCCTGTCGTAGCACTCTCCTGTCCTCCTCTACCCCTACCCTCCTCTATCTCCTTCTGCACTTTCCTAACTACGGGTCTCCTTCCAAGAGTTCCTCTGTGTAACCCAGGCATGGGCAAACTACGGCCCGTGGGGCCGGATCTGGCTCGCTCAGCTTCTTAATCCGGCCGGCCAAATTTTTTCAAATTATATACAGTAATTTATTTATATTATCATTATACTTCTGCCTTTGCCCCGCAATACCCACGTTTCCCCAATAGATGGTGTAGAAAATGCTAAAAACATTTTAGCCTTTATGCATGACTTTTACATGTCATTTATCTTAGTAAACAAGAACGCTCCAGCTTTCTGCTCCTGACCCGGCCCCCCTGTTCAATTTTAGGACAGTTGTGACCCGTGAGTCAAAAAGTTTGCCAACATCTGATGAATGTAGGTGTAAATATTGTGGTTGACTTTAGAGCTGGTCAGGAATGACTGGACATCTACTAGGTTAGAGTTATTAGAATACCCAAATATGTGTTTTCATTATTCATTACAGGAAGGCTTTGCGCCTCCAGAGGATGAACTGGAAGAGCAAGCTCACCTGGACCAGGACGAGTACTGAGCACTCCATCCCTTCTCGAACTTGACCTTGTCCATGTCCTTTGTTTTCCATTCATTTATTTCTTTTTTCTACTCTTTCTTTGTCTCTGCACGCTTTCTACCCATCCCAGCTCTCTCTACATGTTTTTCCATTTCTGTAACCTCCACCCTCTGGATATAAACACAACTTACACACTAAACACAGTAACGACAACAGTAACCAAACACATAACCCATGTACTATATCTGTATGAGTGACACAGTAATATGGAGCAGAGGCTGGAAACGGAGGTAGTTGAATTTCAGACTGTAAATATTACTGAGAGAAGAATGTTTTTTCTTTTTAGTTTATGCCTGTGACAGAGGTGTTTATTTAGCCTGTGTTGCACCGTTAATAAGACTAATTGAGCACAGAACAAACACGGCTCCCATGTGCCATGAGCTCACTCCCTGAGCGATTAAAACCTGTAAGAAGATTAACCATTTTATTCATAGTTTTCTATTTATTTAACTTATATTTAATTAAGATGACTTTTCTGTAGCTAAGTCGATGCAAAACCTACTGTAAATGAACGAAAATCCAAGTTTGGGATCAGGATTCAGGTTTTATTTTTGTGGTTAATTCTATAAGGCATGTGGAAAACAAATGGGTTCTGATCAGCAGCATATCTGAGCATGAGAATGTTACACAAATGACTGTGAATGAGTGATATTTTGTAAATGTGTCTTTTATGTGGAGATTTTGTCGAAACAATCCTGATCAATCGCCTCCTGCGGATTGACAACGCTGTCATGGGTGATAGGGGGATTTAGTGTTTTTTATTTACTGAAATGACACTAAAGCGGTACGTGACGGACCAGGTGGCGTTTTTATAATAAATCAAACAGTGTTTTCTGCTTTTGTTTTGCTTTAGAAAGTTGAACAGAATGTGTGAAAGAAAAGTGACCTGTGACCTGTTGACAGGTCACTGAAGTGAGTGCATTGTTTTTTCGTCCTTCCTCTGCTGTTCTTCTGATTGGCTAACCGGCTGATGTCTGCCCTGGAGCCTGCATTCTCGGACCACCAACAACATATCACTCATTATATAAGTTTTGAATAAAGGAGCAGTTGTGAAAGGAACTGTTTTGTGCTCACTTTGTGTTAGAACAGATGGCAACGAGAAACATAAGTGTATTGTCTGTTCACATATTGAACACACAAAAAAGTAATTGAACATCACAACTTTATACTCCACTGGTGGATCAATGAATATGCTTTCATATTAAAATGGTTCTAGATTTGAACTATAACGTGACTTTTTCTTGGAAAAAAAATATATGCAGGAATTTAACAGAGTGACCGACAGATGCCACCAACACATCTGAGACAAGACGGGTGGATTAGCTCAAACACGTAATACATATTATGCTTCCGTACAACGTTGTTCCAGATTTTAGACTATAATAACACGTGCAAGGAGTTGACATTGGTTCCAGAATTTGACACCGCACCTTTAAGGACCTCACGGGGGATTAGCTCAAATGGTAGAGCGCTCGCTTAGCATGCGAGAGGTAGCGGGATCGATGCCCGCATCCTCCAAGAACAATTTTTCCACCGCTGTCATAACAACTAAACCATATTAGTGCACTTGTAAATTGACGCTGCCGTTCAACGTATTAGTAACATATTCAAACTCATTCGTCTTTCTTCTAGTGAGAGAAACGACGTACTACATCTTTGTGGGGGGAATGAATGCCACAATGTAGGAAATTTGTTTTTGATTTCAAAACTACAGCAAGAAAAATCACAAAAAAGTAGGGTTTTTCTTTTTGTTTTCACTGTGTTATTGAACACACACATCTGTCACACACACATCAACACTAAATCTAACAATGATGATAAAATAAAAGAACAAAGAACACTCAGGCCAACAGTATTGTTGTGGAGGGACTACCCATCACACCCGGCGGCCTATGACGTCAAACGCCGAAAAAGTTCGCTGCTGACTTTAAAGGTGTATGAATTTATTCCTAAATGGCGGCTGTTGGCGTTTTGATGCAATGTGTTAGAGGAAGATACTTTTTTTGCTTTGCTTAACTAAGTTAAAAATGGCCGACTGAGGAATGTGTTTGGAGAACCTGTTTACTCATATATAAGTATATTTAGTGTTTAAACAGCTTGAGTGTCTTCTACAGTTAATTGTTTTAAATGAACCAAAAACGTTCAAAACGAACAGATACGTTGGGGTTTTTGAACACGGAGACCAGGTGGAACTTGTCCAGTACACTCCAGAAACTGGGAATCAAGGTGAGGGATCTGTGGAGTCGAACTCAGCTTTTCTATTTAGTAAAAAAGTAAACATTTGACAATGTGTTCACACCAGAACCTCAGTACTTAACAGGGCTCGTCTCTGGTTTAGGTTTGTTTTCTAGGGTGGTCGTCCTGAAGATCTTCAACACAGTAAGAACATCTTTCTTCTACTCTGTGCGGCCGCCGTGTCGCTGCTGTGTCTGCGTTTGAATGTGTTAAACATGGGAGCACAAACAACAGACGACCCCTTGACTGTTGTCTTGTTTGTTTCCTTTCAGTTTACCCTAGCTAGAGTTTACAGGCTTTAGAATCAGTGTTAGTCAGTCAGTCAGTGAAGTCTGACATGTGGTCAGGACTAACCATGAGCAGGTGGTTGTGACTCCGGTCCCTTTTTAATGGTGAGTGTGAGAAGGTAAATGTTGGCTGTGGGTTTGATTTCTGACAGGGGTACATAATAATGAAGTAGGTCGTGACCGCCAGATGGCAGCACTATGTCATTGTGAGGTATAACAGGCAGGGGGATTAGCTCAAATGGTAGAGCGCTCGCTTAGCATGCGAGAGGTAGCGGGATCGATGCCCGCATCCTCCAATGTTTTTTCTTTTTTTTTCTACATGAGACTGGATATTTCTAGGAGACGAAACAAGTCTGTCAGTAGTTTTGGTAACGATATTGAATTTATCAATAAAATATACCGTGCGGGTATATTTTATTGATAAAAGAGCTTGTCATGTGGTGGAACTTAAAATGGTTAAAGAAGTTTAAACAAAAATTTAACTTCACATCTCGTCTGTTATATGTTAACTTGACAGAAATGAGAAGTGACAGTAAGAGTAATGAAATAAAATGGATAAACCAGTGGTGTGTAGATTAAAAATGGTCCTTTATTCTCAAAAGTCTAACGTATTAATATTGTTGATAACTCCAAATTCCACTCCAAATACAGGTAAAAATATGTCGAATTTAGCAACAACAAAAACAATAATATTCCAAACTAAAAGAGAGTTACAACTACTTCTACAAACAACAACATCAACAACAACAACAACAATAATAATAATACACAAGCTTTTGTTATCCACCCATTAGTGCTAAGAAATGCAATTCAGCGGAAAATTATATCCTTTGGAAATTGTTGTTCATCCAGGGTAGTGGAGAGACTGTAGTAATTCTAATGTACCATGTGTACTGAGTAACAGGTTTCCAGCATAGAGAATATATATATGTTAAGCTCCTAACATCTTCTTCACCATGTAACCAGGCATGTTGTAGAGAAACAGACCTACGATGGCCAGCAGCAGTAGAGCGGTGACAATCTTGATGGTCAGCCACCGGTACTGGTCACACACCAGATGTTTTGCTGCTTTAAGAGGGATGAGGAACCAGAGGAGGGCGATGTCTGGGCGGCTAAAGGAGTAGAGATAAAAGAAGTTAATATATATTTTGTTTTAAAAAACAGTGGAACTTTAGCATGTTAAGTTATAATTATATATGTATAAATATATGTGTTGGAATGTCCAGGTATTAACACCCACTGTTAACGTTCAAGGTTGAAGACGTTGCAGATGTAATAAAATTCTCAAGACTGAAATCGGAGAGCCCGTCGTGGGGGATTAGCTCAAATGGTAGAGCGCTCGCTTAGCATGCGAGAGGTAGCGGGATCGATGCCCGCATCCTCCAATTATATTGCACATTTTTAAAGCAACATTTCTCACATACTAAACGGTTACAACTTCCCAAAATTGACGAGGGATAAATTAAGGGCGTTATATGTACATCACAACTTTTTAATTTTCCTGTATTGAAAGGCCAGTTTAAGATAATTTAAATTACATTTGTACGGGCATGCTGTGTGTTAAATGTATATTTATTGTGGAGTTATAGTTGAGGTTCAATTTATTACACATTATAATGCAGTACTTCTCAAACTTTGCCATCTCCCACCCACCATTGTGTAGAGCACCCCCCCCAACTCCGCATTCACAGCTTTATCTTCAAAACACTGCAAAAGTTTGTTTTAACCACCTCCATTTACAGAAATACTGCTATTTCCCTTGAACAAAATAAATAACACTGCAAATGCACTTTTCACATAGAGGACCAATAAAGAAAATACTGAAATTAAAAAACCTTTTTTCAGGGAGAAATAAATTTACCTTAGTTTGCAATCATTCCCTGGATGTAGAAGTAGAACAGCACATTCCCCCAAAATAACCAGAAACTGAAGGACACGTACACACAGACGACAGGACAAGCAGGAACCTAAACGGTTTCTGTTTACTATGGGTGAATTTATTTATAACTCTGACATACTGTATCATACATGGACACAATCAGGACATCATGGAGAGACACTAAATTTTCTTAAAAATTGTTCAGACAAGAAACCTTGAACAGATCCAACCTATCTGAATTTCCTTTAGACAAAATCCTTATTTTTGATTTATGGTTGTATTTCAATGATAATGATATTTATTAAAAAGAAAAACTCTAATTCTGTCACACCAGTAGAGACAGCAAGTTTAGATTTGTACATTAAACTACAATAAAAACCTATTGTAAATTCACTCAAACTATATAATATTAGGAGCCTGTTACTATTGGAATGGTGTTCTTTCAATTAAGGCATCAAAGGTTTGTTAGTTAATTGCAAAAAGCTCACAAAAATACAAATGACTAACTTCACACTCTGAGAAAAAAAAACAGTATCATCTTGTGATTTTTTAAATCAAGCTCCCAACATTTTCTTCACCATGTATCCGGGCATGTTGTATAGGAAAAGAGCGACAATGGCCAGCAGCAGAAGAGCAGTGACTATTTTGATGGTCAGCCATCGGTACTGGTCACACAGAAGGTGCTTGACTGCTTTGAGAGGGATCAGGAACCAGAGGAGGGCGACGTCTGGGCGGCTGGTGGAGCACAGAGATGTTAAAAGTTGTTAAAAGACGCAGAGAAAGAGATCACATGACTCGAACACGGGTGTCTGCACAGTGACGTAGGACCAGTTTACCTCTACACTACCCAAAATATTATTACCAATGCTGTGCAACTTCTACACAATCAGAAATGCTGCAAGGGACACTGCAGCACAGCATTACCAATGATGTTTAGTTCACGTTAAGAAGATGGAGTAAAAGCACAGTCTATCCCTACAGGATACCTTTTGTAAAACACTACAACAGTAGATTGTTGTAGTTCAAAGTAGAACATTTCAATCAAATGTTCTTTTTTTTTTTTTTTCTACTGGCAGTCCTTGGTGTCTTTGGACAACATCGCAATGTGCAGAAAATAACAGGATATATATTTATATACCAATATATATTTAAACCATGAATGATGGCACAGTACTGTTGACATGCATTAGCCTAATTTATCTTCCACTGAGTTTTACTTGGTGACAGAAATACAGTATCACGTTCCCCGATACGTTCACTGTATGGTTCAGGTGCTGACCAGCATGGACCCCAAGATTACAAAGAGATGAAACAGGTTGTCAAAACAACGATAGACAGCGGGTTAGATGAAGATGAGTTTAAGTGAGAAAAAACAAAATGTTTTCAAGCTGGTAGTGAGATCTGCTATGATATACAGAGTAGAGACAGTGGCAATGTTCAAAGGACAGATTGTTGAGCCTGAAGAAATTTTCTTAAGCAGTAACAAGGATGGACAGAACTGGGGAAGAGTAGATCAGAGGGGCAGCTCAGGTTGAATAGTTTGGAGATAAAGATAGAGATAAAAAGGATGATTAACATGAGCTAAGAAGAGAGATGTGGAAATATGGAGGAAAGACTGTGGATGAGGAGGTGAAGTGGAGGAATACATCTAAATTGAAACATCCAAAAACCACCATGCAGAATGACATATTTCTCAACACAGTCACATGTCGCTCTACAGAAAGGGGTTATATAAGTTGGTATAAAGACCATACATTATTCACTATTATTTTTGCAGCTGACACTTTCCACATGTTGTTTCTCAACGTTTTTTTTTTACCTGTGAGTTTGAGAACCACTGTTTTGGACTTGATTTGTGATCAGTGTAGATAGAAACAGGTGATTTATGGTATTAAGATTGTGTGATGTTTTTCCTAGTTTATGTTATATTATCAGTCTAATGTTGTTGTTGTTGTTTAAGCCTGTATTTAGAGCAAAACCGTGGCAGAAAGTAAACAAGGAGATTTAGAACTCGTTTTACGCCGTCTGGTTAATGGAAATTGCCAGAACCTTCTGCGGAAGTGTGTCTGAGCACCATCTCATGCTCCCAGCATTTTCTTGACCATATAACCAGGCATGTTGTAGAGGAAAAGAGCCACGATGGCCAGCAACAGCAGAACGGTGACAATCTTGATGGTCAGCCACTTGTACTGGGTGCAGATCAAGTGTTTAATGGCTTTGAAGGGAGTGAGGAACCACAGAAGGCTGGTGTCTGGACGGCTGGAAGAATAGAAAGACGAGTTCAGTCACACAGGTCCACTGCCAGACCAACCGCCTTGTTGAATGTCACATTTAAATGGGAATGTAGCTGACATCATTGAAATGAATAACTCAAATACAGATATGTCAGGGAATGCAAAACAAAAAAGGATATGAAGAAAAGCAACTTACCATGTAAAGAGAGAAGATCCTACTGTAGGTAAAAGTCCAGAACTTGGTGGATGAAAATTCATAAAATCTCTCCTCATCTTGGGAAATTTCCTTTTTTGACTGTTTTTTTTTTTTAGGTGAATTTATGTTTGTTTATTTCATCGTTTTATATATCTTTCCGCAAATTCAGGTTTATGAAGGTTTTAGTCATATGGTTACATTTTTTTTCATTTTTGGGGTGGACCTGGACTTTCAGCTGTTCAGAACTGAATCTAAGTGTAAAGTTTGTTCTGTCGTGTGTGTGAACCTCAGTATTCATGCATTTACATGTCTGTGAAAGTGTGACAATAAAAACCAAAGTTCATTCTTTGGTTTCTACATCTTTCATACTTGGGTTTCTCCAGAGGCTCTGGTTCATTACGTCCTTCACCAACAGGGTTTTTCTCAGCCTCCTCTCCTGTCAGCAGGTGCAGCTCAGCTTCCACTTTACCCTGACAACATGAAAAATACATGCAGTCACAAAACAGTCTAATGAAATCTTTAGTAAAGAGCAGCAAAGTCGGGTTAGTTCTTGGGCTTACTTGCCAACAGCAGAATGACACATTGTTAATGTTCTTCTTTATTTTAGGCCAATTTGGAAACACATCTATTTCTGTGATAACTGTTGTGCATCTGCGGGCAAATCATTGCTTTTTAAACTAACATCGGGCTAATTCTAATTGCCATGATGCACACTGATGAGCAGCGTATGTCAGGCTAAGTCTGTTTAGCTAGCTTGCTGAAAGCAAAACAACCAGTGCTTCATTTGTAAAGGTGGGGGGTCCTGAAACACAGAGAATGGCTGGTTCCCATGACTATTATTATTTTTTGTCATTATGACATGGAGGTGGCAGATCCAACGTCGGAGGTCCTGTTCTGGCAGCACCAGCTCAAATTAAGGCTAGAAAACAACACCGTTATTCTTGACTTTGTAAAATAAAAAAATAGACTCACAGTCAGTTCAAACTCATCTTCCTCATTTCTGGCCACGAAAGGCCACCAGCCTTTGATCCTCTTCTGTTTAAAGATGGAGACCATGGGCAGGTCTGTTTCATTTGTCACCATATCGATGCTGCACTGCTTGGCAGTCTTAGCACCTCGTGGGAAGCGATTCAGATCCAGCTCAATAGCACCTGCATGAAGGACATTATTTTAGGAGTGGTGTCTTATTACCATTTGTGTGTTATCAACTGTGATCCATATAGCCAACACTGATTTTTACCAAGGAAGTCATCTGCAGAGAAATGGTCAGCATCCCACACTTGTAGATTGAGGCGAGGTGGAATCTTGTACTCTGTCTCGTCCCAAGCGAACATGGACTCTTTTTTGGAGATGCTGATCTTCTCCTCGGCCATCAGGTAGTCGAAGGGGTAGATGAAGCGCCAGTTGAAGTTGCCCTCACCAGTGATGGAGTGGTAGTGGACATCTGTGTCTTGTTTGTCCTCCTGTTGCCCTTTTAACCAGCTGTCAAAGACACAGTTGATGAAGGGAATAAACAAGATTTGAACATAAAATATTCTTCTTCTAAATCGAATTATAAAAGAGCTTTTAAGAATGCCTTGAAAAAAAGGCATTCCTAGCTATTTTTAATATCTTTCTAAGTGTATTTGCAGCAGTTCTTAATTTATTTTGAAACATGTGCTCTTATTTTGAAGTTAACAAAAACCTTAACTAGCGCCTGTTGGCTCGGTAAATTGCAGGACCTGTTACGGTTACCTGTTTCTGTTTTGTTATGGTCCCATACTTAAGAAGGTATTGTGGAAAAATCATACTGTTGACCGTGAAGCTTGAGCATCTTTTACCTGTGTTGGTCCAGTGACTATGGCTATTCTTTCTTACTTTAATCACACACAGCTGAAAGTTATGGATAACTCGTCTTAATTGGACTAAACTGTCGTTTTCTTTCTCTGAAATTTAAACAACAACAAACAAAACTTCAATTTTACAGTTACCCTCGCACAAATATATCACTGGATTTCTCCCCAGTAAAGATGTCATCGTCCTCTAGAACAACTTCGTCTGTGTTCCAGATGATCACCCTCAGCTCAAACCTGAACACGTAAAAAAACATATAATTATAGAAGTACAAATTGTGTAAATACACAACACAACGTTTTTGTATATATTTAAGGGGCTGTATAAGAATGGTTCAACCCAGTAGTTAGTATTAAACATACTTCTTTGGTTTTCTTGGTGAAATGTCAAGTGCGGGACCAGGTGCAGTCATGTCCTTTGGGAACATGTCCACCCACATCTCAATCCTTCCCTGAAACCACAGACAAGCATGGGTGAACCCAGTCCTGCAGGTATTAAAGAGAACAAAAAGGAATATTTGCTTTATACTTGTTCAATTCCTGGTTTGTCGGGGTGGAGCAGAGGTCTTGTCTCCACATGTTCTGGAATAAGTTTACAGCCAACACGAGGGATGTGGTCCCAGTGATTCAACACGGTCAGAGCCAGGTGTTCGTCGGTTTGCTTCTTCAAACCTGAAGAACGTCAAAGGATGTGGTGTGAGCTTAAAATGATAATAATCAGTGTACAGTGTCCATACAGTTAGATGAATAGGTCAAATTAAAGAAGCTACCGTTTTCATCCTCAATCTCAGTGTGTGCCATGAAGACCCTGTTCTCCACCTTCACTCTTCCTCCAGGTCCATACTGAGGAGAGTCCACTTTGCGGTCCTTGCACAGCTTTGCCAGGATCTGGGTTGGTTTCATGGGGTCTCTCCAGACATTGTAACCATGGCTTGAAAAAATTAGGGATAAAGTAAATTAATCCATCAGTGGTGTCAAAGGATGAAAGAAAAGTGTGACTTGTAGTCCAGAAAATACGATACGATAATCCTCGCTCAAAGAGAGCCCTGAAACACTGAAGTGTACATGTAGGTGTTGTAGTCTTACATGGAGTAGTTCCGTGCAATTCCACACGTGGCTCTGTGTTTGCTGTAGAAACGGTTTTCCAGGTCAAGTTTGGTTTCTCCGATCAGGTCGTCGGTTCCCACCAGGTCCCAGTCGTAGATGGACACAGTGAGGGTGGAGTCCATGGGGAATGTGGCCTCAATGTCAAAAGATCTATGGTTATAAGATAAAAACTCTTAGTATTAGTTAAAGTGCGGGTTCGGCAGTAAACTTTGTACATGCATAAAATCATTCTGTTAATACTAAAAAATATTTTTACTCACTTGCCAAACAAAGGGTTGAGCTGTTTGGAGATGTAGTTCTCTTTGTCCTTGACTTCTGTCTTCCCCATTCTGATCGCAATGTAAGGGTCAGCTTTACCATTAATGTCAGCTGGATGAAGATCAGTTGCCTTAAAAACAAAAGTACACATTTTTTTAAATATACAGTATAGAGTATATACGATAAAAGTACAGAATACATTTTTGGCTCTGTGAAATATGATTTAAGGAGTTATATTTGGAATATTTCCAAATTAATTTGACGAGATTTAGTCTGTTAAAGGTTTCCAACAAGACCTTAAAAACATTCACCATCTCCTTTAAAGGAGAACTTTTATCATTGCAGCACACATTTGGTCTCTTTTCTTACTATTGCTAACATTCTGCCACTTATTTACTTGTTACTTTATTTTAATGAATTGAATGAAATAATCTCTTGGCTAGGGGATAATTTAGTTTTGAATATTGCTATATTTTTCTTCATGAAGTATTTTGGGCAGTCAACCAATGCTCATTTGTGACTTTGTCTGCACAATCTGACTTTTGAGAAGTCATTAACCCACTGTTAAGTCGTGAAGGTTGAGTTGTCTTACCCTGATGACATAGACACGAACTAAGACATTGATCGGATCGTTGCTAGGAATGTTCTGAAACATTCCCATGCTGGACTCAAAGTCTCTGGGCAGATCGTCAGACACTTTGTACATGCAGAGCGACCCCTGCAGTTAAGAAAAATAATAATGAGACTTACTTTATTAAGGCATATTTAAAATGTAAAAAGTAGAAGAATAAAATCAACAAATATGTTCTTAAATCTTTTGTCCTTACTTTGAACTTTCCCACAATCCTGTCCTCATCTGTAATGTTCTGATCGTCATCGTCACCACCCTTTCCCCTGAAGAGGTTGAAGCTGTGAAGCCAGTCCTCAAAGTTGTCAAATTCACTCTCAAGTTCTTTAGGATACACCTAAGATATGTAAGAAAGTATGTATTAGACATTCAAATCTCTCTTAATGACTTTAGGATACCACATCTGTAGAGAACAAAAAGTAAAAATCAGTGCAGGTGACAGGACTCAGGGAACAACTGTGGCTGTACTGACACATCAAGCTTGAATCGCAGTTAAAAGGCCTCTTCAATGCACATGTACACAGTTAAAGACATGAAACAGCCAAATACTCCATACTCCAGTACCTTCAACTCGTCCAGCTTTGGCTTCTTCTTCTCAAACGGGTCGAACAACTGCTTCTTCTTGTCCTTCTTTCCTTTTCCTTTCTTGGAGCCTTTTACGGGAGAGTCATCAGGTTTGATATCTGAGTGCAGGTTAGTGACGAGGATGGAGTGAAGAAGGAAGGGAGTAGGGAGCAGGAGGAGGAGGAGTAGAAGCGGATGAAGGAACGGTGCGCTCGAGACATGAATTCTACATGAAAGTTGTCAAAAATCAGCTGCAAGTGTTTGCATAGAGTGTTGGCGTTGAACTGCATCACTGTCCACAGATCAGTTGGCCAACAACTTTGAATGTGTGATGATATAGATGTGCAGCCTTACAGGCCCAGCTCCAAATAACTGGATTTATAAAAATCCAGTTATTACTTTTACAAATAACTTTTTTTTGCTTTGACAACTTTCATGGTCAGCATACAGTTAATATGCACATATGGGAGGGAAAAAGATTTCCCACATTTACGATTCTGGATTCATGTCAGATCAGCTTCTACATGAAGGCATTCTCGGACTACAAAGTTCACTGTAGATGAAGACAACAGAGTTAAAGAGCTGGTAAAATGCATGCTTAATACTACAAAAAGGTCAGGTCTATTTGTTCCCTGTTTAGAAAAAAAAAAACACCAGACAGTCAACCTAGTATTTGGGTGCATGACCTAAAAAACCAAACTGATCAAACCAGCCTGTTTTTTTCTAACAGTCATCTAGTTTTTACCTCCACCGTCTGCCAGGTCCATCTCATCTTTGTCCTCTGTATCAGACATAGCTGCTTCCTGAGCTTTGAGGGCCTGTCAAAGAGAATGACACTTCACATCAAACAATAATTATACATTAACACTGTGGTTTACAACATGGGGGGTGGGCCCCAAAATTTAATATTACATTTTACCACAGTGGGAAAATTGCACTGATTTATATTTTTATTTCCTTTACTCAATGAGAAAAAATAATAACTTGAAATTGAAACAAGTCTATATAAACATTTACCGTTAAAGGTAACTCCTCATCCTATCAGCGTTAAATATATCTTCAGTGTATTATGTAAACACCTCTAGGTTTTTATTTTATGATTCTCACCTCTGTCAAGGTTTCAATGGAGGCGAAGTATTTGGACCACCAGTCCAACATGCTCTCATCCAGTTCCTCTTCTTCGGGCTCTTCACCCTTCTTCCTCTTTTTCTTCTTTCCTTTTCCATCCTTAGCGTCATCCTTTCAGTAAAATATAAAGGTTATTTGTGATATAAAAGTATGTATTTATTGTAACAATTATTATGTTATATGTATTTTTATAAGAAAGTGACACAACACCACTTACCTCAACTTTGACCACAGCATCAGAGCACTAGAAAAAAAGCAGATGGGATAGTTTTAGGTTACTATATACATTTCTTATATAAATGTTACTTAAAAATATGACAAAACTCACAGAGTCAAGTTTGACCACAGTGTCCATCTTCCTAAAATTTGCGTCAGAATCCAAGCTCACAACAATGATTTCATCTGAGAGATAAACAGTTGAGATGATAATAAGATGGTGAGCATCTGTCATCAGATCATTTTGTCTCAAAATGAACAAAAACATTTTGATATACTGTTTTTTTTCTTTACCTGTGTTGTTTCCAGACCAGTTGTTTGCCTGTTTGTCTGGCCTGTGGATAAACTTCCGTAGACTTGTGACAGCGTTGGACCCAACTAGAGTGTAGCGTCCAAAAGCCCTGCAGTCCACAACCCTTATGTTGAGTGGTGGGTGAAGCAACTCGTTCTCAGGCAAATCCTGAGGAGGAAGGTCCAAATTGATGTTTTTAATTTGCATTTATGGAGTTGTTATTATTATATAAAAACATATTCCTGAAGTGATTACATACCACTTCAAACCACTTGACCAACGTGCTGAAGTTGGGGTTTTTCTTGTAGTTGGGGATGAGGGCAGACTGCACTCCCTTTCCTGCACATTCAATGTCCACACGAGGGCGATCCACCTGAGCCAGATTCACCCTCTTCAAGTCTCTCAGGCCCCAAAATAAAACCTAAAACAGAAGGCAGTTTGGTTGGTCATTATAACACATATATATGTATTTGCTCTATAGAAGAACCATTGTCCAATTGTTAAAGTGCATTCATAGGATGTTTAAAAAAACAAACCAAGCAGCTATTGAAGGTTTTTCTTGCATTTCAGATGAAAACATATTAGTCTGTGTCAGATGAGCTTTTACCTCAATCCTATACTTGCTGAGCACTGGTCGGATTCCAAGAGGTACTGGCATGATTGGTCCACGGTCCATATCTGAAGGTCCCTCTATTGGAGGCAGATCAGCTTTTCCATTCGGTCCAATCTACATATAGAACAGCATTAAAGCATATTAGCTTTTCACACGATTTCAGTCAAGTTAAAACTGATAAGTAGATCACAGAACACCTAGACTGTCCTGAACCTTTAAAAACAAAACTTTCGTTTAGAGCTATAGTATATTAATAATGGTTTCTATAATGTTGTGCACTATTTATCTATCAATCTCTCCATCTTTTGTCAAATTCACCTGCAGAAGCTCAAAAGCTGCCAGCATCTCTCCAGCGCAGCAGTTTCCACGGTAGATCTGATAGTACTCCAGTTGTGGGGGGAAGCGTGGGGGGCCGTAGTGTTCATCCGCCATCTTGACCACAGGCTTTGCAAAAGTTCTTCCCATGAAGTCAGCTTTACCCTGTGACGAAATCAGACCTTAAAAAGTCTACTCAGTGAGACGGGAAGCGTTAGAGAAGGTTTGTTTTCTTGGTATCTGTCAAAGCATTTGAATTATAATGGCGTCAATCGATGGTGTTGATTCATCCAATCAGAAGGAGGGAAAACATGGCTTCAGATGCACATGTTTCCGTAGAGACAAGAGATTCAGATGCAATGACGATAAAATGGAAAAACAAGATTCATAAAAACAAGAGCCCTGGAAGAACCAGTTACTGCAGAACAGACTGATTTCATTCACTCCTAACAAATCTCTCCTGCAGTTAGTGGTAATGAGCTGTTCAACATTATTGGGGTTTTTTCTCATAAAAAAGCACAAATTAAATTCTCAAATGCAAAGAAATGCAACAGGAGTAAGAGCATCAGTCTCATGGACAACAGTGAATTGAGTCCAACGACATGAGTCTTGTTCCTCCTGCATGTCTTTTATTACATCTATAACTATTTATTGACACACGTTTAATTGTTATAACTCTACAAGGCAAAATAAAAGCATAGGAATCCACACTCTACTTATCCCAGTGGTCATCCACAACAATGGTGTTAATGACAGAAACAGATATAAAATTGACAAGTCAGGAAAAAGCACTGGTCCAGATGAAAAATCTGTCAGAAAACAAACTTAATCACAAATAATTACATTAAACGAAGAACAGATTCTTGGAGGCTTATCAAGGTCTCAGTAAAGATGCCCTTTTATGGTATTTAATGGGAATTTGTGCAGGAGATCATTCTTATTGTAACTGTTTCAAAAGTCCTCACCACGGTGTCCTGATCGTAGAGCTCGATGACGATAATCGGAGGGTCATCTCTCAGTTCAGTGGCCTCACCAAACAACTCCACGTTCTCAAAAACCAGCAGCTGGTCCCATGTGGGGCAAAGAGTCTCGGGTAAAACCTAATGGGGGAACCAACAAAAACATTAAGTCAAGTGGAATCTGCTCAGCAATATCCCATACTTCAGGTATTTGTTCTTACTTCAGTGACTTGACTCTGTGTGGAGAAGAAGACTCTGGCAAAAGGGTCAGACAGTCCTGTGCTGTCAGCAGCAAACAGGCTGCGAGCCTGGTACATGTGGACCCTCAGCTGGAAGATCTGTTTCACTGAGGAGACAGACGTACAGATGTTTATACCACTGAATCTGTCCAATGTTACTTTTGGCTAACTTTCAACCAGTTCTAAATGACTGGTGATTTCTGGGCTATTTCTAGGCTAACTTGAATGTTTTTTAGTTATTTATTTTTGTTGTTTTGCATTTCTTGTTAATATAAAATGTCCCTTTTTTAAACAGTTTTTTAAAATTAATTTAGTATTTTATTTACTTATTATAATTATTACTCATTTTAAATTTGAGCTTCATCTTGCTAATATCCTTGACCTAACCTATCTTTTAAAATAAAAATATCAATTTACCGTTGGTCAGGGTTATTTTTTGGCACTTTTGCTACAATGTTAGCTAAATTTAAGCTTTTAAGATGGATTGAATTTTTGGTGTTTTTGTGGTTTTATTTATCTTCAGCTGTTAGACCTCATTGTGTGAATGTTTTTAATACATAAAAACATGTCCAAGTCCCTTCAGACATGTGAGTGGACAGCATACTTTGAAGACAAACATGAGCTGTTACTTCAAACTTCACATCACGTGGGGGATTAGCTCAAATGGTAGAGCGCTCGCTTAGCATGCGAGAGGTAGCGGGATCGATGCCCGCATCCTCCAACACTGAAACTTTTCATTCATGGTTTGCAAAAGTTATCTACATGCAAAACATTAGTTTGTTTTTAACTCTAATACAGTGATAACCATGGATGTGAAGCAGATCAGCATAAAGACTCATAATGATGTTTCATTTTGTTATTATTATTATGAGAGTCTTACTCATGTAGGTGAGGCTAATGGGAGGTGTAGAAGGCAGACCAGGTCCTTTGGACAACCTGTTTTCTTCAAATCCATTGGGGAGCCCGTCCAGGTAATCTTTACGCTGCCGGGTCAGACCCAGCCAGAAGTAAATCTCTATCTTGGACTGAACTGTCCAGCCAGCAGGGCCAAAGCCTTTCTTGCCAGGGATCTGGAGGAAGCACATCAGAGAAGAGCTTGGTCAAGCATGATGAGAGGAATTTCTTTAATCAAACACTGGTTTTGAATAAACTCACTCTGAGGAACATAGTTTTGACTTTGCCACAGTCTTTTCCTCTCTCCTCGTCCGTTGCAGAATAAAGAATGTCTTTGGAAGGGACTCTGGCATAAGCAACGCGCTTCCCATTAGTTATCATCCATATGAAAACATCTGGAACACTGTGTTGAGGCTAATACAGAAAGAAGAGCACTCTTGTAAAACAAGCCAATTACAAAAGTTAGTAAGTAGCTGCCGGTGTGTTTTTTTTTTTTTACCTCATCAGCCAAGAATCGCAGCTTGGACAGGAAGTTTTGAGAGAGTTTGAGTTTGTCTCTCACTGTGCTCTTCTTCACCTGTGTCCTCATGGTTTTAGCTTGTTGACCAATAGACTCCTGAAACCATACAAATCCCAGCGTTTAATGGAGAGGAGTGGATTTGTACAGTTAAATTGAACTGCTCTGTTGTCATTTCTCCACATACCACTTCTGACAGGCACAGCTTCAGTCTCTCCCTGTCCAGTTTGGTTTTACCAGACTGATTCTGGTCCTTGCTTGCCAATGAGATGAACTGACTGAAAGCAGAAAAGTCACTTAACAACAATAATTTATTCTGTACGGTGTGTGTGACCAATGCAGCCCAGTTGGACATTGGGGACATCATTACTTGCAGCCATGGCCAAGTTCCTCAAGGACACCCCTGAGTCTGCGTTCAGGATAGGCCTTCTCTGTCTTAATGATCTCCATCACATCATTCAGTCCTTCCTCCTGTAGAAACAACAGATCAAATTCAGATTTTAAGGAAAGTCTTTAGCATTAGTACAGCGGTGGACCAGTGGGTCTTTAATTCAATGTTAGGGACTGGGAAGTGTTGGTACCAGGGTACAAAATCTGGTATATACAGTTTTATGTATTGCCTAATTTAAGTAGGAGTGTGATATGAATCGAGAGACTTTTTTTTCACGAACTACAGTTTGTTATCACGTCTTTTGGGGTGGAGGGGGTTAAACTATGATGTGTGTGTGACTTGCCAGTTTATCTGCAATGTTGTCAATGATGTTGGCATTGTACAGCCTCCTTCTCTGATCCTGCCACCAGCTTTTGATGTAGAAGCACGGCTTTCTCTCGAAATAGGGCAGGTGGAAGTAGTTTCTGGAAATTTAAATATTAGGCAAGAGTTAAAAACAAAAGGCAGGACAAATGAATGACAATAACAGAAAATGTTTTTAAAAACTGTTAGCTGTACCATTTGACTAGTTAGCCACCTTCCCAGTCATCAAGTGTGACGGATTCAAATGAATCCTCCAACCACATTAACCCCCCTCTTTATATTGGCTGACTTCAGTCTCCACCATCAGTGCACCACAGTTAAAATGGGTTTATAACTGATAGTTTGTTGTCATGTCAAACTTTAGAGATATAGAGATAATCCTTTAATACTGGCTGTGTTATAATGCTCTTTCATGCCCTGACCGATCAGTGACGACAGGTTTCATAGGAGGTGTAGTGGCCACGGATGCCAGGTCTCCATCATCTTCCATCTCCTCCTCACTTGAGTTGTGGATCAGTTCTGTCTCGTCTTCATCTCCGCTTCCGCCTTTCTTCCCTTTGATTTTGGGCTGGACGACTCCATCGATCTCGTTTCCATAATAACCTGACAAACAGCAAATGACAATCAATAAGAATAACAAGGAGCTATAACAGTTTGTCTTTGAGAAGGTAATGAGAAATACCTATGGTGACTTCAAAGTTGATGGGCTTATCCCCAATCTTTCTGTCAATCATTGTAGCCTCGAGGAAGGATCCAAAGAGGAAAAACTCCTCGACCTTCCCTGTCGCTGTCTGTAAAATAATCCACAAGGAATCTGAATGTGAGGAAGTCAAACCATGTGGCTGTGTGCAATATTCAACATATTTACAATGTTTGTGAATATCAAAAATATAGTTTGTCAGTAAAAATATTTCACATTTAAATATATAATCTAATGTAAACTAGCATGTAATTTACTGTAATGTGATATAGACTAGTCTAATCTGATTTGATCTCATTTATTCTTATTCAGTCTAATCTAAATGATTCCACTCTAATCTAATCTAATAGCATGTAATTTAATGTCTAGTCTAATCTAATGTGATCTAATGTATTCTTATTTATTCTAAATGTATTTATTTATTCTAAGTTATTCTAATATAATGTAGTTTAAACAAACAGAGTTTATAAAAACCCCTGTCTCCATGAATGGACTCCTGACTGTAAAGCTGTAATACCAGCTGATGGACAGTCAGAATTAAATCCCCTGTGGACTTACACAAAAAGAGGCCACATTATTAACATGCAAACAACATGTTAATAATGCAAATGTTGACAATTAATAATTCACATTAACCCTGGCAGAACAATAGTTTCTGTGGTCAGAGCAGGAGAAAACAACCACCTGTCCTTCTGCATCGCTGCTCATCCATACAGTACAGTGACCCACCTCCGACATGTTGGGTATTCCCTCCACCTGCACCTCAGGGGAGCAGGAGCATTCAGGAGAGGAGGTGTCCAAGATCTCCACATTCAGGCTGATGAGCAGACGGGCTCTGAAGGACACCCCTTCCCCGAGTCCATCATTTAGCTCCTGGTACTCGTCCATTAAGGTGTAGGTCCTAGTGGAGCCGTACATGTTCACCCAGGCTGGACCAAGTGTGGGGAGGAAGCCTGAGAAATGAAAGAATAAGATTAGCATTTGATGAACTGACACCGGGAATAAACTAAAAAACAAAGAACCACCTTTGTCCCCGTCGTTGGAAATGGTTCGCAGGTTCACAAAGTGGGTTCCTATAGCTACATCATTGACTTTGTCAGAATCACGGATCTGGATCTTCATGCGTTTGCATAGTGGTGGAAACATCTCAGTGAAGACTATCTGCTCGTTCCAGATGGGTTCATAGCAGCTCTTCTGAACTGATGTCTTCCCCTGTCGTCACACAATAAAAACATTGTGCATTAATGACTAGCCAGGTCCATGTAGCTTCAGGGTCTGTGAGACAATCTTTCACCTTTTGCCCAGCAAACAGTACTTGAACATAGGGATCAACCAGGTCCTTGTTTTCTCCTATGAAGGCCTTCTTCACGTTAGCCATGATGCTGGTGTTCATTCTGGGGAGTCCCTCTGCTCTGTAGATCTTCAGGTAATACCGGGCCCACTGTCGCTCGGCTGGGACGCCCTCAGGTATCAAGAGGTTCCTGGAAATGATAAGAATAGTAAACAATTAAAAATAGGATATAATTTTAAAAAAATATGAATCACTATGTAATAGTGGTTCTTGTTAAGACAAAAGTGACAAAGTTTATATCTATTTTACAAACCAAAACAGATGGAATATTTATCCTTATCGTCAGAGAAAAGTCCTACTTAAATTATTTCCTTTCTTGTAATGATCAGTGTGAAACGTAGTAAGGTTGTATAATTTCATGTAGTAAACGTAAAGTGGGAATGACGTTTCTTCACCCTTCCACGTCATCTTCGTCAGACTCATTGGCCTTGTGTGGAGTCTTTATTGTGTCTCCTTTAGCCACAACTGCAATGTCACACTTCACGTATCCTTTACAACCCGCTGTGATGTCATCAGGGTCCGACAACAGAGCCCATTTGTGGTAAAACTGATGTTCTGCAAATGATATATTTGTAAGTAAATGGTGTAGTATCACAGAAACGCCTCTACTGTTGTTTGTTTAGTGTTGGTTCGTTACCTGGCTGTGAGTAGATGGTGCCAACATCAAGTTTGAAGGTTCCAACCAGCGTGCCACTACGTAGCAGGTTTTTAGAGTGTATAACCTAAAGTTGTATTAAAGCAGGACGAACCATTTAGTTTACTTGACTTCACACAAAAGTATTTGTTTAAATCGATATTACAACTTACAGACAGCTTCAAGATTTTGTCGAACATGACATCTGGAGGGACATGGAAGTCAAAGACAAAATACTGGAAAACAGAGAAGAGTTTGGGATGAAATTGACAGCATAGTGGTAAATTTGAGAACGGTATATGGTTGTAAAGACTGATTTACTTCATTGTAATAAGGGCAGTTGGTCGATTCCTTCATGGATGTGTACTTTTTATCTTCACCAATCTCCACGCAGACCATTGGATCCATGTTCTGACCCACCAGCTGTCTGGCCTCAATCACTGTCACACTCACCTGAAACCAAGAGACGAATTATTGTTTGTTGTGCTTTTGAGGACGGATCTTTTTTAAATGAAAACATTCTCGGTTCATCTTACTTGGTAATCTACCGGTCTGCCAGAACTGGGTTCCATCTTGATGTCTGGTTTTGACCTATAAATAGGAGGCATTAATTGCATTTATGTAGAAAAAGAAACATTTACCTTTGACTTAACAACAAAAATATCAAGAGAAACCAGACTTGCCTCTTATTTGACACATTGGTGGTAACAGCTGTGACTGATGCCACTGAGATGGTGTCCAGGTCTTGGCCTTTCATGAACATGCCAATGTTTTCTGTCTCCAGAATGGCAGGTTCATCTAGATGTTAAATGGAGACACATTGAGGACACAAGTGTCAGAAGGGCTCAAACAAAGAGTTAAATGTTGAAGTTAAAAGTTGAACCATGTTAAAAAAATGACAAAAAAAATAGATAAGAATTGTTCATCTGGAAATTAAAACGCTTATGGTAACTTCAAGGATTATCTTTGGTAAAAACTACAGAAAAGAAAAACATAGCAACATATTCAAAGGCTAATTAAGTTGACTGTCTTTCGGTCAAATAGTTAAGTCAAGAAAATGGTGGATCCCCACCAACAGCTGATTGCCAATGATGTCATCAACTTCACTCAATGAAACCTCAGTTATGATCATTACTGTTCAATTCTCAGAGCAGAATTGAATTTATTTTATATTTAATCAAGCATAATGGCTTAAAAAAGCTTTTTTTTTGGCTAGCTACAATAACTGCTTGATACAAAATGGCTGGAAAAACGGATTTCCAGTCTTTCAATTCTTTGACCCATTCTTCTATCATCAGTCTTGGCCTCTGATACCTCCACTTTTGTCCTCCTTGTGTCCACGGTGCTTACTTCGCTTCATGGTGCAAAACCTATCTTCGTACGCTCTGTGGAAAAAAAAAACAATTCTTCAGACTGTAATTTTACACTTAATGAATTAAATGTCAGTTTTAAACCAAAAAAACACACTGGCGTTTTTGCAAAAATACAATAAACTCTAAACTATATTTTCTTATCAAAGAATAATTTCAAACAATCAGTAAAACAGTAGTTTGTTGGGGTTTTTTTTTTTTCAATATGTTCTGCACCTTTAATGACATTAACCAAAGGGTTCGTTTGCTTTGGAGCCACACCCTGGCTTAGCCTTCAAAAGGGGTTTTTAATTATTCAAATCAGCTGACCTTAATCAGTCAATTAAATAGAAGAAGTAATTTGACACCGATTGGGGTAAAAGAATACGCCTAATTATAATTAATCAGCAGTAATTACTCAGCAAAATACATAGAAGAGCAGTTTTTATCTGGAAATTTATTTCGTTTCTTTGTGCAGGAAATCTTGACACAAATGAACCGTTACTGTTTAATTTACATTTCCATACCTGATAAAACCCACAACTTTACACTACATGTTGCATTCTGGCAATTTATAATTTGTAAAACAAAATAAAATGTCCTCATTGTTAAATGCCTATTGAAAAGTGAAGGTAATTATTCATTTCTGTATATATTTACTGCTTCGTTCACATAAAGGCAGCGACCAACAAGACAGTGATTATGAAAAACCTTCTTTCAAAACCTGACAATGCAAAACCACTAGCCCCTAAAGACAGAAGAGTGTAAACCATAGCTCAACAAATATTGTAAATAGAAGATTCTTACCATACAGGACAGTGATATTCAGGTTTCCTGCTGTAGCTCCAAAGGTCTTGAAGCCTCCTGAGAGGAAAACAGTTCCTTGGACTTTACTTCCTCTTCTTACCTTTTTCTCAATCAACTCAACCCTTACATGGACATTTTAACAGCAGTAAGAGCAAGGGCTACAAAGTTAAAGTTGCAGAGAAAAGAATTGAGTTTGTCCCAGTCTGAAGCTGTGCAGGAGTGATGTGATACACCGATTAATAGTGCATGAGTGTTGAACCTGAGACTGGTAACTATAACTGAGGGCCTGATGAGAGACGTCACTGTGAGCAGTGACTGACCAATCCACACAGCCACATCACTTCAGTACAATGTTTACAAGTTTTTCGAAATAGTCACTAATATCATTAATCAATGCTTAAGTGTTTTAAGTGGATTTTCAAAGAGAGATGACTATGTTTTGCTCAATTTGAGCTATCATATTATAGCACATTTTTGCCCAACGTTTTGTGCTATCGTTTCAAAGCAACTTCTTTTGATTTACTTTTGCTAGCTGTAAACGTTTTTTGTTTTTTGTTTATCTTTGCCATATTATTAAAAAACTTTTTAAAAAATCACTCATCTTCTCATCTCATCTTTTGGCAAACTGCTATCTATTTCAATTGTAATGCTAGCTGTTCCATCTTCAGCCATTTTGAATTTTTAGATATTTCTTTTACTTTTACCAAATATTTGTTTTTATTATTTGTCTTGTTTTTTATTTTTTTGTTCTTGAGTTTTGGATAATTTAATTTATTTTGTATTATTTTATGATTTATTAGCTTGCGTGAATTTTAGCTTTCTTTGCTGTATTTGCAGCATTTGCTTTTCTGTATTTTTATAGAAATAAAAAAGTCTTTTAAAAATGATTTAACTTTTTATTATTCTTTTTTCTTAAGCACAAAATGGACATGTGATGACATAAGGTAAAACAAATCCAATTGTCCTCACATATCTTGGTTAGGTCAGTGTGTTAAAAAAAAGTACAAAAACAAATCTCTGAAAAAATGTATTTAATGATTAGATGAAGGGTGTCAAACCCATTTTGGTTCAGGGGCCACATACGGCCAAGTAGCTGTGAAGTAGGCCGGACAAGTACAATCCTGTTTACCTGCAAATAAGCACAAGTATACTAAAAAATATTAATATTTAATGAAATGTAATTTGACAAAACATCATGGACATGAAATGTTCTTTTTTTTTTTACTTCACAGTTTTGGTCCATGGGCCGTATGTTTGACATCGCTGCATTAGATACTGAATATACTGTGAAGTACTGTGTCAGGAAGTAATCCACTGTGTCAGGCTTTCTAGCTTGTTTTAACAATTTCAAGTTTTAGGATACATTTAAGTTTACTAGTGCAACAATTGGTAATATTTTTTCCAACATGAGATTTTACAGAGGAAGCATACAAATGTGTTAAAATGTTTTTGTTTTTTTTTTGCTTTGCCTTTGTCATAAATGTACTATTAATGTGGACATGTTCCATAGTTAAAGGATTATTTGACAAGTATATCTTTGCTTTAACAACTCCTTTTCAACACGTCTTCTTTTGAATACTGCAGGACAAGTCAACGTCTCATCAATTACATATACTGGTCGTCTGTAAGTCATACGTCCAAAGTCTAAAGTTGCTGTTACCTGATGAAACGGGGCTCTGAATTATTCAGTCAGGCCGCTCAGTGTTCCATGTGGTATCCTCATTATGAGCTGAGGTATCAGTGTTCACAACAATAGATATAGATTTAGTTTGAAAAGAACAGCAGGAAGACCTTGTTACAATTCTGAATAAAATAAAGAATTATTCTATGGTTTTAGAATGCAGGGAGAAGAAGGACCCATCTTTACCTACATTAAATACAAAAGCAAAGCTAAGCCCTCCTTTTCTTTACCTATACCCAGTGTGACTGACTTTGGAGGAAGTAGAGGCATTACAATATTTAAAGGTAGAGTGCTCACTTACCATGCAAGAGGTTGTGAGGTTGATTCCCAGGCAGCATATCTACGTCCACTAACTGGTTAGTAACTTTGCTGAGAAGATGTTTCTATGTACTCCGTGCAAATCACCCAGATAAACATGATTTAAATCGTTTTAGCAGACACTTTAAGCTATTTTGGCTAACTACTGGTCTCGCTTTTGTCATTTTGCACATTTTCATATATTTCTTTTGGCTATCCGTACCTGCTACACCCCACTGACACGGCGTCACATTATATCAAAGTTTTATAAGAAAGAGCCGACATACGAACTGTGTGAAAAATGAAACTGACAATTATCCACAATACCGACAACAAGAGAACGAAAGAGTATGAAAAATTGGATTTTGGGAATCAGACTGCGAAAAGAATGTCATGGGGGATTAGCTCAAATGGTAGAGCGCTCGCTTAGCATGCGAGAGGTAGCGGGATCGATGCCCGCATCCTCCATTAATATTTTTATGTTATCAAGCATAGTGTTCATTCATTTGTGAAAAATGAACAACCCCAACGTGTCCTCCCAAACATTTAAGGTCTTTCACTGATTAGCTCAGTGACCAGTGATGCTCCAGTAATATATTAAAAAATGATTTTGTAATTCCTAACCGTTTTTGTAAACGTTGCTGTTTTGGTTGTTTTTTCAGTTAACTTTGCTAGCTTAGCTTAGCTTAAATATGGTTATGCTAATTTTGTTTATTATTATCATTATTATTATTGTAACTTTTACTTTTTAGCTTCTGTCTAGTTTTTCTTTGACACATTTCTGCAACTGTTTTCCAAGATTTAGACACTGTCGTGCTTTAGGACATTATTCAAAATGACTGGACATTTTTTGTTCTATTTCTGCACTTCTTTTGCTAACTTATTTTGGTTATTTTGGGCATTGTGAAGGAGAGATGAAAATGATTGATGTAACAGTCGAAGGACTGTAGAGCGACCTCTGCAGGAAGCAGAAGAATAGTTTATTACAAGTATGAAAAAAAATTATACCAGTAGACATTTGACATGCAGTATATTTTATAAATAACAAGATATTGCTTTGTGTATGTATTAGTGATTAACCAAGTCTTAAAACTGACACCTTTGACATGTCTTCAAGGGTGAACCACAGAAAGACTCGATACCAAGTTAAGTTGCAATCTTATCCCTACGACCATGTTGGTTGTAGGTCAGTTATCAGTCTTCTTTCTGCTCTGGTGACTGTTTGAGTACACCACCTGACTCAGGTGTAGTGTATCCTTACAACACATTTCAGATTCTAGGTTGGAGGAGTTGGCACGCTCTTCTCACTAAAAACACAGCCACAGGACATTGTCATTGTTGGTGTTTAGAGACGGGGGAGGTATTGTACTAGCCTGCAGGCACGTAGGACCCGCAGTGGATCTAACCTCAGGTGACCCCAGGGGACATCCTGAACAAGGACAGGAGATTAGATTTCTTCACCATCTTTAAATAGGTGACCTATCAAATGTGTCAGGATACTTTAGTGGCCAACAAAAAACAGATTGCCGAGAGAACAATTGACGATCAGGAAAATTTAACATCATATAAGAAAATATCAGGATTTTATCACTGTATTTATATGTTGATGAATGTCTTGTAAACATTACAATCTCCCTGTAAATATGAAAGCTTGTTTTGCTACACCTGTACAGTATAATAAATGTCCAGCTATTTCAAACAGCACACAGGTTTTAAATCACTTCACGGATTTAAATTAAGAAAAAAAAAAGTTGCTGAGATATTTCCAAAATTCACTAAAAAAGGAAATTTAGCTAAGCATTTACACAAAGTCTGTAGCTTTCTCCCAGGTGCAGCTTTCATTTTGTTATGTAAGCAGCATAAACATAAACATTTACTTATTATTTCATATATTATTCAATTTTGAAGAATTAAAAAAAGAAACTATTGTTTCAAGTCAGGAATAAATAACAGCACCACCCAGTGGGACAAAAACAAACTACGCCACTTCACAGAACCTTTACAAAAATACTTTTTTTACCCATTCAACTTCAGTTGCAGTTTATTTTACGGCTTCAGTGCACGAAAAAAAGCAGTACAAAATGAAATGTATGTAATGTGTTTGGTCTGGACACGTACTGAGGAGAGATAGTGATTTTTTTGGGCGAGGAATGTAGGAGATGTTGCTAGGTAAGAGGAGAAAAGGAAGGAGTTGGATGTTGTGAAAGAGGACGCGGAGATTGTTGGTGTCAAAGCAGGGGACAGGGAGATGACGGCCGATGATCTGCTGTGGCGACCCCTGACGGCAACAGTCAAAAGGTGTTGCTAACATCAGCCAAAATGCAAAACAAATTCTTCTTCTAAAAAGACAATGCTAAACAAATATGGCCAAAAACCAGATTTATAATTTATTGTTGTGGCGCTTTGGCCCAGAGGCAATGTCTCTGTCATTGGTGTGGAACCCCAGGGTTCACCTCCTGGGCAGGTTCGAATCCCGGTTAGGGCGGTTAATACCTTCTAGTGGACTCACCACCCGCAGGAAGGTTTGGGGGGTTGGTACGGTGCAGTGTGATTTGGGTGGCGACTGTTGCCCCCGCGACCCGGTAACGGATAAGCGGATGAAAATGGATGGATGGATGGATAATTTATTGTTGTCTGTTTAACTCTAAATGCCTTAAAAACACACCAGGCAAAACTTTACAAACAGGTAATTTTTTTGTCAATTGTTTACCAAAATTAACACTACGTCATATTTATACTGTCTTTCGCAACGTAACTATCTTAAAAAGAACGAGGCAGCGATTAAACGACACAGGTGTCTTTACCTCCATCTAGTGGTGAAACCTATTCACTTGCTTAAAAGATGGTGAGGGAAGAAAATGTCCATTTTACCACCTGTCAATATGACCATATATAAATGCAGCTCAACTTTTCCTAGGAAGTTGTGTAACTTGAGCACAAACTTCACTCCACTGACCTGCTAATAATTTACGAGGGGGCGGCTCTGCTCAGATCTGCTCCCATTTTCCTCCCTGTCTCTAGGAAGCACTGCATCCCTTTGGCCACTTCCATCCTCAGACAGTGTGGTGGGGGACTTAAAGTGACACTGCTGTATTTGGTGAAAGTAAAGCAGAGCAGCTCACTGGGGTAAAAATCATTAAAGGGGGGAGTATGCTATTTATAGATAAGACTGTGGATCACGTAGTCTCCTCGCGTCCATATATTTCCAGAAAAAAAGCTGTAGTTAATAATCTATGTGACATTATCTCCAGCTCAATGAGCAGGGGTTAAAACCAGATGTTTAGTCTCCCTGCTCTTCACTCTCTGTGCTGGTTTTGTAAGACACAGATGGTTGAGCAGCTGATGTAGGAGCCGGTTATGTTCACACAGAGCGAGAACCTGAAGGCATCTTGAAATAGAAATTGAAAAAAGGAGGAGGAAGAGTAGGAGGAGGAGGAAAGGAGGGGGAGGCAGGAGGTGGGGGGTATTAATAAGTGGTAAACGTTGGTATGCCAGGCTCAGTCTCTAGCATGGCCGTGCAGAAGAGACAGAGTGTCATCCCTCCATCGCAGGGACCGTTTTCTCCACGTACCGCTGAGAGTCACAGGAGAGAAAATGGATGGGAGAGAACAGGAGGTTAGTGCACTCTTGGTTTGTCTTTCCTCGTGTTTGTCACTGAACAGAATGTTATTAATGATGGTGGATCATAGAGAAGAAACATCCTGACAAACCGCTCACTAATGGATCACAGCTACTGTAACGGTAAGACCATAATAACAGAGGGAGCATTTGTGATCACTGATTATGTAATGGTCAGAATCCTGTTCAGAGTGATGACTTAGGAATGCATTCACATCCATGTGACACCACCCCTGGTGCACTGACAGCTACGTACTCAGCTGTTTTTTTTCCCCAGCGGTTCATGAGTTGTGGTCAGGTGCTTGTATGTTTTTATGCCTCTTTAACGACAGGCTCCTCACACTGGCTCCTTTATTCCTACAGTGTGTGGGATGAAGGCGACCTCAGTCCAACATTTACCAATGTCTGAGGCTGATTCAACATTTGTTTATCACCGGGTCTGAAAAAGTAAGAAGGAGCAAAGAACTGGGAAAAACTGATTGGATTTAGTTAGTTTGTTTGTTTAAGAGAAGGGACCCTCTGATTTGTCTTATTTTTAAACAAATATATTTATACATATGCTATTGCTAATACTAGATTCTGAAATGTAGGCAATGAAGTTCTGACTTTATTTTTTAACTAGAATTATTTGTTGAATTTCATTCAACAAATAATTTTTATGTTTAATAAAAATATTCTTTTTTAATATTTACAATTTTGACATTAGTCTCAGAAGTGTAGTTTTTAGGATTCAAACGTGAAACATTTTCAGGGAATAAAGCCAGGATCCTGACTTTCACACAGAATTTCAAACACCATTTTTGGTAGGATAAATACTCAGAAATATGACATTAAATACTGAATACTGAGAAAAACTCAAAACAACTGACCAACGTGAACTTGTGCCCTCAGTACTAAGCTATAGATAGGTAGACTTTTTTCAGTCCCCCCCCCAACATTACCTGTATGTTACAGGCATCTGAAGATTTAACAAATCTACTTTAAATCAGGTCAATATAGACTTTATATTTGCCTCTTGGAATCATGGGCAGACAGAGGTCTATTAAGGAGGTGACCTGTACACGACCTGCACCAGAAGCTGCTCATGTCAAGAACTGCTACTTTAGAATGTAACATTCTCTGTTCTTGCAGAAAATGGATTGTACCTCAAACCAAACCCACAGTCCAAGAAGACAGTGGTCTCTGTCCACAAGTCCCCTCAAACCTGCACCACAGTTCCTCCAAGGACCATACCAGGTTTGATCCATCTCTCATGGCCATATTTAAATGCACAGTAATATAAGAGTGGAGCTAATGTTCTGTCACTGTAGGTGCTAATGGAGTCAACATCGATGAAAGGTTGAAGGCAGCGCGAGAAAGAAGAGAGGAGCAGGAAAAATTACTGGGTGCGTTTGGTGATGCTCTGTCCTCGATTTCTGTCAAACAGGGTTAATCCAGACGGCTGATTAATCTATTTTTAATGGCTCATTTTCTTGGCTCAGCCTCCCGGGAACGGAGCAGGTTGGAGCGGGAGCAGCGTGCCAGGCTGTACTACGAACAACAAGTGGACGAACGCAAGAAGAAACTCCTGCAGCAGAAGCTGAAGGAGGACAGGAGGCGAGCTGCTGTGGAGGAGAAGCGCAAGCAGAGGATCAAGGAGGAGAAGGTGAGTTTTGACATACACACCATCGGGGGGGTTGAGCGAGAGCACAACACTGAAGTGTGTTACTCTGTGAGTTAAGGAGCGACATGAGTTTGCAGTGCGCAAAACCCAGGAGAAGAGCCAGAAGGCCCAACAGAGTCAGAGCCAAAACTCCAGAGGCAGGAAGATCACCAAGAACGGTGAGAGAACCAGAACCTCCCAGCCTTCTCTGTTTCTGTCTTCTCCCTGTCTGCCTAATCTCTTCTCTCTTCTGTTCATGCAGTATCTTAACACAAAGGTTATTGGCTTCACTCATGTTGTCTTTGCTGCATTTAAACTTTATGCTGATCAATACAACACTAGTTCCACGTCGCTTACCAATGACAGCATGGGAGAAGAATTTGGTCAATCGCCTCCTTACCCCCACGTACTCTTATCTGGCCCGGAGCAAGAGTGCTGGGTGTCAGTCAGGAGAAGAAGGTACTCCTCACTTCCCAGACTCTAAAAATATATAGCATGACCTCAACTGCTTTATTTGTCTTTTTTATTATTATTTCTCCTACCGACCACTTCATTGAGGTACATGTTGCTGCTACTGGGCTGAATGAACTCTCTGCTTTCTTCACGGAAGTCATTCAATGGGATACTGGGAACATTTCTCTCAGTTATATTGACAAGAGAATTCATTCAGCCACTGCAGGTTTTTCAGCTGCACATCCGTAACCTGAGCTACACACACACACACACATATATTTATATATATATTTAAAATATATATAGTATAGTAAACTATTCCAACAAAACAACACTTCATTTATTCTGTTTTTATTTTCAACATATGCAAAATAAGACCCCCTGTAGTACCTGCAGACCCCTAAGGGCCCCCATGTTGCATCCGACCCTGCGTGTGTTTTCGCCCCCCACCCGTTATCCCGAGCTACACACACACACACACACACATATATTTATATATATATTTAAAATATATATAGTATAGTAAACTATTCCAACAAAACAACACTTCATTTATTCTGTTTTTATTTTCAACATATGCAAAATAAGACCCCCTGTAGTACCTGCAGACCCCTAAGGGCCCCCATGTTGAAGACCACTGCTCGATACTGTTACACCACCACTGCCAGAGTCAGGATGGAAACTTTCTCTGTAACCTAGAGACCTAGAGAGTGTTGTCCTTTGAAGAATAGCACAATTTAAAATCTCTTGAATCCTCGTTCTTTAATTATTCCACTGCTTATTTAGAACTCCAGCTTAGTTAATGTGCATAAATGTGCCAGTGTGCTGCAAAGTGCTTGGCTGAGTGCACTTGTGCTCTTATAAGCTGTTTAGTAGGTGTACCTAATGAAGTGGCCAATGCTTGTATCATTGCAGTGCACCTCTAGTGGTTCTTTGTGGTAACTAACACTGCTCCTGTTGAATCACTTCTCCATGTTTCCATTTCCTCTCATCGTTCATTCTCCATATTTCCATTCAATGTCACAATACGCTCCTTCAGTTGTCCGTATTTGTCGCCGTGCAGTTTCATTCTATACCACCACTACCGCCACCCCCACTGCCATTATCACTCCTCTCAAAACTCAGCACCACTCCAGTCCAGTCCAAAAGAAGTCACCTGCCTCCCCGAGCCCTAACACTAGAGGCAGCAAACCAGCAGTGGTGAGTCTGGTTCTTTGTCTGAAGCAATGAAAGTTTCTTTGTTTCTTTGAAATATGTCATGCTAGCCAGAGCTTAGCCTTTAAGTTAAGTCTGTTATGGGGCCAAGTTAGCCAAGAATTTTAGGCTCTAAATAACATTTAGTTATTGTTTGGCTAACTTTCAGCTTAAAATCATTTTAAGTAATCTTTTGGCTAAATTTGTTTGCTTACAGTATTCTCTTTCCTTTAATTGAGACTATGTCTTCTGTCTCTCATTGGTTTAGATCAGAACAGTTAAACACCCAGAGGCAGTTAATAAAACCTCAAACAAGAGCTCTTATATGAAAACGCCTCCTGTGAACACTAGCACTAAACCAACCAATGCTAATCAAAACCGAAAACCTTCAACTTCACCCAACAGGTGAGTGGACGTAGCTCGATTGCTACCTTTTGCGTTCATTTATAATTTAGTCACAATTCACCTGGGCCTTGTGTTTGCTGGGTTTTTGAAGGACTCCCCGGAGATCAGTGAGCAGACAATCAACCCCGCTGCAGCCGGGGCTCCCTTCTGTTCCCGAGGAGGATGTCGAGGTGTGCAGTTCTGCTCTCGCCCCTGGAAACTCAAGGCCTGTCAGAACGTCCACTGCAGGTCAGAAAATGAGCATGAAGAAAGACAAAAACGCACCACCAGGAGGTCCCACATTAAACAGTCCTTCCACAAAGACAGAGGTTGGATCAAGAACATTGGAAGTCAAAGGTCAGAGAAAGGAAATTCTTAATATTTAAGACTTAAGACACACAGTATTTTACATTGTCATATTTTTCTAGGTCCTCTTCAGTTGCCTCCTCACCCATCAGCTCAACATCATGAAGTCATCAGCAAGTCTTCGGCTGGGACTACAGACAAGGAGGAGGCTTCACGCCTCCTTGCAGAGAAAAGGAGAGTGGCCCGCGACCAGAGGGAGAAGGAGGAACAGGAGCGTCTGCAGAGAGAGGAGGCCGACAGGTTAAAATGAATATTATCCTTTGAAAAAGAAATGAAGCTCTATCACGCTACTTCACTACAACATATTAATTTTGACACGTGCAGGAGGAGCCGTGACGAACTGGAGAGCAGGAGGACAGCAGAGCGAGCACGACAGCAGGCCGAGGCTGAACGTCTGGTTCTGGAGAAGAGGAAGAGGGAGAAAGAGGAGCAACAACGAGCAGAGGAGGAGAGAGCTCAGGCCATAAAGGAAGCTGCCCTCCTCCAGAAACAGGTGAAGCAGCGTTCCACCCTCATCCGTGTACTAGAAGATTAGATTTTTAAGCCTGGTTAGTTTCTTCTCAGAGAGAAGGTTGAATTTTTGGTTTTATTAACTGCAAACCTCTGGTTTATGCGTTGTGATTTTCAACCAGAGGGAGGAGGAACAGGCCAGAGAGAAGCAGAAGTCAGACAAGATAAAACAAGACCGAGACATACTGGCTCAAAAAGAGGAGGTTGATCGTCAAGCAAGGAAAAAGGTGAGGTTCTGATTTACTTCAAATGTAAAGTGAAATAGTGACAAATAGAAGAAGATGAAAGATGAATAATCTTAAAAATAAAAGGGTGTGTTATTTTCTATCCTGGACAAAGTCAAAAACATTTGTCCCTGACCCAGTCTTTGAGAATCACTGATCCTTTGTTTTATTCAGTGTTTACTGCTGATGTGGTGTTTTTTGTCAGCAGTTGATAAACACCCACCCCTCCCACCCCTGCAGCCCCCAGCTGTGGGGCTAGTTTAGCAGATTTTCACACCGTATTTGTTTGTTTAGGAGAACTCTGTTCATAAAAATACTTTATCGTTGCACTAACCTCTCCCTCCCCTCAGCGACTTGAGGAGATCATGCGGAGAACCAGGAGGACAGATTCTCCAGATACGGTATGATTTATTGAGGTTTTATCCCAGCAGTACTTCGCCTTCTGACTTATCATGGTGCACATTCCTAATTAACCAGCTGCAACTTCAGAGCCTTGCCTGAGGGTAAAAACAATATTTCTTGTCAACACAGACCTCAGAGAGTGAACCAAATGAAGTCCAACCAAAGGAAAACACTAAACCTGTGAACAATGGCACCAAAGAACATGTGGTCAAGATGCCCGTGGCCACAAAGTCCTTGTCGCGGGAACTGAGATTAGATGACGAGGAGGACATGGTACCTGTTGTGGCCTTCAAAGAACGCAGGTCTATCAGGACGCTTGCCAGCTTGGAGGAAATCCAGACGCAGCATCGAGCAGGTAAAACGTACAGTAGATCACAAGACTATATAGTGGAAAAAGCAGAGCTGAGATACTCTGACCAGTTGTCCTCAGTTTAGAGTTTTTAGACTGCTAGAAACTGGCTGACCTGCTACATCTTCTTCACTCTATCTAAGGTAATTTAGCATCAACATCAGCCATTTTCAATCCTTTGCTCATTTGTTATGATTCTCTCGTGTCTTATTCTCCTCTTCCATCACCAACATTCTTAGTTCATCATTCCCACTATCTTCTAAGAGCATGCTCTAATTAGCTTTGAATTCTGCCAGTCTTAGCGGTTGCTCTCATTTGCTCATGTCTAACCCTGTCCATCCTGTTCACTCCAACTGAAAACCTCTCCTCCCTCATCTCAGCCCCATCATTTAAACAGTGCATGCCCCAAACATACGATACAGTGTAGCAGATCATACACGTTTTTTTTACTTTAATTTTCTGCATCATCATTAATTGCGTAACATTAATTGCTTGTGTAACAGTCAAACAGAGACACACCGTCTCCTCTAGATGAGAGATAGCTTATAAGAAAGCAAGGAAGAAGATGCAAGCGGCAGAAAAGTACATGAGAGTGGTGACAGAATTGTATCTTGATAACAAAACTGACCTGCTGGGTTGAGGGTGGGGTTACAACAGGACTCCAGCAAACTATTTTACCTTTGTGCTCGATGTTGTGCTTTCTCCAGAGGTCATCTGAGCACCTGCTGACTGAGAAGCTCCAGCACTTTTGCGTGAGTCGGATTCTCGCAGTCCAGCCAGTTTGCTGCCCTTCAGCACTTTGAAAGAGCACGCAACAACATCGCCCTGCTGAAGTCATCACCATTCCATTCCATTTGTGTGGGCTCTTAAGTTTGAACTTATTACTGTATCACAGCAGAATCCTGCACTAATAATGACGATATTCAGTGGTGGTGATCATAGCAGAGTAACTAGACTTTTACCAGTGGAATTCAGAGTGTTGCCTTTCCCTGTCATCGCATATATTATCTATACTGTATGATTATCTATATGCTCTTTCCTTTACATCCAATATGAACTCCAACCTTATGCTTATAGTTTTGTCACTGCACAGTTGAAATATCTCTAATAATCTAAGACTTTAGTACGACAGAGATCTTAATGGTGTTTGTGACACATATTCCTATATCCTCCATTCATTTTGAAGTATATCAATCACGTATTCCTAATGCTGCTAAGGATTTGGTCTCCAGAGACACTGCTTCAGTTTTTGTGAATGATCTTTTAGAAAACATGATGCACAAATGCGTAAATTGCACTGAAAATGGCTTTGTTTGACAGCCTTCAAACAAGTAAACGAGGTCTGACTGAGATGTAAAGGTTAAGTGAGATTAACTATAATAAGAAAAAGCCCAGAAAAAAGCATCTTATTGTCAATATTTGATCTTATGCAGTAGTATGAGTATTGCTCACAGTAATCACATGTTAACCTGTTGTTGTTGAAAAAGAAAACAGTATTTGATTAAAGTTGATACAAATATTTTTCTTTGTCTTATATCTCACTTAAAACAGAAAAAAAAATTAAATGCATGCAGTAAAAAGTAAATATTATATTACAACCATCATCGGGAGCTGCAGCTTCAGCTCGCTGTTGATCACCAGAGAAGGAAAGGCTCCATCTGCAGGACAAACAGGTACATAGCAGAAAAGGAACTTGATAAAATGACGGTAATGTCTCTCTCTGGTTTTACAAAAAATATTCGAGGGTAAGGCTGTAACTACATGATTTAATGCTTTAGTAAATTATACTGGTTTTGTTTAATCTACGATGTTATTAAGATACAAATCACCGATTTAAAAAAAAAATCAAATCACAAATATATAAAATGTAACAAAAACGGAACCAAAACAAACAAATTTAGTTTAAATGTTGGCATAAATTGATTTAAAATACAAACCGTAGCACTGATAGAGGTTAGCAAATTTTGAGAAAAATGGCTAAATTTAGCCAACATGCTAGTTAGAAATTTGTAATGCAGAACAAATACGAACCTTTCTTGAGGTTGAATGTTGTAGCTCTACTAAGACTATCATGTACGTAAACAAACTACAAAGCATAGTTTTATAAAACACAATTACTTTGTGTTTTTAATTGCATTACTTTACTTTGCAGACCTTGAATATGTAAACTTATCAAACTGTTTTTACATATAATGATAACCTTCTCTCAAAAAGCATATTACCTGGCACTTACTAATTTACTAATAATGGCAGCACACCTATAGGACAATGAAGAACTTCGTATTTTTGAAACCTGTTCTGCTGTCAGTGTTGCTGCAGGTGTAGACCTGAATAAATCTGAAAAAGAAAGAAATTAAAGGAGAAAATATTAATCCGCTGAATCTATAAACAATACACAAAAAACGAGACGTAGACCAAATCCTGTCTTGGACTCTCACAGAGTGCAATCAGTTGCCGTAAGCATGACGACACATGTAGTAAAGTGTCATGTGACAGTGCAGGAGACAGGAGCGCCCTCAGGAGTTCAGATAAACACATACTTTCCATCACAGCCTAGAAAAAAACAACAACACACAAAAAAAAAAACAATGATGCGATTCATCAGGTTATCCGTCTGTGGCGTCACAGAACAGAACAGATGTAACAGTGTTCCTATGACGCACCTGCTGACCCACACATGAACAGCACAGGTTACAGATTATCACACAGCAGTGTGAGATTCTGGACGAACTGTGACGATCATGATGATGGAGCAGGTGACCAATCTCACCAAGGACTCCTGGGAACAGACCACAGACATATATATATATATATATATATATATGTATGTATGTATGTATATATATATATATATATATATGTATGTATGTATATATATATATATATTTATATAATCTGCACACAATGGGGTTTCTAGTGTTGTTTAACTTTAAGTTTAAATATAGTACATTTTACAAAATTTTACTAATTGCATAATTAATGTATTGCATAAACTAGTCATGTAATTCTATGCAAACCACTCTAGAATGTAATAATTCTAACAATTATCGTCTTATCTAGAGCATCATAAGTCAGACAAAACAAGAAATTAGGAAAAAAAATGCAAAAAAAGTTGGCCAAAAATAATAGCCTGATGGGTTTACACTACCATATAATTATGTTTCATTTTTATTCCAGATCAGATTATTGATGCATTACCCGAAGGTAAGTTGAAAATTAACCTTCTATGTCTATGCAGGTGCAGAGAGGTTAGCCTTGGAGAATTTCTCCTCCTCTCAGGTGTGATACTCCTGAAGCAGCTGCACTCATATAACCTGAAAACATCTCTTAATTTCCCTTCAACATTTCTGCAGATGTTCATGAAGTGAGCGGAAAATTCCCTAAGAAGTCTGGGACAGTACACAGCAGAGCAGGAGCCATGTCAGCATTTTCCCAGGTAGTGTCGTCAGCAAACACCTGCACTTGAACACACCCGCCGTATACAAGATGTGATTTCATATTTCATTCCAATGTTGTTTATCTGTGGACTTTATAGAGTTAAACTAAGGCATATTTCATTGTTTTTGTTTGAATAAAAAACGCACGGATCATCAACGTCAAAACGATTTAAATGTGAGCTATTGGTGTATTTATCTATTTATTATTGTTTTTGTTTTTTATCGTCCCGTTTATTTTACGAAATGTGAGCTATTGGTGTATTTATCTAGTTATTATTGTTTGTTTGTTTTTATCGTCCCGTTTATTTTACGGACTAATCTGTACGTATGACGCTTGCTCTTTCCACAACTATCATTGGCTGGTTTGTCTGACCGTGACGTCACCCCGTACAGCCTCTTTATTGTGATTAACTGTTGTTGACTTGGAAACCGTGGTGGCGTCGTTTAAGTTTGAGGAAGCTCACAATCACTGCATGGTGGAAACTCACCGGTTTAAATTATGACTGTGTAACGTTATTTTTTAGTGACTTAGTCTTTATATGTACACTCAGACTTAAACCTAAAAACATTGGTTTAACCGTAGACAGCGTTACCAAAAGTGTTTAGCCATCGTTAGCACGTTAGCTAAAGCTGCTAACGTTGCTTCACGTTTCGGATATTTTTTGCTTACTTTTTCCATTAAATTATGCTTATTTATCGCATTGACCGATATAATTTTAAATATCGTATAACGGCCTAAAAAGCATTTAAACGCAGTGTACCTAGATACACAATCGTACTATCCGCGCATATTGGATAACATCATTTCTTAAAATGAAACCCGTCTTCTCTGGATTATTTTTGAACGCCAGATGACACGCAGTAATGCAAATATTGTAATGTTATCACCTAACATTATTTGAAGATGCCTGCGGGTGAGTCAGATGTTATTCGTTCAATACTACATTATGTTTAGCTGCATTTTGTGAAGCATCAGTTAAACCTGTAATAAAACAAAGGTGGTTAACGGTGAATTTATGTGTGATTTTAAAAATAAGATGAATAAATACATCCGATTTATTTTAAACTTAGGATCATAGACAGATCCTTATTTTCATCCTACCAATGGATCATTTTCTAATGACCTTTTTTATCCTTTTACAGGTGAGAGTGAGGACCGGGCCAAGACCCGGGAACGGTTCAATGAGATGCTTAAGAAATACACAGAACCAGAAAAGAAAACAAAGTTGACAAAATTGAAAACTGAACCTCAAGAGACCATTGTGGTAGGACATTAGTGTTTTATATTGAGTTCCAAACACATCAAATCAGATTTAAAATATTGTTGATTATTTTTGTTAACAGCATCCCCATTTGATTTGTGTGTATTTTTTATTTTAATTCTGTTAAGCTCCAGGACCTAAAAAAAAAATTACGCCTAAAAAAGGACACAGATGATGATGAGACCATCCTCCAGAACACGTATGACCCTGAACAGGAAAGTCCTCGCTACACTAAGAACCAAAGGAGAGAAAATGAATCGACTCAGAAGGTTAACATCAACAACAGTAAAAATGAAACAGATATTCAAACGTCAAGTGTCAAAAGAAAGATTAAGAGGGAGCTTCCCTCTATCCCCAAATCTGATGACAACAGTAAAAATCTGAAAGACACTGATGCTGCCAAGTCTGAGATCTCTATTGATGGAGGAACTGAGGCTCAACATAAATTTAAAAAAGAAAAAAATAAAGGAGATAAGAAAACGAAAGCAAAGACTGATGCTGAGGATACTGAAGACCAGCTGCTTCATGAATACCAGCAGCAGATTGCTGAAGAGACTTCTCCAAAAAAGACAGGAGTGAAGAGTGAGGAGACGACTGATGTCCCCCAAAATGTTACACTGAATAATGATGTTGGCAAGAAGAAAAAAAAGAAGCTGAAATCTGTGGTTACAGAGTCAGACTTAGGGTTGGTACCAATGCACTGTTAACTAGAAGACTTCACAGACAGTTTCAAACAATGGTGTGAGCTTTGTCTTTGTCACCAGGGAACAAGATGATGACGTCGACCCGAGTGGTGATGTGGAAAATAAAACATCTTTCACTGAAAAGAAGAAAAAAAAGAAGAAACATAGTAGGTGGATGTTTAAATGTTTAAAATTACCTGCTGTTTGTTCTACACAGTAGATTGTGATGAATGTTTTATTGTCCAGTTGTTAAAGAGGAGAGTGAAACTGAGGCAGACGTACAACGGAGGCCGGCTTTCGACGACAGCCTGGTGCTGGGGGTTTACATCCACAGAACAGATCGCCTGAAAACAGACCTGCTGATCTCACACCCGATGGTGAAGATTCATGTTGTTGATGAAAACACTGGACAGTATGTAAAGAAAGAAGACTGGTGAGAACAGACAAACTCAAGCTTTAAATTCACTTCCTTTTGTTCATCCAGAGATTTTTCTTTTTCGTTTTCACTTATTACACTGATCATGATATTTGGAAATAGATTTTAGTGTCTCTAAAAATGTTGACCAATCAAACTGTACCAAAAAACCATAAAATGCCCAGGTATCAAGTTGTACTTAATAATGTATTGTGAATTTATCTTGGGAGGTTCTGTCATAGTTTTGGGCTGTATTTTAGCCTAAAAAACCCTCAGAATTATTACTAGATGCTACGGTAATGTGTTGGTTAATGTTTTGTTATATAATTTTCGTTCTAGATGAAGTTTCTTAAATGTCTTGTTTCATTAAATCACATTTAACCATTTTCTCAGAAGTTTTTGCAGTAAAACTGGCTTATTTTGTTGTCATATTTTTTGTAGCCATCGTCCGGTATCGTCCTTTTATGAGCAGGAGAATGTTGACCACATCCTCCCCATCATGACACAACCTTTTGACTTCAAGAAAAACAAGTCTGTGATCCCTGAGTGGCATGAACAGATCATCTTCAACGAACGCTTTGGTCACTTTGTCGAGCAAAACGAGGAAAGTCCTGTAGTCATGCTGTTCTTTGAAGTGAGAGACATTTCATTTTTAACTTTAACTTCAACCTGTTTTAAAGTTGCCATGAATGATGTTAATGTTATTTTTTCTATTTTAATTGTTAAAGATTCTGGACTTTGTTACCATGGAAGAGGCAAAAGCCAATGTAGGTGGTGACAAGCATGAAGATGGATTCAGAAGGATCGCATGGGCATTCCTCAAGGTACACTACTCAGCCATAATAGTTCAAAAGCATATTATGATAACATTTAATTTACTTTTTTTTTCACTCTTTTTTTATTTCTCCTTCTTAGCTTATTGGTACAAATGGCGTACTGAACATCGACAGTAAACTCCGCCTCCAGCTCTTCTGTCCTCCGCCTCGAGCCAGGAGACAACCTAAGACAGTGGAGGTGTTTGAGTGGTGGAGGAAGTATCCTCGACACAAATATGCCTCCACTCTTTATGTCACGGTCAAAGGCATTAAACTCCCTGAGCATGTGAGCAACCTGGGCATTTTTTATTAATTGTAACACAGAAAAAAACAAAATTAGATTAAACAAAGCCCAGTGTGGACAGTAAAGAACGAGGTTTGTTCCACAGGTGGATCCTTCCATCCGCTCCATGATGGCTCTGCAGGAGGAGCGAGGCAGCACGTCTTACAGTGAACTGCAGAACGAAGTCAGTAAGAGGAGCCTGACGCAGCCTCTGGTCAGCAGCCCTCCAACACTGAGATGGAGTCGAGTGCCGGGTCAGGTCAGTGGAGGATGATCAAAATAATATTTTAGCAGACATTAAATCATTGTGTCCTAAAACTTACGTTTTTAAATTACAATTTAAAAATAATGGATTCTACTTATTGTCAAAAACATTAGTTGAAAAATTCACAATTTAAAAAACGTGTTAATATTTCTCAGTGCCAGTACAGTTTTGCTAATTTCTAACATTAAAGGAAACATTAATATTTTCACAGATACAACATGATTATTTGTTTGTTTATTATATGTTTATTTCACAGTTGTGTTTTTAATAACAAGTCCCAATAAAAAACGTCTATGGGCTGAAATCCAAGTTTTTTGTCTACTCTGTCTCAGATGTGTCGCATCCCTAACAAGCCTGCGCTGTCGTTCCGTGGGGGTCAGATGGGCTGCTACACTGTGCTCTTCTCCAACGCAGGGACGATACTGGCTGCAGCCTGTGCTGACAGAGATGCTTTTCCAGTTGTAGGCAAGTCACACCTCCCCTGGTGGTTCACTGTGTACCTGCTCAGCACAAAGCTACAGCTAATGAAGTTGTAGTCAGCACACTGTGGTTTCTCTGGGGAACGTTATTTTTGTTATTATTATTTTAAAAAATCACCTGGATTCTTCGTGTGTTTCCTGCAGTGTATGAGATTCCCTCTGGAAAAGTTTTGGCTGCTTTTTCTGGTCACCTTAAAATCATCTATGATCTCTGCTGGTCGAGAGACGATCAGAGGCTGCTGTCTGCTTCGTCTGATGGAACTGTCAGGTGAGTTAGAAAGCGGGGAGGGTGAAGAGAGATTAGATGTGTTTTGTTTTTAGTTCAGATTTGTCTCTCGTGACTCAAATATTCAAAAATCTTTATTATTTTTCTACTTTTCAGAGAGTGGAACGTGAAAACTCTGTCAGAATCAGCCCGGAAAGTTCTCCCTCACCCATCCTTCGTGTACTCTGCCCAGTATCACCCCACAGAGCAGAACCTGGTGGTGACAGGAGGCTACGACAGCCTACTGCGAGTGTGGAGGCTGGACACAGACGACGTGAACGGTCAGCTGCTGCAGGAGTTTGATGGACACAACAGTTTCATCAACACGATTTGTTTTGACCCAGAAGGTACGGAGGATATTCAAGAATATTGGGGTTATTCAGTGATAAATTTTATCTCAATATTTAGTGGCTGCTTTGTGTTTATTTAGGTGGCAGAATGTTCTCTGCGGACAACATGGGTCTAATCATTGTGTGGAAAAGTTCAGTTAAAGAAAGCAGGAGGCAGCAGCCATGTCATCGGTGGTGTGTAGAGAAGGTACATGCTGGTGTTCGATATGAAAAGTGTGCACACATATCTGTTATTGATATCTGATATCTAACAGGATGAAGCAAAAATAGATTAAAAGTGAATGAATGAGTGTTTTCTTTTGATAGACGTTTGATGAGCGTGAGCTGAGGGGCGTTCCCATCAACAGGCTGCAGCTTCATCCAAACGGCCGCTGCCTTCTCATCCATGCCAAAGACAGTGTCCTCAGGATGATGGATCTAAGAATGTAAATATGATGAAACGAAAACCACTGCATCCTGAAGTGATAGGAAATAACTGTAAAGAAAAAGAAAAGTTATTAATGTTCTCTTTGGATAAACGTTGTTTGATCTTTTCTCAGTCTGGCTGTGAAGAAGTACACAGGAGCCACAAACTACAGAGAGAGGATTTACAGCACCTTCACACCCTGTGGCAGCTTCATCTTCTCCGGCAGTGAGGATGGAATGGCTTACGTCTGGAACACAGACACAGGTCAGACTAATGTCCTGCCACTTCAACGCCAGGTGATTGGCCAGTTTTTATGTTATGTGTTAGCAGTGTGTTTTTTCCCCCCAGGTGACCAGGTTGCTGTCTACAATGAGCTCTGTTACCCCACTGCCCTCCACTGTGTGTCCTTCCACCCTCATGAGAACATGGTGGCCTTCTGTGGTTACGGTCAGCGTCAGCCTGTCCAGGTCTACCTGTATGATCACAAAGGTCGGTGCTCACTCACAGCAGTGGTGATTATTCTATATGATTGATGCACTGCATGTGTGTTTTAACTTAGTAATGTAGATGCACAACTGACACTTACACAACAGTTGTTGTATATTCTTGTACAATTCCTTTCTGGAGACTCATTACAATCATTGTGTTTTAAACACTGACTCACGGCAGACGTGTCTCACGTCTGTTTCTTACAGTCTCTCTGTTGGAAGCAAACAGTATGAAAGCACAGAGCAGATCAGTGTCTGCGGACACCAGGGCCATGAGGAACACGCCTGACCCTCCAGCCTTAGACGACAGAGCTGCGGCCATCGATCACTTTGCTCAAGCAGCGAGACACGCACTGAAAATGCAACGCGTTCAGGAACAGTTGGACTCTGTTCTTGTAAGTACTTAAATTGAGTAAACTATGAAATAATAAAGTATATTTTAAATAATCAGCTTTAATTTACACATTGACTAGGAGCAAAGTTACAGATCCTCAGCCTCGGCGTGCGTCTTTGATCAAGGTAGTGTACGAGCACATTAGGATTTAACCGCCACTTTCTAATTTGCATTTAAAATAATACATCATACGTTTTTGATTTACAGACAGAAGTCACACAGGGAGGAGTCTGACATCAGAAGCTGGAGCAGTGAGTTTTAAACATAACTTAAGTGTCTTGTCTTCAGTAATTTGCTCCTCTAAAATACTTAAACTTCTTAAAGACTCCTGGTACATTGGAGGGACAGAATGAAAGCTGTGGGTGAAACTTTTTAAAACAAAATAAATCTAATAGGTTTGTGGGTGATGGAGAAGAACAAACGTTCTACCATGTAGACAGGAAATTTTCAGTTTTCAGGTTGTTGCAGTATTAACTTCCACCACTAGATATTGCTATTCCCCACATAAAAGACGTAGATGATGTCAAATTTGAATCCATGTGTTTGACTTACAGGTGTCACTGAATGCGTCTCTACCGCCTCCGTCTCTGCTCTCTCCTCACTCCAAGCTGCAGCTCTCAGGTGGTCTGCTGGAGCACCTCGTCCCTCAGGCTGCCCTGACCTCCCACAGTTGTAAGTGGCTTCACTGTCCATTTGGATTTGACCAAAGACCGGCTTTTCTTTCTGCATTCCTTTGACGTATTAAGTCGCATATTTCTAAAGATTAAACTGTAGCTGAACCAAAAAAGAAATTGACGGCGTGACCGTGACTCAGAGTTTCCAGCTCTGCAGCCTCCTGAAGTACACTTCAGCATGTCTGCCATTTATAAAGAGAGAGACGGACCTCTTGTGATTTTAACAAGCATCTGTAAGGGGTTGTTAAGAACGCTGCCCCCTATTTGTGTGGATGGATGTTTTTCTTTTTTTTTGTTAATGTTTTATTTTCTTCTCTCATGACTGCAGGCAGGTTCAAGGCAGTTGGTCAACCCGTGAAAGGGAGGTCATCGTTCAAGCTTCAGTCGGTGAGAGCATTTCTAATACTGAGATGATAAGTAGAAGACTAGTGGGTTCATAGAGTAGTTCTAATACTGAGATGATAAGTAGAAGACAAGTGGGTTCATAGAGTAGTGGTTAGCACGGTTAACACACATACGTATCTCAGTTCAGAACTACAGTGTATGAGTGAGGCTTTGGGTGAAGTTGGTGAGGTGATGCTGCTTGTCCTCAAACACACCACGCTCTGCACTTTAAGAAGTAGAACTAGAGTTGCAGGACTATTTGTGGGGTTTCTTTTCTGTCTTTTCCAAGCTGTATGACAAGTGTCAGATGTGTTACTATAAAAATGTATGTCCCTTGGTTGGTGAGTGAAGAACAGTCAACATGGATGCTATTTTATAAATAATGTATAGACCTCCCTGTCAAATTCTCGACTGTATGTGGGTTCATCTGGACTCACAGAGTGTTAACCAACCCTTCAATAAAAATACAAACTAAATATGCAATTGACATATGAACGGTATATAGAATAAAAGCAGCATGTGGAAAATAAAAAAAAAACACTTTTGAAATATTTCTGTTTTTTCCCAAATGGACTTTGCCGCAACATTTTAAATGTAGTTTTACTGCATGTCCACCGTTTGTCTCCTTCAGAGCCTGTCAGAACCCGTTTATTCTGGTCTCCGCCTGGAAACAGACTCTCCTCCTGTCCAACAAGTCGTGAGTATTCACCTTTCTTACATCAGCTCTGAACACACCTCTTTGACTCCAGTGTTAATTTGAACAATTTATACTTTTCATGGAAGAATAAGTCAACGACTCGCTTTTCAAATTTTTTAGGACGAAAACTAAGTAGAGAGTTTTAATCTGGCAAAGATGAAAACAGTTCTATTGACTTAGTTGGAACTAAGTTACAATTGAGTCCAAAGACTAAATCAAAGATGAAGTGGTTCAGTCAGTGCTTCTTCACTGACAGTTGTGTTTTTCTCACAGGTGGTCTCGCTGTATGACTATCAGGCCAATCGCGCCGATGAACTGACCGTTCGTCGAGGCGACGTCATCCAGGTGCTGTACAAGGACAACGACAGCTGGTGGTTCGGAAGCCTAAGCGATGGCCGGCAGGGATATTTTCTGGCATCTTATGTTGCAGATCAGAGTGAGTTTGAAGGTTGTGACTTTTCAACAATTTTGGAACTATTTCTTCTCACCTTTTTGTTTTTCTTACTTTGTAGAAGATTTCAACGAACAGGTCACTCACACTGTGGACACCCAGGCCACCAGGTCTGAAAGATCAACACCGACCAGGGTAAGAAGCTAAGTTACCATCAGATGTCAGTTCTTGTTTGAGCGACTACGACAAGTTCTGCAAAGACCTGGTCCAGCATTAGGCTCCGTCTCTAATGCTAAAACAAATCTGAAAGAAGATTAAGTCAGAAAATTCCAGGACCATTTTGTTATTTTTAGCTAAACAGAGCACAGAGCTTCCTGGTTAGGTTTAGATGTATACCTCCAACAACAGTGGGCCAAAATGAGGCCACTTTTTTCAAAATGAATCATCAGCTACAAACTTCAGTCATAATCATTTTCAAATAGACTTAACTTAACAAAAATTTAGAAACAGAAGTTGGAGGTGACCTAAGACTTTTTCACAGCATTGTAGATGGACAAACAGGTAACAAACATTCTAACACGTTTCTTGGGATTCTTTATCACAGTAAATATTTTTTCTTCATTTCTGATTTTTCTCTGGTTCTCCTACACTCTCACCTGACCTCTGCCTGAATGGTGATGGTACCTTCTTGGAGGAGTGTGTTCACCTGTCTGTTGTAGTTTTATTCATTTATTCTTCTGCTGCCACTAAACCCTTTCCAGGATGGTGAAAAGGTTGCCATGGTCACTGGGTGAGAGGGACTGTTTTCACCCGGGACTGTTTTTTAGTCCAGCTCAGGGCTAGCCTTAACCTAGCCCTTAACTAGTGGACTAATCACTAACTACTCTTGCACCAACATAAAATACAAAATTATGCAATAAAAAAAATCACCCAAAATGTTCTTCCTTTTCTGCGAGGAAGGTCATAGATGGTGCTAGCTCAGTGAGTGGCATCCTCTGTCTTTGCTCAGTTAGGAACATGTAATTGATGATGTCATCACATTGACGAGAGGATGAACTGCTAATGTTGAGAACACTTTTCACTTTTTTCACTCTTGGCTCTCTGACACTTTCATCCTCCAGAACAGACTGTCTACCCATGGGATTGAATTGTGGTCACTTTTTTCTCATGGTGTTTCTTCTGCTCCCCCTGCTGGCTGCTGTCTCTTCTGTCTTCTTTCTTTGCAAAGGTGTCTGCTGCCATTAGTTCTTCCGGGGAACTTAGGTTTCTCTCTGAGCCCAACCTTTCTGACACTGAACCTGAGCTGACTGACACCAAGTAAGTGGCTGACAGTGAGGTGGAAACTAGACACTGCACAAAGCTTCAAATGTTAGAATGTGTTTGTTTTTCCATATCAAACCTTGATGTCCAACATTGTGGACTTTGTCTCCCTTAGAAGTAGAAGGAAAAAGAAAGTGAAGAAGCCTGGAGCTGCTGCTGCTGCTGTGCTTTCTCAGGCCTCGGTCTCAGACGCAGATGTTCCAGGTTCCAGCAGCAGCAGGAGAAGATTCAAGTCGACAGGGAGACCACTGCCAAAGAGGCCCAGCGGTCAGACTAACGATGCCTTTGTGCCTGATACTTAAACTCATGGACACTGACTTCTAAATAAGGTTAGAAAAAAACAGTGTGAAAACTAGCCATTTATTTTTAATATTTAAAAAAAAACAACTGTTTGTAAAAATTTCAAATTTATTCTGCAAACTCTGTACAAATGTAGGTAGTATATTTTTTGTCAAATGGTATTTTTGAAACACATATTTGTAATAAATTAGTTTTGTTAACATCAAAAAGAAAACGAGTATTAGAATTTTACTACTGCAGTTTTTTAATCTTTATATTTTTATTTTGCCAGCCTATAAAATATTTCTTATAAAACCACAACTTTTTATTTTATAATTATCTGTTAGTTTTGTGAGTGTTGCTTGAGAGATTAAGAAAAATTCTACAGTGTTGTTTTTGACTTTTTGAAAAAATATATAATACAACCTTTTATCGCACAGTATTGAGTATTTTAATATTTTGTATTCTTGTTTTTCATGACCCCATGGTTTCTTTTTACTACTTATTACTTTTTTGGTTAATGCACTTTACAGGTATCAAGATGTACAAAAAAGGAAACATGAGTTAGTTTACCTGCATCAACCAACAGCAGTTTAATTGTGATACATTCATAAATACATGTCATATAACCAAAAATATATAAGTACTTGTTTTTAAGTGTAGAAGTACTTGTTTGAGAAAAGAAACAGCAATTTAAGGTACATAATAACACCAAAAAACACGACTCCATCTGCAACACAAGAATTTACCTTTTAAAAATTTTAATAAACCTTTTGCTATCTACACTTTGATGCCACTTGTCCTCACTAGAGGAAGTCAATGTGTTTTACACTGTACCATCTTTAATCTTCCTTTTGTTTGTACTTATATTTACTTAATAAAAAACCTATTTAATACCTAGTACTGTTGCACTTGGTCTGATGTGCAACCTGAGGCACCCGGGCCACACTTGGCTCTTTAGCCTTTTTAAGTGGACTTCCTGTGAGAGTTCATGTAAACAACAATACCAGCGATGGCTCATAAATATCCAATCAGCAGTCAGATACTTCAGGTACTGACCTATCAATGACTGTCAAAGACTGGAATACTTTTTTCAAGAGGTACACAAAAATTTCAGACACAACACACACGTCACAATACAGCAGGTCTTCGACTTACACAGATTAACTTGATTTTGGCTGTATTTTTTTAAAAAGTACTTTTGTCACTCATCTGCGCTAACACAGTGGAATTTTAAAAAGTACTTTTGTCACTCATCTACGCAGTGGAGTTATAATGAAGAGCAAAAAGTTCCCCCAAAAAACCCCCAACACAAACGAAAAAATGTAAATGTAGCACAATCCAGTGCATGGCAAACGTAAACAAAGCTGACATATTCGTCATACGTTTTAATTTAAGGAAGATGATGATGTAACCATGGACCAAACCGAGGACTTCCTGTGTGAGGTCCATGGGTTTTTATAGTACATTTATACAATTCTGTTGTCCAATAAGCATTGTTGAATGTGAAGGCTTAAGGGCAATTAATCTGTTGCCCCAGCAGAGTCTTATGATGCAGTATCTACTGCTGTATCTGTGAAGCAAATCAGAGAATTTGACCTTGACCTTCAGAGATACACAGCTTCCTCTGAAATCCCATTTGTCTTCTTCAGGCTGATCCTTCAGGATCTGGTATGATTCTTAACCTCTTAGGGGGTGGGGATTTATCCAAATCCTTTCCTTGTGGCTCACGTGGTCTCATATAAGGCCTCATTATTGGGTCTTCCATTCAAGTATTAAAATGTGATGTGTTCAGTGTCCAGACAGGAGCTGCAGGAGTTGTTTTATTCAGACGTCAGCAGTGGATAATGTTCACATCCTTGTCCACTCTCATTATCTGGACTGCTTTAATTACAACAGAACATAAAATAAAATGTCAAACTCAGTGAAAAGAGAACACAAGACTTCATTAAAAAAATACTGTGCATTAAATGTCCTGTTGCCTAGGAACAATCTCCCGTATTCTTAGTGGTTGTTAATTACCTTTGTCGAAGTCTCTGAAAGAAACAACACACAGCAAGAAGAAGAGCCTGGGGGGAGAGAGACAGTGACTTTCATGTGATCAGCTGCTGAGACAGGAAAAAAAAAAGAACTTCCTTTCTTCAATTATTTGTGTAAAACTGTTGACTTCTGACCTTTTACCAGGCTGCGACTAAAACGAACATTGATTACGAAGTGAGTCGAATAAAGACAGCCATTGAATGTGTTGCATCAGGGCGACAGCATGAGGCATTTTTATCATCTGTTCTTGGTCAAACCGTAGTTAATCTCCAAACCAGAGAAAACAGAACGTCTGCTGTGTTTCCTTTGCTCCATGTGTGTCCCCTATTGTAATGAATGTGAAACTGTGAAGATATGTGGAAATAACCCTCTTATACAGTGTAATGAAGTTAAGATAACTAAGATATGAAGTTGAATTATGTAAAACCTAACTGGAAATGTATACCACCACCCCAACAAAACATTTGCCAAGAAATATCTAGAAGTTAGCCGAATATTTGCTAAAAGTTTTCAAATATGAAGGGAAATTAAGTTTAGAATTTCACAGGTCCGCCTGAGGTTCATGCAAACAGTGCAAAACTCGCCAAAAGTAGCTAAAATGAAAATAACGAAAACTTTGCCATAAATGTGGCTATTTTAACTAATATTAATCAAAAGCATGCTGTTTTTCAATAAAGAAAGGTAAAAGTTGGGAATTAGGGAAATACGTTTAGGAAACATTTATTTAAACAAAATCCTCACTATTATTATTATTATTGTTATCGCTCTCGTGACAGACAGGGTTTACTCCTGATTCCTTCTCATGATTCAATACTCACAGCCAAAAACGTTAAGCCTCCTTGGACCGCAGCTGCCCACTCGAAATTCAGGTTCTGTGTTATAAAACCTCCAACAATTGGGCCATAGAACATCCTTTAAGAGAAAATCACAAAAAACAGTATGTGTAATGACATTAAGTACAGAAAAATCTCCTTGTATTGTCTCTGCTGTTATCCACATGAGGTCAGCGACGACTCACCCCAGGCACCAAACTGCACTAAAGAGTCCAGAGACCATTCCCAGAGTGCTTAATCCTTCCTGAAATCCCTGTTTGCTGTGAGGTAAGTAAATGTTATGACACGGATTGATACAGGCTGAATAGTGGAAGCTGGGGTTATTTTGCCATCAATAAAAACAAAATCTAAAATGATGTATGAAGGAAGGAGTTGTTGAGACTTACTATGCACATGCGATGATCTCAGGGAAGGTGGGGATTGACGACATGCCCAATGAAAACCCAATTACACTCAGCATGAGCACCAGCAGCCACAACTGACTGTGGGCACATGGAAACACAGGTCACATGGTCATAGAAGGGTAAAGACGTGACCAGGATAGAGACAATATCTGGTCAATAATAATGCAGCTGGGTCTGGGATGGATGCTGCTGACACATTCAAACAACCATGTGCAGTAAAGATGAAGGGATTTTAAAGGAATTACATTTATTGACCACATCGACTCCATGTCAACTTTTCTCTAGTAATCTAGTGCTCTTTTGTCGTTAGCTAGCTAAGTGGAAGTTTAGGGTGATGTGTAAAATTGATTTTAGTAAATAATCAGTAAATAATCCGGCACACGCAGCAGACGATGCAATACAGTCTTCTTATAGAACATAAGGTATATATAGTGTTGATTTTATTTGGAACAATAATAAAATTATATGAAATGTATTTAATTTAAATAAGCTGTTTTTGTACTAAGAGTTGTTGAATTTTTATTCATTTCATGCAGATTTTTGGTCGACCACTGGGTGGCGCTGCGGCCTGTATTGAGTTTGAGATGAGCGCCAACTGTGTGGGGAAACTGTGACGTGACTTCCCGTTTTTATTCTGTGTTGAGCCATGTTCAGAAGCTGTGAAACCTGTGTTCAGGTGAGTTGAAAACTGACACACATCACCGAAGTCCGAGCCACAAGCTAACACGCTCGAGGATATTGTGTGCGACTGATGATAATGCGCACCAAACATAGCACCAAAATGTTTGTTGTACTCCGTACTGGCGGCGAAATATTCGAATGTTGACGAAAAATATCGCCTAGTTTGCATTCTTTGGGTCATTACGATTACGCATTGTCATAAACTGCCTGTTGTAGCGTAGCAGGGTATTTTAAATACGTACAGAACGCACGGGCGACCGTCGTTGCTTACGACGGATGTCGGCAAATGTTGCGCAGGGCGTTGATTGGCTGTTGGGAAACACGCGAGAGCTCGTTCTAAAGAAAGATGCTGTCGCGCTTATAACTAAACGTAGAAATCAAATGTGGGGGTTAAATACAAAATACAAATCCCTGTATATGAATAAATTAAACAATAATTTACATGTTGCCCCATTCTTCTTATTCCATTCTATATTTTATTTTTTAGAATCTCATTTGTGAGCTTTGTTCTTGCTTTAATGTGTTGCTGTCAAATGAAGCTTCAATCTAAGAAATTGACAAAAAGGAACCTAAAAAGGAGGACTGAGGCTTCACATTTAAATATGATTTTAAATCAGGGATGTTCAAACTTTACTTGATCCTCACCTGGGGATGTGAAGGAAAGGAACCGGACCAAGTAGCCAGAACCCAGCAGCCGTTGTGACACCTCCTGTCACCATTAACCAACCGCGGATCACCTTATTAAGACAGACACATGAAAACAGCCCATATAGAAATAACACAGACATTGATACTGTCTTCACACTCACGGGATATTTATCAGTGAAATAACCAAACAGTGGGGAGGCTATGCAGTACGACAGCGACAAACCCAGTGCGATGAGTCCCACGTAGCCGGGAGAGAGAGCAAACTGGTTACAACAGAGAGAAGGAGACATTTTAGATGGGATACTGGGAAGCTTTATATGTGCAGCAAGTGGTTCAATGAGAAAAGCTACCTTGTCAATTGCGTAAAGTGCCAATGTGGTGTCTAAAAAGCCCAGGCCAGCGCTCATAGTAAAAATAACAAAGCAGATGAGGACAATTTTCACATTGGTTAGAAGCTTCAAGAAAGAGTCTTTGGAGGGATTGGCATCTGAGTGGAGAGAAGAAGAGAAATACAACTAATGGTAGAAAAATAAATCATTTTAAAACTTTGATTTTCTCAACTGATACCTATGGTGGGCAGGACGTAAATGTTAAAGGGCACCATGATCAACAGGAAGAATCCCAGAAGCATGAACGGCACTTCATATCCAAAGGACTGATACAACCACCCTCCAACAGGAGGCCCCAGAATTAGACCAAGTCCTGTGAAAATCTCCAAAAAGCCCTGAGGAAAAACAAAAATGTGAAAGTATTCACACAGAACTGCAGACTGTCATTGGGTCTGTTAACTATTAGCGCAGTACTGCAGCAACCACAGCTCCAGGGAAACTGGAGAGACGTAACCCAGCAGCCTGAGTGATAATGCTTTGCTTGTTTGCTGATGATTCCACTGTCTAAACAACATGCCAGGGAGACGCACAAAGTCGTCAACACTCACATAAACAGTTGCCACATTGTCGGGGAATATTTTCGCTGTCACTGCAAAAGAGGAAGTCATGGCTGCAGCGAATCCAAAGGCATCGATGGACCTCACTATGAGACACAGTGCGATGAATGGCGGTCCTGAAGGAACACGGTCGAGGAATCTGACAGGAGGTCATGGAAGAGAGAGTTTAAAAGTGACCACATAATAAAAACTGACTGAATGTCACCCTTACAACCCAGTAATCCTGAATATAAGATTCTTTTATAGATGCTTTTTGAATGTAGTAAGGTAAAATGTACTTTCTATTCTTTTCTGGTCTCCAAATCACATCATCTATAGTAACGACTTTAATCATGTGAATTTATGACATTATTCAAACAAATCTACGACTTTATCCACATATATTTATGATGTGAAAAATTGACTTAATTCTTATGGACTTAACAATTTGTCCTTCTAAACGTTTTACTTTTTACAATTATACTTCTAAACTTTTTAAAAAACATTTTTTAATCCTCATTGTTACACTGTAGTATGAAAGACAAATTGCACTGGTGAAATCATCTGGGTCCTTCAGAGGAGGAGGGATGGAACTGATACTCACCCAAATGCAATGGTGCAGATTGATGACACAAAAAGTCCAACTATTAGCATGCGCTTTGCACCAATCTGGACAATCTGATTGGACAAAGAACAAAAGGAAACATGTTGCAGTAGAAATAAAAAGCTGTTATGAGGAATAATGACTTCTACTCACATATCTTCCCATTATTAATGAGTTAATTAGGTTGCAGATGGCGTAACAGCCGAAAATGAGACCAACGTCAGTTTGACTGGCTCCTTTCTTTACAGCCTGTAGAGATAAACGGTGGCAAAGACCTTTGTTAATATTGGTACAGCAGTTAATAAATCCGATGACATGAGGTCTAAAAGCCCACAATGAAGGTCTGGATACCAGGGAAATCACCCAGCACAGGCCTACTGACTTGTGAATAAAGGTACTAGATTAAATAACTAGCTGCAAAATGAGATAACTAGCCCAGTGTTTCATAGACTTTGAAAGACAACTTGTATCAACAAGAGGATTAAGAAGAGAATTAACAATCAAGCTTCATAGAGGAACTCGTAAAAGGAGACTGTATTTTAGGAGTCTGCAGAAGGAGAAGGGAAGTACACGTGGTAGGACAGGAGGTACCCTCTAAATAGCTGGGTCTTTTTTTGAAGATGCAGGGACGCCTGTTCTGGTAGTGCTCGTTAGCTTATCCCACCAACGTAGAGTGATCTATGAGATGCCTGGATTGTCTGGTACCAGGTGCTGGGACTGCGAGACGACATTTCTCAGACGAGCTGAGTGGCCGTCTGAGAACATAAACCTTCATCAGGGGTACTTAAGGAGGTAGAAGCAGACCAATGAAGTACCTTGCAGGGTAACATTAGCGGTTTGCATTTGATGCAGGCAGCTATGGGTAGCCAATGTAGCTCAGTGCCCTTCTAGGCTAATTTAAAAACAGACGCGCTGTCGTGTTATAGACCATCTGTAGGGGTTTCGTAGCACACGCTGGGAGTCCTACTAGAAGGGAGTTGCTGTAGTCGAGGCGGGGATGACCAGGGGCTGTACCAGGAGCTGGGTAGCCTGTTGGTGTAGGTATGGCCTGATCATCCTTAAATAGAATAGTGTGAACCCACAACTGATCAATCATGACATCACGTTTCTTGCTTCTTAAGATAAGGAGTCAGTCTGATGGAGATGATGTAGTATGGTTGGCATGACTGGAAATGTGTGGAATATCAAACAGGAATATGGCTGCAGTGCAGGCAAAACTAATACATACAGTAAAAAAGTCTTGTTATCTTGTGATTTAAATGAGTGGTCAGCTCACCTCGGTGGGAAAGAAAGGACCTAATATTGAATAGCACATCATTGAACTGAGGTTGACAGACGCCGAAGATATGAGAGTGAGAGTTTGACGTCTGGTCATTCTTCTTAGGGAACTCCCTGTGGATGCAGGTGCAGTGCTGTTCTCTGGTGTCACTACAGAAGAAGAATTACAGTTTGTTTTTATACTCACTTTGTTTACACTGGCAGAAATACTCAGAATCCTATTGATCTTTTTAGAGCAGGCAGTTTTTGAGGAAGATGAAAAGACTTTAATGGAGATTTCAGGAGAATTCAAAGAACCAAGGAATAATTCAAACAACGCTGTCATGTCTAGGATAGACATAAAGGTTTATCATTCCTTTCTATGCCTCTTTAGTTAGAACAGGCGTGTGCAATGTAAAAATAACTACTGGCTCAGCGTCCCTGACGTGATAATTAATAAAATACCTGAATATATAAATATATAAATGTTATAATGTGTTGCATCACATGTAATGTAAATATTACCAATGATTAAACATGGCATGTCATTCAGAGTAAGAAACAAACAGACAATTTTAATATAATGTATATTTAACAACAAAAGAAATGTGTCATTATTATATTGTTGAAGGTCTGAATATGACACTATCATAGTATTCAGTTTTTATAGTACAGTAGATAATATATACTGCACTACATCTGCATAATATCATATCAAGTTAGAATATGTGTCATATACTATTGAATATTATACTATATTTGACAAAGTATTAAATTACAGTATAGCTATCTACATTTGTTGTAATATAATATTAATTGTATAATAACGGTATAATGCTACATTGTGTATTCTATGTTTAATCTGAACATGTAGAAGTACGTCTTATATTATAAATATTTGATGCTGCAGTATATCTGTAGTAGATGTATTTGCAGTCAGGGATTGGCTCATGCTTCTCACTTTTTCTTTTCTCTACTGAATTTTAAAAAACTCACATATTATTGGTAATACACAATAATTATTGGGTATGAATGTATGTTTACCCCGTTTCTATTCAATTTTTGAAATAAACTAAACTGAACGTTAGTGCGCCGCAACTTCTTGACTTCGGTACATGTACTACATTATAAATGTCACCAGTGCAACTAACCTGTTTGCTCGGTATCACCGTTCTGTTCCATTTCCTTTTCTCTTTTTCGATTCCCCTCGTTTATTTGAGAGGAATTCATGTCAGAAACTCGTAAAAGTCGATAGACACAGTAAACAGCGCAAATACCTCAGACTCCGTAACAACTCTGAAAGCAGAGCACTTCAGCGTGATTGCTTAACATACAACGTCCTCTCAGGCCTTCAGAATAAGAGTTGTAATTTCCGGTGGCGACTAACGGTTGCATTTATCGTGTGTATCGTGTTTAATGTATTCAATATGTATAAATGTGATCGCGTTTATATCACATTATTAGTTAACTTTATTTACAAAAACAAACTCAAAAAATAACGTTTCCATAAATATTTCAACAACATAATAACCTTTACCACTAATTTGTATTTTGCAGGTCAGCTTAAAAAATAAACTATAATGAGAGCCACAAGCTTCAAAATAAAAGTCAACATCTACTAGGGTTAATAAAACAGGTGAAAGGTAAGAGGGTGTGTGTTTTTTATTCTTTACTCTTAAACATTGATGCAATGCATGGATAATCACATTGTGATTTATGTAATAATTATTTATTTCACAACAAACACAGGAAGAGGAGTTCTGCACTATGAGCAGCAAACATTTATGGATATTTCATCAGATATTAAAATGTCAGACAAGAAAAGAAACACTTCCACCGAGGTATTTGGAACAATAGGTTTTTATTTGACTTAACTCAGCCTATAGGTCGATTATGGTCACACCCTCAGTTTTCCTTTATATAATAACAGAAACACTACTAATCATACAACCTTCTTTCGGCAGTACTGCTGATAACTGACACACACTGTCTCTAACATCACTGCACTGCATTTGATGAAAAGCTCTATGCCTTATACAATATGTCCTGTAGCCTTGCTCAAAATAATGTTTTTCAAAGTATGCTTAAAATCAAATAATTTACGTGTTTTTCTCTTGTTTCTTTATACATTAGCACCAAATCTACACAGATCTAATATGTGGAATTTGGCACCATTGCCATTTTTTTCAAAAGTTTAACACAAAACATTTTTTGCAACATGTTAAAGTAAAAGTGAAGTACAAAATTGCTGAAATTAGCAGCGTATACAGCGAGCACATTTCTGTTACAAAGCATATAATGTTGTTTGGTCACTTACTCTAAATACACAGTGCAAGCAGCAAAATGTTTTCTTTTGCAAGTATAATGTTTGTTCTTAAGTTAGCGTTACTGCACATAATTTCTATCGAAAAGCAGCCCTGATTCCAACGGTGCAAACCACTTAACATGACATTCAAAGGAAACTTAACACCCTTACACAGACATTACAAAGAGTGGAATGAACCCAGACAATCTCAACCAGGAAATTATTATGACTAAGGATGCGATCATGTTTTTGAAAAATATCCTACTGACCCACCATACAACTAATCTACGAAGGTCATAACACAGAATTGATGTACTGTGCAGCCCACTCACAACTAGATTCTCTGGTTCTACACTCTTTTTACCTTACATAGGTTACCATCGACCATCTTTGGTAAGATTTGGTCGCATCGTAGACCACATAGTGGATGCCAGATTTTATATCCAAACGGCCTGTAATTTGTTGCTGCAGATGGGTCAAATAAATTTTCCTATGCGGGTAGTTAAATTGGTTTTTCTGACTAGTAAATGCCCTTTCATATCAGGTCACAGTTGGGCTGTATTTGGCACATGGACCACTACTGACAATGTCAGCCATTATGGGGAAAAGAAAATTAACAAATTAACTATATAGACAGAATGTAAAACATTTAGAGTATAATGGCTATGATTTATGTCTGATTTGCTGTGTAGTGGCCAAAATATAATGATTTATCAAAATTATTTCCTTTGGAACACTTCATAGAAGTCACATGGATAGAAAATATAAAAACTATGACTGAATACTACTCAGTTTTCTATAATAAACTGAAGACAGCTTCATAATCAATATAGTGAATACATGTATTCTTCTAGCGCATGTTTAGTGAAAAGAGCAGCAATATATTTCTATAGTCATAATAGAGCTTTAACTAAATGTATTTCCTAAATTAGATTAAAATAGCGCAGTTTTCTTTTTATATCAGATATGCTATGGCTTTTCATTATTTATATGCAACTTATATTTTACTGCAAGCCATAAAGTTTGCTGCCTATTTAATAGAAAAACATGAATTCTTATATATTTGTTTTACATGAATTCTGCTTGATAGTCGGTGCCTCTAAATTGCTAAAGTGTCTTCAGTGGCTCTAAACCTCTGTGGATGTCAGAAATGGATTCTGATGCATACTTAATGTTAATATGTGTTAGTTAAAGTTCTGTTCAATCGCAGTTAAATTAATAAAATTCTTCATTCAATCCAAGACTTCAAATTCAAGGATTCAGTTTCCATCTATAAAGTCCTCAAGGTAGAAACGAAATCCTTTGGTAATGTTTAACAAACTGCCATAAATGAGTCACATGTGCAAAACAGACTGGTACAGTATATCACTTACTCTTTTCGGACCAGACACTAAAACATCGATGCATTCTCCAGCTGCACCCCCACATAGACACTGTGCAGCATCGACAAGAACAAGTAACCTTTTTTTTTTTTAATTCGTCCGTCAACGTCAATGAAGTATATTTTCATTTTAGCCTCTGAGTCACGTTGGCCAGGGCAACAGCGAATGCCTGCACTGCTGAGAAAGGATACTGGAAATCCAAGATGTAGGCATTGCCATCGATGCGGCCAAACTGCATCACCTAAAAAAAGGAGGGATACCAGGTTGAAAATAAATAATAGAGTTTTGTGTATAATGTGTACACTTTATAAAATACAGTATGATGGATTTTACTGTAATGATTGGCTGCCATTTGACTTTTTCTAGGACAGTGACGGCATCCCTGGCTTTACCTCGCCTGGTTTGGTTAATTAGCTTATGTGAAGTTGTGTAATAAAGGTGCCGTCAGATAACTTTTATTCTATTTTTGACATTATTTATTTTTTATCATACGCTGTTGAATAAATATTTATTAATAACAACTCACCTGTCGGCCATCCAACTCTATCTGGAAGTTCTTTGCAGACTCTTGCGTTACTCTTCCTCCAAAGTCCAGCTGGTAGACCTGTGTAGCCTCATTCCACAGAGGTTGTTTATTGGCCATAATGTAAACAAATCCTTGGCTGCCTAAACTGCGGTCTTCTCGTTCATTTGCCTTACGAGACTTGATCTCTTCCAGCTCACTTGCCATGCGCAGGCTGCGTTTGTTCTTCCAGCTCTTCTTACTACTCTGGTTCTGGTTCATGAGCTCATCACCACTAATGAACAGCTCTGGCTCGCTCTCAGAGCTGTCCTGGAATTCATTTGTGGTTCTGCTCATCTTCTTGGTTTTGTTGAGTTGCTCTCTCTGGCCCTTGGGTTTCTTCTTCTCTCTGCTGCCAAGCCTTGGGCTGGAAATGAGTGTGTTAAAGTCAGACAGTGCTCGTCCTTCCTTTCTGGACTTGCCTTCAGAGACATTGGACATGTTGGCCTCCTCGGCCCGGCTGTCCAGCCTCTTACGACTCTTCTTACTGAAGCGCTCTGACTCCTGCGGCACAGGGCTCTCGTTCAAAGATGATGGCTCTGCAAAGTTGTTTGCAGACTCTGTCAAATCATCTGTTGCACTTTTGGATGGGGGCAGCTCAGTGGGGGGAGGGGGCGGTGGCAGAGGGNGAATTGGTTTTTCTGATATCTGATGGGTTTTGGTTGGGAGAGGAGGTGCTGGGGGGTCCTGCATGGGAGGTGGAGGGGGACAGGGATAAGGGTTCCATGGGTGAAGGCTGACAGGGTGTAGCTGCAGTCCAGAGCACGAGCTTGCTCCGGGATACATTGGAGGCAGGGGGCAGCAAGCCAGGTTAGCCAAATTTGGAGGATAACCTGGTGGCAAGACCAGACTGGGATCCTGCTGAGCAAAAGGGACAGAACCAACTACTTCATTTGGAGAGCACTGTGGGGGAGGGTTATGGAGGGTCTGAAGAGTTGGCGCTGTGTGGCTTACACCTGGAGGAAAAGGTGACAGAGATATCTGGTATCCAGAAGGGAACGTCAGCGTGGACGTGCTTGGACTGCTTGGCGGTTTAGTTGCAAGGACAAACGGAAGGCGGGTCATGTCCAGATGTTGAGCCTGACTGAGGATGAGAGGAGGTGGTTTATGAGGTCCTGGAGGTGGGGCTAGCATGGTTTGCTCAGGGGTGAGCCAAAACTCTTCTGTCGTGGAACTATCCCATTGGTAAGGTGGTGGACGTTTGACTGTCAAACTCATGTCGCCAAGGGTCAGCTGACGTACAGACTTTTCAAGGTGACACTGCTGATTTAGGGTCTCGTCTTCAGTAAAGGCAGAGTTCACATACACAGTTCTGTCCCTGCTGTTATCAACTGTACCCAAGAGGCTGTAGGAGGAGTGGGAGGTCAAAGGTGAGGTGCTTTTTGAGTGGACAATAATGGTACTGTGATGAGCACCTTTTCCTGAAGGAAAGTCTTGCCTCACTACTGTTCCTCCTGCAATGCCACTACTTGACGTTCCACCTCCACTGACACTGACACTTGTGCTGCTGCTGTTGCTACTGCACTGTGTGCAAGTGTACAGAGCTGTGGGCACCCTCTGTTGGTAGCTCAGAGCTAGTGCACTGTTTATCTTAGCCTTGGTGGGAAGGGTCCTCGAGCTCTCCATCATCTGCGGAACTTTGAGGCTAACGTCCCTGCGATCACGACGTAGTGTTGCATGAATTAGGCTGTTTTCAATTCTTTGTGGAGGAGGTAGTGTGGCAGTTACTTGATTGGCCGGATCAGGGTAAGGGGGAGGGTCTCCACTTGGTATTGAGTATCGAGGGACAGAGAGGCGACTCAGTGTGGCTGAGCTGTATGGCAGCTGGATTTTTTTGTTTTCTGAAGAGGTGACCTTCAGAGTAGCTGAACCGTTCATAGCGTATGCATTTTGGTTTCGAATGAGGCGCCGTCGAGGTCTACAGACCTCCTCCACATTACCACTGCTGTCAAAGGTAGTGATCCTTTCATACCCAAGAGGTGTGGGATACTGTAAAGTGATGGGACGAAGTAAGAAGTCGTCCTTCTTCAAACAAGATTCAGGTGCCAGAATGCTTGGACTGTCACAGTTGGTGACAAGAGTCTGAGACGCAGCAGCGGCAGCTGTTGCTGCAGCTGCAGACACGACAGTGCCAGGATATGGAGGAGGAGGATTCACCTTCCTCATCTGAATCTCCACAGACATATCTGAGTCACTGAATTGGGGCGGTAAAGTCCGTGGCAAACTCAGCTTCAGAGTGTGTCCATTCTCGTTCCTGTCAAGACCCGGCTCGGTGGTGGGTGCAGAAATCTGAGGCAGCAGGTGCAGCTGCTGTATGGAAATGGTTGGATATCCGGTTGGAGGAGGAGGCAGTGACATTTGCATCTTTAGCTGCTGCTGCATTTGCTGGTGCTGCCTCTGCATCTGCTGATGCTGCTGCTGAATCTGTTGGTGCTGCTGCTGAAGCTGCTGCTGCTGCTGCCTCATCTCCTGGATCTGTTGGCGAATCTGCTGTTGCTGCTGTTGCATTTGCTGCTGTTGCTGCTGCATTTGCTCATGCTGCATTTGCATCTGATGTTGCTGTTGTTGGATTTGCTGCTGCTGCAGCTGGTGGTTTGCCACGTGCTGTTGACTTTGCGGTTGCACCTGGAGTTGCTGATGTCCCTGTTGTTGTTGATGCAATGTCTGTTGGTTGTGCAGTTGGGTGCTCTGTTGATGTTGTTGCTGCTGATGCTGCTGTTGTTGTTGCTGCTGCTGCTGCTGTGACTGTGACTGATGTTGCTGCTGCTGCTGTTGATGATGATGGTGCATCTTCTGCTGTTGCTGCTGCTGTTGCTGTGTGTGCATTTGCTGCGACTGTTTGGAATGTTGTTGGCGAGGCTGCTGCGCATGGGACCGCTGAAGGTGAGGCTGAGGTGGGGGGTGGTGAGGTGGAGGTGGGAGAGTACCAGGAAGGAGTGGAGCCATTTCCAGTCCACTGAAGATCACCTGACCGGGGTTGGAGTATCTACTTGGCACTGGGTAAGGTGATGCAACTGCGTCCTGGCTAGGATCAGGGACTGGTACAGAGGAAGCAGCCGCGGCGGCTGCCGCTGCCGCAGCAGTGGCCGTAGGGTTGGTCAACACATCGAGCTGAATATTCTGATTGGCCAGAAGGGATTGAACCAGGCCAATACTCTGAGTTGGTGACATGGCCTGAGCTGGACTGTGAATGGGAGCAATTGGAATGTTGACTGTACAGGGAGGATTGTCTCCTGCCACTCCAGATGGACCCATCACTAATTAAAAACACAGAAAGGAGAACAGATGTGACTGAAGGTGAACTTCACACATTTACCACTAACTCCTCTCATATCAATTTGCCTCCGGCGTTTTAGAACCCAGTTACATGAGGTAGAATTTGACCCCTACAAAATGGAACATTAGCCTAGCTTTCTTTGTACACTGTCTTCCTCAACATTAACAAGACACACATTACTCCTCTTTGTACACTGTCTTCCTCAACATTACACACATTACTCTTGAGGAGAACATGCAAAACAGATCCTCTGTTTTCACACCTGGTAAGTCGTCCTCATCCTCACTGAACACATTAGGATTGAACACAGGCAGACTCATGAAGTCATGAGAAATCTTTCGGACTTCCGGCAAGAAGATTGTCATCTGCCTTGGTTGCAGATGAAGTAAACTGGTCTTGTAGATGACTGAAATACAGAGGGGAGTAAAAGTCATGATAAAATCCCGAATAATTACCAGGGTAATGTGCATGTACTGGCACAAATACCTACCTGCACCTAGATTGACTGGGAGAAATGAGGCAAGTCCAACAATTTTGAATTTTGTCCCCCAAATATTGGATGTAACTTGAGCAAGGTAGTTGTGCTTTGGTTGAGGAAGAAAAAAAATAATAAAACAATTAAAAAAACTATATTATTATTATTTTGTTAATGTTTGTATATTTATCTTTTTTTGGCTTACTTGCTATATACATATATATATATTTATACGTTTATATGTGAGTCACTATAGTAAGTGGACAGTAGTTCTTTCATATCTGACCTCTGTGATTCCATCCATGGAAAACTCCCTCCGTGTCAGGCTGGGAGATCGAACCGGAGGCTTTTTTGACGATAACCTTGGTGACCTTTGGCCTTCTTGATTGGACCGTGTGAGTTTGGGAGATTTTCTGATTTCCATTGTCATCCTTTTAAAAACAAATGGGCACATTTATGTTGTTGGTCAATGTTGGTAAAATAGAGCAATCAAATTCCAGGCCTGTTATAAACAGCTGATGTGTGGTCTTTGGCTGACCTGTTTCCCCGAGATAACTTTGGTGACTTCTTTCCCACCCATTCGTCACTCAGCTCGATGTCACTGGAGTCAGAGCAGTTACAGCTGTCGGTGTAAGAGATCATGTGGTTCACACACACTTCCTCTAAGAGAAGAAAACACACAAATGAAATCAAACACAGAACAATACTGTTTTTTTCTGTTGAGTCTAGGGGCCTAAATGAAACAACTTCAGTGCAGCAGATCATGACCCACAGACTAGTCCTCAGACCAGGACACGTTTACATCATCATCAACACCTGGCCCAGACTTTTTCAAGTTGACTGATGATTTTCCGTCTTTCAGTAGTTTGCTGCTATGTTCTTGAAAATACACACACAGTCCATCTGTCAATGTTCAGACTAGTGGTGTCATTAGTATTCCCACCTGCTTTACTGTCAGATTTTGGATCCATGATGACAAACTCAGGTCGTAGTTTGCTGATCCGTCTTCCTTTCAGAATGGGCACCAGCCCGCCCAAATACTCCAGGTACAGAGTGTAGCAGGGTCCACCCGCCTCAGGACTGTCTTCTGCTCTCTTCATGGTGCAGTGGAGTCTCTCGTTCCCAGAGGTGGGATAGCTGACAAAGTCGCGGATGTTGTTGGGGTCAGGGATTGGAGGCTAGAATAAAGAGAGGAAAAGGCTGTGAGATTCCTGGACAAATGAAAACATGACACTGTTTACAGTAGTCTGAGACCATGTTGTGCAGACAACAGCCCACCTTGATGGTTGGGATGAAAGCAGTGGTAACATAAGAGCAGAGCAGAGAAGGCATGTTGAGTTTTCCCACGTCCTTCTCCTCTCGCAGGGCGCTGGCGATGCCCTGCTGGCACAGGAGCTGAAGGCTGGCCACCCTGTGTTCCACACGCACCACGTACAGGGCTGGACCGCAGGCGAGGAACAGACGAGAGTCTCGATGACCCCAGCAGATGGTGGTGATGGGCCTCTGGAAAAACACATTCCAGGTAAAATTATCAATGGTTGATAAAACTGAATTTTATATTTTTGTTTAGTTAGCTTTTTGTTAACATGAAGCTATTGTTATTCTATCTTTTGTCAACCTTTATGCTGAGCAACATTGTATTTAACAGTGACTAATGTTTGACCATTTACGGTCTACTAGTTTGTCTATATTTTTACATTTAACCATGCGTGTCTACATGACGTTGAAGCACTTTCTGTAATCAGACACTAGAGCGGCCCCTATTGGAGACTTGTTCCACCTGAGCAGGAGTTTCCAAAGTGTAGATGTGTTCTCCTTGGACATTGTAGAACTTAACCAGGGCGTTTCTCGTGATGGATGCACAAACTGAGTCGGCAGGAAGCCCATGTTTCTCCATACCGGCCACAGCCAGCAGATCTCCCTGTGAACACCACTGGGCCTCAACATCTAAGGAGATTTGGAAATTTACAAAGGTGAGTGGCTCATATTAGTAAATTATTCAATAACCTATTAATAAATATCTCACTGAAACTACCATTTGCATTCATTTTTTTGCCAGACAAATTCAAATTAAATTTTATTAACATATTGAAATTTTAAACTTCAAATGCATTTTCTAATAAGTCAGTTTTATGTAGATCGAAAACCTTTATAGACTGATGACTTTGAACTGTATGCAGTACATGTTTGGAATCTTTAATCTGCTGTGGTGATTGTACAATTTGCTTAAGCTTAAGTGGTAACAATCTATTTTTACCTTTTAGCCCTGAGCGAATTATAGTAGGAGAGAGGTCGTCGTAATTGTTCATCAGACTAATGTCTCCTGATAGAAAGGTGACAGTCAGCAGAGGCTTCACTCTCCGCACTGTACCAGGAAAAACAAATGAAAAAAAAAAAAAGGATCAGCACAGAATAAAGAACAGCCATGTACTGTGAGCTTCTCCGCACTGTACCAGGAAAAACAAATAATAATAAAAAAAGGATCAGCAGAGAATAAAGAGCAGCCATGTACTGTGAGCTGTTTGGGTTTGTGTTTGTGTTTGTACCTAACGGCAGGATGTTTTCGTCCGAGTCTGTGTCACTCTCTGTACTGTCTTCCACCAGGAAGTCAGGGCAGTTCCAGGACATGCTCACGATCCCATCAGACTCATGTAGCAGAACATGGGCGAGCATCCGTCCGTGACAGTCCATTACTATCACCTGACCGTCTGCTGTTCCAAACAGGACCTGGGGGAGTCGGTGTTTACCGAATTTTGATTAGTGGCAGTAATATATTATCTTAGACTGAAGTCCCGATAACCAGATAATGTCAACCTGTTGGTCATCAGGTGTCCAGATGCCGCAGGTGATTTGACTCTCCAAATTAATCTCCGAGGACCAGTGTCTCTGTCCGCTGACTGAGCCGACCAACACAAAACCGTCCCTGTACGCGATGAGAGCTTGAGTGCCATCATGTGACCACGTGAAGTCACTCACCTGACGGAAAAGACAAAATAACATTCTTACATCAAATACTGTAATACCTTGAAAAAAAGGGGTTTAACCAGAGGTACACAAATGTCCCCGAGAAAGATGTTGGAAATTGTTGTTTTTTTGTGTCCTTGCATCAGCATAAAACTACAAAGAGTTTCCAGTTAAAGTGACATAACTTCACAGCTGCTCTGTATTCCCACAGGTATCAGTTCTCACCTGAGCTCCTCTATCGTTCACCAGCTCCACAGACCATCTGCCTTCATACTGGATCCACACAAAAATCCCTCCTTCCATATCACAGGTGGCCAGCTTCTGAAAAGGCTCGTTCCAGCGCACCAACACAACCTATAAAAAGAGGCAAAAAAAAACAAAACACTTAACATAGCTATTTTTTTACACACGCACACACGCAGGTGAAAGCCTTGAGTGGGAAACATAAAACGTTACGTTCGTTCAGGAGACACAAAATGGAAGAAAAGTCAGAAACGATTTTAATAAAATAAACAGTAGACATTTAGTCAAATATTTTAACTAAAGCTAAAATGCTAAAACATAGACCCAAAAACTAATAAAGTAAGACCTAATTCATGGACCACATAAAATACTTTCCAGAAGCCATAACTGGCCCACAAGCCAGATGTTGTTCATATGTAACCAATGGTAATACCTCACTGTTGTGTCCCCGCAGGTTAAAGTTGATTCTCTGTGGCGTGCTCCTGTCCCTCCTGCAGTGACTGGACGTAAACGTCACCCCAACCACTCCTCGCCCGTTCCCCGTTGCGAGCCAACCCTCCTCATAGTAGCGTCTCCGGCACACCGGCTTGTCCTTCTCGCTCTTGGGGACCCGGCCTTTCCACGAGAGGCAGAGGATGTTGGAGTCGCTGCAGAGGATGGGACCATGTTCCACGGCAGCCAACATCCCTACACAGTGACCAGGCTGCTGAGGAGCGCAGCAGCAGAGGAGGCCCAGTGAAGCTCATTTAGTCAGTACACAGTACACACATACAGTACCAACAGTTTTAGGTGTTAAGAGAAACATGTTTTTTTTAATTATTATTATTCATTTTTATTTAGGCTGACAGTTTAATTACAGCCTGAAAAACTTTTTTTCATTTTAAATCATTTCAACAGCAATTTGATCAAATCCGTCTTTTGACTACATTCAGCTTTTTATTTATTGATTTACATATTTAAGGCAACATTTTTGTTCTTTG